AGTGCGTTTGCAGGATATTTATAATACAAATGCGTGCCGAAGACCCCAAATAGCTGTAAAAGCATGTAATAGATAACCACCGTTAATCCAAATATAACAGAAATATAAAAAGTAGAAATGTACTTCATTTTGAAAACCTTCCAGCTGAACAGCACCGCAGTTGTCAGGGGAAACCAAAGGTTAATTATTATTGCTTCCACACACACGCCAATTACCCAAAGTCGTTTTACAGACAACGGTAAACTGTGGTTGAGATATTGCCATTCCATGCAAAGATCAGTTGTCTTTAAATGAAAATATAAAAGCGCCATTGCGAACGCCGTTATCGGTACAATAGCGATTGTTACACTTATACTTGTCCAAAAGCTTTTGCAAATGGACACCCGATAACTCACAAGCTCGGATGAGACATCACCAAGCCTGTGATAAACTGTCAATCTTTCTGCAGTTATTTCGGGAAATGGCGAAGTCAATTCACCGTCGTTATTACAGTCCCCGTATTCTTTGTTGATATATGGCAGCCATTTATCTTCCTCTGTCAGTCGACTTTCACTTGAGTCGTGTGTCTGAAGAGGTTGTTCTCGCCGAGACAAACGCGGCACTTCGTTCAGGAAAAGCGAAAACGCTGACAAAATCATTCCCACAATTTCTTCTAACATTTGGACGGATCGCTGAAGACACGAACTGGAAGATGCGACACGATAATAATTCTTGTATCCGTATATGAGATTTTTCTTGTCCTGTGCACGATGGCCTCTGGATTTTATAGCTTCTAAAACAAGGAATTTATTTGACAAACAGGAAGTTGATGCCATTAATCATCCTGGAAAGGCAATATAACAATTACCAAACTATAATTAACAATATTTTCAATTGCCAATCAGCATCAATTAATAGGTGCATGAAAAAGGCGTCTTTATACACTCATCTTTACTAATCCGTGAAATAGTCGATTTGAAAGACACAACGTAGAATAGTTTGATCATTTCTGTCCATTAATCGAGCTGGCGACGCCACTTATTTACCACGTGGCAGTGTTTTCGCTTTCCAAGGAGAAATCCTGAAAGATCCTGACCTAATAAGGTGGAAAAAGAAGAGCATTCGCTGTTATATTTTTGAGAGTTCTTTGTCTTTAGTTTTACTAAAACATCCTCCCACACAGTAAAATCATGCATGCTAAGAATTGTGAGAACCACTTTTGAGGGTTTTTCTCATGGCAATGATGGCGCCATCAAGTTCGCTAGATCCGCTCTTACTCTGTTGTAACTTCCAAGTGGCTAGTCGACTTTCACATGCATCATTGTATCCCACGATGCCATTGAGACGGAGAATACTGCCGAAACTGACTCAGTTGGATGATGAAAATGGCTTCACATCAGCTAGGATAGTGACGGGTTTTTGGACAGGATCAATTTTCAGCACCACCCAATGTGACTAGAACAATGAGCAATTCCTGATTATGTATGTCCCGTTCCTCGCACCAGTCCCATTGATGCGCGCTTCAAAATCAGAGAGAAGGACTCGGCTGAAATATGACACTGTCACCATGAGAATGATGAGGTTAGCCAACATATGTCGTTTCCAGTATTTCCCCCACACGCGACTAATTGGAATGTTGTAGTAATGGATTTGAACAAAATTAGATAAAACATTGAAAAAAAAGTCGATTCCAATGCCGATAACAATGTTCCTCAAAGGCTCGTAAACGATGGACGAAACAGAAAGTTTAAAACTTTCTACAATGAACAAGACCAAGATCCCTTGACTCAGAACAAGTGTAATATACTCAAAAAGCATGTCTTGAATTTCTAAATCCGCTCTTAACCTTCTGTAGTGTGGTGTGTCACGAGATTTCATGTGAAGTCTTTGACAGCAAACAGTTCCCTTCAGCCGTGAGATGATGTAACTCCACAATCTCATTCTTACGCGATAGGTTGCTTTCTTCAAAAAGTTTAAAACGCCAGAAAACAACGAGAGTCCAACGAACAACCAAATGTTTTTAAAGTTCGCTTGCATGGCACGGTATACGTAAATCACTCCACCTCGAATACAGTACGCCAGGACAAAACTCCGACCGGGATGTACTACCTCGGAACTTTTCCTTAACGCAATGTGCTTCAGGATTGCTGCGGGAATGATGGCCAACCCAGGAAACATAGCAGCGATCAAAAACTTGTAGTGTTCGTTTTTCACACTATTGAAAAAAGGAATGGTACCGTACCTGGTAACAAATGACAGGACAGAACTCAGGAAAAATTCTGACGATACAAGAGCCAATATATGAAAGTTAGAATAAGACACAGTCTGTTCGCTGGCTCGAATATTACGTAATATGATAATACTAGATATTATTACTCCAGTTAAGGATATTGCGTTTGCAGGAATGATATAATAAATATGGGCGCCGTATATCCCATAAGCCAGTAAAAGCTGGTAATAGATAACTACGGCTAGTCCAAAAATAACACCAACATAAAAAGTAGAAAAGTACTTCATTTTGAAAACCTTCCAGCTAAACAGCATCGCAGTTGTCAGGGGAAACCAAAGGTTTATTATTATCGCTTCCACGCTGTCGCCAATCACTCGAAGTCGTTTTACAGACAACGGTAAACTGTGGTTGTGATATTGCCATTCTATGCAAAGATCAGTTGTCTTCAAATCCAAATATAGAAAGGTCATTGTGAAAGCCGTTAGCGGGACAATGGCGATTGTTATGCTTAGACTTGTCCAAAGACTTTTGCAAATGGACTCCCGATAACTCACACGCTCAGAAGAGACATCACCAAGCCTTCGATAGTTTCTCAATCTTCCCCTAGTAAATTCGGGCAATGAAGAGTTCAATTCGTCGCCATTATTACCATTATCGTATTCTTTGTTGATATATGGCAGCCATTTATCATGTTCTATCGGTCGGCGGCCTTCACTTGAGTGTTCGGGGTCGTGGGGTTCATGCCGAGATAAACTCGGCGCATCGTCCAAGAAAAGCGAAAAAACTGACAAAATCATTCCCCCAATTTCTTCCAACATATTCACGAATCGCTGCAAACACGATCTGGAGAGAGATGTAAGACGAGAACTATTGTATCGATGGCCTCCGGGTTGTTCCAAGCAAGGTTATGAGCAAAGAAATTTGCTACACAAGCAGGAAGATAATTTAATCTTAGTGAAATGGCAATATAAGAAATATCAAAGTGTAATCACCAATATCTTGAATTACCAATCAGGATCAATAAGTGTGTAAGCAGGGCGCATATATTCATCTTCACCGAACGTTAAAATATCGTCTTGAAAAACATAGAGTAAATGATGCCACTTAATAACCACGTGGCAGCGTTTTCACTTTAAGCAACGTTCCCTGTATCGCCATTTCTTCTTGTAACTTTTATTTCAAGTGCTTTCCACTTGTACATATCACAATGTAACCTGATTTGACAGTTGCATAGAGATGCTACTTCTAATGTACGTAATAAAAACATAATATGATTTTTTATGCATGATGTAGAGCACGTATTAAATAAAGGCAGTGTTACACTGTGCAACTTTCCTTGCAACTTGCAATGCAATTCTACTCCTGAGGCATCTGAAGTTGACAAATACGAACATTTCTTACGATCTGCTAACGTTTTCTTAGCATTTCGAACACTCTTTACTAATTAACATCCCTCGAAATTATAATTGCATTGCAAGTTGCAAGGAAAATCGCATAGTGTAACACCGCCTTAATTATGGTCTTGTTGATTTTCAATATCACGCTCTTAGAAGCAGCTCTCTGACTCCTAAGGAAATTTTTTTAGAAGAAAAGTCTGACTCTATCGAGGAGAGGGAGGAATATTTAATATATTCTTTTCAAACGCTCCGGTTTTTGTACGCTTATTCAAAGCATCCTTCCTCACAGTAAAAAGTATGCATATTTAAATTGTGAGAGCAAAGCTATGAAGTTGAATTAATAAAGTATTCTCAATATCATACGAAAAATGAATCCAATAATTATTTTATTCTTCTTCTCAATTTCCTCAACTAACTAAAATAGTGATCAAATAGTAGCGATGATTATTTTATAGTTATTCATTACTATATTGTTTTTTCAAAACCGGCTTTTGCGAGCATCAACATTTAAAGTTAGAAACTATCATTTGAGGATATTAATTTTTCATGTATCTATGTATTTAATAAAATTACCTTCCAGCCTTAAGGCTGAATTACGTAATTATTACACTTGATTGAAACATTTTGTCATAATTGTGGTAAAACATTAAAATTATTTGCATAAATTTAGTAAAATAATTTGATCAAGTATTTAAAATCGAGCAAGGAAGTTAACTATTGTTAACCTTATTATTCCCTATTACACATGGCATATATAAAAGAGTTTGCTACCCTATTTGTATGGCTCATGGGAATACTGATTATTATCAACTCTTGCTTGAGTTGAGTTACCCTATTTGGTATATAGAGCAAATTAAGAATGTTTTAAACTTTCCTAAGAGCATTAGTAAAGGAAGCTATATATAGATACAATTTACCTTGAGTGGCAATAGAATTTTAAGGCAATTATGATTGTAATTCAACTTGAGTGGGAAATTCCGCAAACAAAAAGATGCACTTATAGACACTTATTAAAATTGTTTGAGAACACACAAAACAATAGCTTCAAAACCATACGGGGGGTCCATGGAATGTTGAGAGATTTTCGATTTTCATTTGCAGAAACCAAATTCTGGAAGAGTCTATTGATCATCTTAAAGGATTGATGAATATGCGAGACAATAATTACAGTATTTTGTTATGCCAGTGCAAAGGAATTTCTGCTGTTGTTCTGTAAAAATATATGAAAATTTTTGCACCTGTAAGATGGCAATTGTTGTGCCCTTCAAAGTACAATGTCATTGAGAATAGGAACATGTTATTGATTTATTGATTAATCAATCTGCATTTTAGGTCTGTTAAAGTCGATTTATTTGAATATCAAAATAAATTTAAAATGAGGACAGTTACTCTCCTTATTACATGGATATGAATTGTTTAGTATATTGACGTTCAGGTGAGATTTGATACTCTATAGAAAGATCTTGGAACCCAATATATCTTAAGCATAGTCCGACTAGAACAACGAGCAATTCTTGTCTGTCAATATTCCGTTCCTTGCGCCAGTCGGCCCAGTCCCATTGAAGCGCGCTTGAAACACCGAGAGAAGGACTGGGCTGAAATATGACACTATCACCATGAGAATGATGACGTTAGCAAGCATATGTCGTTTCCAGTACTTTGACCACACGCGACTAATTGGAATGTTGTAGTAATGAATTTGAACGAAATTGGATAAAACATTGAAAAAGAAGTCGATTCCAATTCCAATAACGACGTTCCTCAAAGTCTCGTAAATGATGGACGAAACAGAAAGTTTAAAACTTTCTACAATGTACAAGACTAAGGTTCCTTGACTTACAACGAGTGTAATATACTCGAAAAGCATGTCTTGAATTTCTAAATCCGCTCTTAACCTTCTGTAGTGTGGTGTGTCACGAGGTATTTCGTGAAGTCTTTGACAGCAAACAGTTCGCCTCAACCGTGAGATGATGTAACTCCACAATTTCATTCTTATGCGATAGGTTGCTTTCTTTAAAAGGTTTAAAACGCCGGAAAACAATGAAAGTCCAACGAACAGCCAAATGTTGGTGAAGTCCGCTTGCATGGTACGGTATAGGTAAATTACTCCACCTCGGATACAGTACACCAGGATGAAACTCCGACCGGGATGTATTATCTCGGAACTTTTCCTCGACGCAATATGCTTTAGGATTACTACAGGAATAATGATTATCACAGGAAACATAGCAGCGATCAAAAACTTGTAGTCTTCGTTTTTCACACTATTGAAGAAAGGAACTACAGCGTATCTGTAGAAGTATGCCAGGAAAGAACCGAGGACAAACTCCAATGATACCAAAATCATTATATGTAAATTTGAATAAGATATTGTCTGTTCGTGGTCGTGCGCTCGAATACTTCGCATTAACACTATACCACAAATTATCTTTGCGGTAACATTAAGTATATTTGCAGGATACATGTAGTATCTCTGGGTGCCGTAGACCCCAAATACAAGTAAAAATAGGTCATAGATAACTATCAATAATCCAAAAATAACGCCAACATAAAAAGTAGAAAAGTACTTTAGTTTAAAGACTTTCCAGCTGAACAGCAACGCAGTTGTCAGGGGAAACCAAAGGTTTACTATTAATACCTCCACACTGACGCCAATCAGTTTAATTCGTTTTACAGACAACGGTAAACTGTGGTTGTGATATTGCCATTCTATACAAAGATCAGTTGTTTTTAAATCGAGATATTGGAATACCATCGTAATAGCAGTCAGGGGCACAACAGCGATAGTTATACTTAGACTTGTCCAAAAGCTTCTTCGAATGGACTCCCGATAACTTACAATCTCAGGTGAGACGTCACTAATTAACCTACGATAGTCTGTCAATCTTTCTCTGGTTAATTCTGGCAATGGCGAAGTCAATTCGTCCTCGTTATTAAAGTCATCGTATTCTTTATTGATATATGGCAGCCATTTATCTTCGTCAATCAGTCGTCGTTCACTTGATTCGTCCGTTTCATAGGGTTGTTCTCGCCGAGACAAACGCGGCGTTTCGTTCAGGAAAAGCGAAAACACTGACAGAATCATTCCCACAATTTCTTCCAACATGATTGACGACTGAATCGCTGTAGACACGATTTAAAGCGAGAGGTGATACGAGAATTATTCTATCCGTATAGTATATATTTCTCTTGCTTTGCGATGAGTTCTGGGTTGTGGATTTGGCGAGGAATTTGTACATTACCTGCAGGAAGACGAATTAACCATGCATATAGTGAAAGGGCAATTACAAAGACCTAACAATATTAAAATGTTTTGTAATACCATCTACGAATGAAGAAATATCTTACTTCGTTTGATTATTAATATATTTAGTATATTTAGTAGCGGAATGCATAAGCTCCCTTCAGTGGCTTTTGAGGGTAGTGCATTCATTGATCCTTTGAAATCTATTTCTGTTTTTGTACCAGAGAGAGCACCGTCGTTTGACACATGCATGCATTGTAAAATGTTCAATCGCAAACTGCAATCTTGAATGCCAGGCATGTTTATGATAAAACAGTTGTGTTTAATTTTGTTAATTACCTTGGAAAATTTCTTGAGCCGTGAAATATATTCGTGAGAAAATATTTATCTGAACTCATATTTGACTAGTGCTCAAATTAACTTATCTCAAATAACTTGGCAATCTCCTATGTAGCCACATGCTTGTGACGCTCATATACCTAAGCTATGTGGTGTTGCAAAATTTATTAATCAACATTAGATTCATTAGTTTTCATATGCTTGGTAAATCTTGACTTCCTCTCAACGTGAATTTGGAAGTATTTTTTCTGTTTTGTTTACGACGGCGAACGTTGAATGACGGAGATGAGAGGGGGGAAACTGTTAGCTAGGGCACAATTTCTTTGTTATTCCCGACAGTCATTTTGAATCAGACGAGTTTTGCACGACGACGTAAGAAGTCGTTCATAGTCACTGCTGAAGCAACCTCGTACCCAGGGTCTTTTCTCTGTGTCCTGTTCTGTGGGTACGAGGTCTATACAATAAAATAAAAAAAACGATTTAATTTTGAAAACGCTCGAAAACGACGCTCGTATGAACATAGCCTAAAACATTGTACTTACAAGCGGGAAAATACAGGGACTAGTACTAGTTGCCAAAATATAGATAAAAATATTTCGGTTTAAAATTTATGGCGAACTGAACTATTTATGAACTAGGCCTAGTCCCAAAATTTCGATAAGTTTCATAACGAATGACGAGATATATAAACATATATAATACATTAAAACCTGCGAATGAATTTCTACTTCAACAACCATTTTGACCGCTGATTGGCTAAAATATAAGAGCAAGATCATCTGGGATACACCACTATAATAAGTGTTGACTCCACACTTTACTCAGTAAAATGGACTTAATTGAGAGTCTTATAGTTATCTAGATTTTTAGGTAGGCCTGCCCTAAAATAAAGTACAATTCCTGACTATGTACGTTCCGTTCCTAGCGCGAGACCCTTGGACGCGCGCATGGACACCATCACCATGACAACGATGAGGTTAGCAAACAAATGTCGTTTCTACTAAAGGTTGATTCTACAATCTACTTCGATTGGACTAAATAGATAGCCTTAACTTGTCTCGTCCTCTTAATAGGCTGTTACTGAGACAAGGTACAGTTTCTGACAATGTATGCCCCGTGGTCTGTGCCAGTCCCATTGACGCGGACTTTAAAAACCGATATAAGGACTGGGGTAAAATATGACACCATCACCATGAGAATAACGAGATTAGCCAACATATGTCGTTTCCAGTACTTTGACCACACGCGACTAATAGGAATGTTGTAGTAATGAATTTGAACAAAATTGGATAAGACATTAAAAAAGAAGTCGATTCCAATGCCAATAGCAATGTTCCTCAAAGTCTCGTAAACGACGGACGAAACAGAAAGTTTAAAACTTTCTACAATGAACAAGACCAAGGTTCCTTGACTTACAACGAGTGTAATGTACTCGAAAAACATGTCTTGAATTTCTAAGTCCGCTCTTAACCTTCTGTAGTGTGGTGTGTCACGAGGCATTTCGTGAAGTCTTTGACAGCAAACAGTTCGCTTCAACCGTGAGATGATGTAACTCCACAATCTCATTCTTACCCGATCGGTTGCTTTCGCCAAAAAGTTCAAAGCACCAGAAAATAATGAAAGTCCAACGAACAGCCAAATGTTCGTGAAGTCCGCTTGCATGGTACGGTATAGGTAAATTACACCACCTCGAATACTGTACACAAAAACAAAACTCCGACCGGGATGTACTACCCCGGAACTTCGCCTCAACGCAATATGCTTCAGGATTACTGCAGGAATAATGGCCATCGCAGGAGCCATAGCAGCGATCATAAACTTATATTGTTCTTCTTTTAAACCATTGAAGAAAGGAACTATTGCGTAACTGTAAATGTATGACAGCAGAGAACCCAGGAGAAATTCTGACGATACCAAACCCAATATATGGAAGTTGGAATAAGATATGTTCTGCTCGCTGGCTCGAATATTGTGCAATATAACCATACAACAGATGATTATTCCAATAAAGTAAAGAACATTTGCAGGAGATCTGTAATACACGTGCGTGCCGTAGATCCCAAATACCAGTAAAAATAAGTAATAGATAACTACCATTAATCCTAAAATAAGACCAACATAAAAAGTAGAAAAGTACTTCATTTTGAAAACTTTCCAGCCGAACAGCACTACAGCTTTGAGAGGAAACCAAAGGAATATTATTAACACTTCCACACTGTGGCCAATCAATCGAGTCCGTTTTACAGACAACGGTAAACTGTGGTTGTGATATTGCCATTCTATGCAAATATCATTTGTCTTGAAATCCAAATATATCAACGCCATCAGAAATATCGTTAGGGGTAAAATAGCGATTGTTATACTTAGACTTGTCCAAAAACTTTTGCAAATAGACTTCCGATAACTCACAATCTGAACCGATGAGATATCACCAATCCTGCGATATTCTGCCAATCTTTGTCTAGTGAATTCGGAAAATGGGGAAATCAATTCGTTGTCGTTATTAAAGTCATTGTATTCTTTGTTGATATATGGCAGCCATTTATCTTCCTCCATCGGTCGACTTTCATTAGAGTCGTCTGCCTCATGAAGTTGTTCTCGCCGAGACAAACGCGGCGTTTCGTTCAGGAAAAGCGAAAACACTGACAGAATCATTTCCACAATTTCTTCCAACATGATTGACGACTAAAACGCTGTAGACACGATTTTGAGCGAGAGGTGAGACGGGAAATATTTTATCCGTATAATATATATTTCTCTTGCTTTGCGATGAGTTCTAGGTTCTGGATTTAGCAAAGGAATTTGTACATTAAAAGCAGGAAGACGAATTAACCATGCATAGTGAAAAGGGCAATTACAATGACCGAACAATGTTAAACTATTTTGTAATACCATCTACGAATGAAAAAATTTTTTACTTTGCTTGTATTAATATATTTAGTAGCGGAATGCATAAGCTTCCTACAGTGGCTTTAAAGGATAGTGCATTGATCCTTTGAAATCTATCTCTGCTTTTGTACCAGAGAGAACACCGTCATTTGACACATGAATGCATCGTAAAATGTTTTATCGCAAACTTTCATCTTGGATAACAATGCTAGCCATGTTTATGATAAAAGATGCAGTTGTGTTTAATTTTGTTAATTACCTTCGGAAATTTCTTCTTTTGTCTCGTGAGTAGTTTGGCGAATTGAGCCGTGAAATATATCCGTTAGAAAATATTTGTCTGAACTCATATTTGACTAGTGCTCAAATTAAGTTATCTCAAATAACTTGGCAATCTCCTATGTAGCCACGTGCTTGTGACGCTCTGTGGAGTTGCAAATAGGGTGTGTCACTCTGTTATACTTAATGAATGAATGGAGGTGACAAAAGAAATACAATTTTTACTCCGGCGTCAGCGACGGAGTTGAAAATTCGCCTCGGTTTTGTTTTGTTTTTTTTTGTTTTTTTTATTTTTTTTTTTTATTATTTTTCGTCGTCGCAAGTCTGTAATGGCGCGAAACATTCTAATATTTAAAATGTGTATATGATTGGATTTATCTACGTCCCAGTCTTGTCTCCCAAGAGTTGTGGTGCACAGCTTTGGCTAATTTTCCGATGCGCGATTCGATTTCGCTCGCATGATACGGCAATTCCTCCAAGAGGAACAAATAAACCGTTCTTTTCATGCTTTTCGATTAAGTTTAGACTGAATTGGGGTAAGAAGATATTTTATACGTGTAGATTCTGGTCCTATTTTAGTAATATCGCTGCTATTTCGCCGTTTAACAAGATGATGTGGTCGTGTATGGGCGCTTTGACTCGTCGTAGTTTGCACAGGATTGAAGATTTAATATAACTATATAAGCGCGAATTCCAAAGGCAAAGTGTAAGACAAAGCGAATGTATCATACCGTTTATTTACATTCTTGAACGATTTAACTTCTATACTTTTTAAAGTACGATGTGCTTCTGAATTTCGCGATCGAACATTTAGGTACGCAAGGCATCTAAATGCGAATATGAACTGTATTGTTTATGTTCAGAAGCTCTATATTGAAGACTGGCACGTGCGCCGGAGTTAACGCCAGAACAGGCGTCTTGTTTACAGTTAAATTCGGAACGCCTGCATAACGTGCACTGAACTCTAGAGCCTTTTGTAAGAATAGCATTGGGATTATTTGTATGTTGAATGGCAACAACAAACATTTGATTCATGGCTGCTCGCTCTCCCACCTTTCATGCTGGGCTTTATACCAAACCCTAAAATTTACGAATTCCGTTATATATTTTCTTTTATAAACTTATTCATCACTGTTATTCCCTTGATTTACTGTATTTTCCTGCGAATTATCGCAATAAATGCTAAATCTTCAGCACAACCTGACTAAAACAACGTGCAATTCTTGACTTGGTACGTCCCGTTTCTCGTGCCAGTCCTATTCAGCCGCGCTCGAAAAACTGGGAAAAGGACTGGGCTAAAATATGACATTGTCACCATAATAATGATGAGGTTAGCCAACAGATGTCTTTTCCAGTACTTCGACCACACACGACTAATTGGAATGTTGTAGTAATGAATTTGAACAAAATTGGATAAGACATTGAAAAAAAAGTCGATTCCAATGCCAATAGCGATGTTCCTCAAAGTCGTGTAAATCACGGACGAAACAGAAAGTTTAAAACTTTCTACAATGTACAATACCAACATCCCTTGACTTACAACGAGTGTAATGTACTCAAAAAGCATGTTTTGTATTTCTAAATCCGCTCTTAATCTTCTGTAGTGTGGTGTGTCACAAGGCATTTCGTGAAGTCTTTGACAGCAAACAGTTCGCTTCAACCGTGAGATGATGTAACTCCACAATCTCATTCTTAAGCGATAGGTTGCTTTCTTCAAAAAGTTCAAAACTCCGGAAAACAATGAAAGTCCAACGAACAGCCAAATGTTTGTGAAGTCTGCTTGCATGGTACGGTATAGGTAAATTACACCACCTCGAATACCGTATACAAGAACAAAACTCCGACCGGGATGCACTACTCCGGAGCTTCGCCTCAACGCAATATGCTTCAGGATTACTGCAGGGAAAATGACCATCGCAGGAGCCATAGCAGCGACCAGGAACTTATATTGTTCTTCTTTTACACTTATAAAGAAAGGAATTGTGCCGTATCTGTAAACAAATGATAGTACAGAAGACACGAGGAATTCTGACGAAACCAGAGCGAATATATGAAAGTTAGAATAAGACAAAGTCTGCTCGCTGGCTCGAATATTGCGTAATACGACAATACTGCCAGTGATTATTCCAGTAAAGAAAAGAACATTTAAAGGATATCTATAATACATATGTGTACCATAGGCTCCAAATACCATTAATAATAGGTAATAGATAACTGCCGTTAATCCAAAAATAACACCAACATAAAAAGTAGAAAAGAACTTCATTTTAAAAACATTCCAGCTGAACAGCACCGCAGTTGTCAGGGGAAACCAAAGATTTATTACCATTGCCTCCACGCTGTCGCCAATCACTCGAAGTCGTTTTACAGACAACGGTAAACTGTTGTTGTGATATTGCCATTCTATGCAAAGATCAGTTGTCTTTAAATCCAAATATAGTAAAGTCATCGTGAAAGCTGTTATAGGCATAATAGCGATAGTTACACTTAGACTTGTCCAAAAGCTTTTGCAAATGGACTTCCGATAACTCACAAGCTCAGAAGAGACATCACCAAGCCTACGATAGTTTCTCAATCTTTGTCCTGTCAATTCAGCCAATGAAGAAGAAGTCAATTCGTCTTCGGGAATAATGTTCTCGTATTCTTTGTTGATATATGGCAGCCATTTATCTTCCTCTATCAGTCGACTTTCACTTGAGTCGTCTGCCTCATGAAGTTGTTCTCTCCGAGACAAACGCGGCGCTTCGTTCAGGAAAAGCGAAAACGCTGACAAAATCATTCCCACAATTTCTTCCAACATTTGGACGGATTGCTGAAGACACGAACTGGAAGAAGATGTGACACGATAATAATTCTTGTATCCGTAGAAAATTATGAGATTTTCCTTCTCCTGCACACGATGGCCTCTGGATTTTAAAGCTTCCAAAGCAGGAAATGTATTTGACAAACAGGAAGTTGATGTAATCAAACAGGGAACGCAATATAACAATTACCAAACTATAATTAACAATATTTTCAATTGCCAATCAGCATCAATTAATAGGTGCATGAAAAAGGCGTCTTTATACACTCATCTTTACCAATCCGTGAAATAGTCGATTTGAAAGACACAACGTAGAATAGTTTGATCACTTCTGTCCATTAATCAAGCTGCCGACGCCACTTTTGTACAACGTGACAGTGTTTTCGTTTTCGAAGGAGAAATCCTGAAAGATCCTGACCTGATAAAGCGGACTGAAAGAGAAGAGTATCTACCATTCACTGTTTTTTTTTTGAAAGTTCTTTGTATTTACTTTTACTAGAACATCCTCCCACACAGTAAAATCATGCATGCTAACAATTGTGAGAACCACTTTTGAGGGTTTTCCTAGCATTTTCCATAGCAACGATGGCGCCATCAAGTTCGCTAGATCCGTTCTTGCTCTGTTGTTACCTCCTAGTGGCTAGTCGACTTTCACATGCATCATTGTGGCCCACGATGCCATTGAGACCGAGAATATTTTGTGTATTCTACGGATTTAGCAACTTAGAGCAACCGAAACTGACTCAGTTGGATGATCAAAATGGCTCCACATCAGCTAGGACAGTGACGGGTTATTGGACAGGATCAATTTTCACTAGAACAATGAGCAATTCCTGATTATGTATGTCCCGTTCCTCGCACCAGTCCCATTGACGCGCGCTTGAAAATTAGAGAGAAGGACTCGGCTAAATATGACACTGTCACCACGAGAATGATGAGGTTAGCCAACATATGTCGTTTCCAGTATTTCGACCACACGCGACTAATTGGAATGTTGTAGTGATGAATTTGAACAAAATTGGATAAAACATTGAAAAAGAAGTCGATTCCAATGCCAATAGCGTTGTTCCTCAAAGCCTCGTAAACGATGGAAGTTATTACAGTTAAAACTATTGCGTCATAATTATGCTAAAACATTAAAATATATAAATTTATTTAAAGTATTTAAAATCGAGCAAGGAAGTTAACTATTGTTAACCTTATTGTTCCCTATTACACATTGCATATATAAAAGAGTTGCTACCCTATTTTGTATGGCTCATAGGAAAATTGAAAGCTCTTTTATGTCTAGATCTTAGATTGTATTATTAAATTAATATGGAGCTGGAATATTTCGATATTAGTAATGTTATTTTTCATCGTTGAAGTACATCTTTGATGCTTAAGAAGCAGGCTCGAGAGTATTTTTATCTTTGATTTATCCACTGTTAGAGCAAAACAACCCGGTCCTTAAAATTAATAATTGATAACAATGATCCTGCTCAACGTGCAGAAATGTTTTCGTTCTCGTGGCACTCGCGCGTGTACGCGTGTACGCGAGTCTACTCGGTGTATTATTCGCGTACACGCGCGAGGGCCACGAGAACGAAATCATTTTTGGGCTGCCTACGGATATACAAGCATTTTAATTTCTCACTCATGCAGTTCCTCAAAATTTTGTTTTCGTTTAGTAGGGCTGAAATAAAAGCTTTTTTGCAGTGTTGTATGCTTTGTATTCGATTAGTTAACACCTTGCACAATTAAATCACAATGCAAACGGGCGTGTTTATCATTTGGTACTAATTTGGAACATTTTGCTTGTTGTCTCTTAGACAGCGCGACTCTTGATTCGTGTTAAAAAATTATCAACTCTTGCTTGGGTTAAGTTACGTTATTTCAATGTATCCGCGAGCTATTTGGTATATAGAGCAAATTAATAATGTTTTAAACTTTGCTAAGAGCATTAGTAAAGGAATATTGAAGCTATATATAGATACAATTTACCTTAAGTGGCGATAGAATTTTAAGGCAATTATGATTGTAATTTAACTTGAGTGGGAAATTCCGCAAACAAAAAGATGCACTTATAGACACTTATTAAAATTATTTGAAAACACACAAAACAATAGCTTCAAAACCATACGGGGGGTCCATGGAATGTTGAGCAATTTTCGATTTTCATTTGCAGAAACCAAATTCTCGAAGAGTCTATTGATCATCTTAAAGGATTGATGAATATGCTAGACCATAATCAGTACAGTGTTTTGTTATGCCTCCTGTGGTTCTGTACTGAAAACATATGAAAATTTTTGCACCTGTAAAATGACAATTGTTGTGCCCTTAGTGATTTATTGATTTATCTATCTGCATTTTAGGTCTGTTAAAGTCGATTCATTTGAATATCAAAATAAATTTAAAATGAGGACAGATACTCCTTATTGCATGCATATAAATTGTTTAGTATATTGACGTTCTGGAAACTAATATATCCTAATTATAGTCCGACTAGAACAACGAGCAATTCTTGACTGTCAATATTTCGTTCCTTGCGCCAGTCCCATTGAAGCGCGCTTGAAACACCGAGAGAAGGACTGGGCTGAAATATGACACTATCACCATGAGAATGAGCACGTTAGCAAAAATATGTCGTTTCCAGTACTTTGACCACACGCGACTAATTGGAATGTTGTAGTAATGAATTTGAACAAAATTGGATAAAACATTGAAAAAGAAGTCGATTCCAATGCCAATGACAATGTTCCTCGAAGTCTCATAAACGATGGACGAAACAGAAAGTTTAAAACTTTCTACAATGTACAAAACCAAGGTGCCTTGACTTACAACGAGTGTAATATACTCGAAAAGCATGTCTTGAATTTCTAAATCCGCTCTTAACCTTCTGTAGTGTGGTGTGTCACGAGGCATTTCGTGAAGTCTTTGACAGCAAACAGTTCGCTTCAACCGTGAGATGATGTAACTCCACAATCTCATTCTTACGCGATAGGTTGCTTTCTTCAAAAAGTTTAAAACACCGGAAAACAATGAAAGTCCAACGAACAGCCAAATGTCTGTGAAGTCCGCTTGCATGGTACGGTATAGGTAAATCACTCCACCTCGGATACAGTACACCAGGATGAAACTCCGACCGGGATGTATTATCTCGGAACTTTTCCTCGACGCAATATGCTTCAGGATTACTACAGGAATAATGGCTATCACAGGAGCCATAGCAGCGACCAGGAACTTATATTGTTCCTCTTTTACACTATTGAAGAAAGGAACCATGGCGTATCTGTAGAAGTATGCAAGGAGAGAACCAAGGACAAACTCGAATGATACCAAAATAATTATATGTAAATTTGAATAAGATATTGTCTGTTCGTGGTCGTGCGCTCGAATACTTCGCATTAACACTATACCACAAATTATCTTTGCGGTAACATTAAGTATATTTGCAGGATACATGTAATATCTCTGGGTGCCGTAGACCCCAAATACAAGTAAAAATAAGTCATAGATAACTATCAATAATCCAAAAATAACACCAACATAAAAAGTAGAAAAGTACTTCATTTTTAAAACTTTCCAGCTGAACAGCACCGCAGTTGTCAGGGGAAACCAAAGGTTAGTTATTATTACCTCCACAGTGACGCCAATCAGCTTAATTCGTTTTACAGACAACGGTAAACTGTGGTTGTGATATTGCCATTCTATGCAAAGATCAGTCGTTTCTAAATCGAGATATTGGAATACCATCGTAAAAGCAGTCAGGGGTACAACAGCGATAGTTATACTTAGACTTGTCCAAAAGCTTCTGCGAATGGACTCCCGGTAACTTACAATCTCAGGTGAAATGTCACTAATTAACCTGCGATAGTCTGTCAATCTTTCTCTGGTTAATTCGGGCAATGGCGAAGTCAATTCGTCCTCGTTATTAAAGTCATCGTATTCTTTGTTGATATATGGCAGCCATTTATCTTCATCAATCAGTCGTCGTTCACTTGATTCGTCCGTTTCATAGGGTTGTTCTCGCCGAGACAAACGCGGCGTTTCGTTCAGGAAAAGCGAAAACACTGACAGAATCATGCACACAATTTCTTCCAACATTTCGACGGATGGCTGTTGACACGATCTGGGGAAGATGTAAAAGAAGAATTATTGTATTTTATATTACATTTCCCTTCTCTTACAATTGTCCAAGCTTATAGCAGGGAAATTTATTCAGTACACAAGAAGGAAGACGAACTAGCCATACTGAAAGGGTAATTACATACATAGTAAGGATTACCTCTGGTAATCTCATCTCGCGTCAAAGATACATGAGAATTAAAGCCTTCTGTCCATCTCTGGTACCAACGATATCCGCGAACGACACGAAAGCGACAGTCTTGGCACTCTTCATCCTTCTGGCACTGATAAATGAAAGTCTACTTCTCATGGCACAACGCCTGGAGTGATATGACTTTCCATTTCCTTGTTTACTTTCTACCACGAGTTTTGCCCACATACTTCGCGTGTGTTCTCCCTAATTTTCTACACTCTTGACGAAGGCCCCATGTAGGTCGAAACGTCGAGAAGTGTTTAGTCCATTTTAGGCAGTTGTTGACCACATTTGATACGAAGTTGTTGCCACGTTGTTTCCAGGTTATATTGGAACGGAATTAAATACATAATTATACTGCAAATAACATGTTTGTAACGCGCGTTCTGAGTCGCAAATCTTGAGTCGCAAACTGTCAATGTTGATCACAATCTTACCAGCTCAGTTTATGATAAAACAGCCATATTTTTTATACAACTGTCTTCGAGAATGTTTCTTTTTGTCTCTTTAACAGCGTGACTTCGTTTAGTTAACTGAGCGGTGAAATAATTTCAAAAATATTATTACTAAAAGGAAATTTTTAAAATCAATTTAACCTGAGTGGCAATAGAATTTGAAGGCAATTATAATCACAACTCAACTTGAATGGGAAAGACCGCAAACAAAAAGATACACTTATAAACACTTATTAAGAGTAAATCAATTATGATTTTTGGTACTTCAATCGATGTAGGTAAATTCTAGAGGTTGAAAGAGTCTTAATTTTCGAGTGGAATTATACACACTTCAAATTCAAGCTAGGAACAGGAATCGAAGAGCATTGTACTGGAATCGCAAAAACCGTAGGTTCCATTCCTGCTGGAGGACTGATAGAGTTGACTCATTTTTCCTTCAACTGTTCCTGGCTTGAATTTAAAGTGTGTATAATTCCACTCGAAAATTAAGATCCTTTCAACCTCAAGAAGGCTTATTGAGAATGTTTGAGAACACTCAAAACAATAGCCTCAAAACCATACGGGGTCCATAGAATGTAAAATCACGTAAAATATTGCGCGTTGAGGGGTTTTCAATTGAGTATTTTACAGTATTTTAGTGCAAAGGAATTTTTCAATTGGTTCGCCGGTTTAAACATATGAAAATTTTTACACCTGTAAAATGACAATTTATTTCCCCAATAATGCCATAGAGAACCGAGACAAAGTGCCTTTTGTTGATTTATCAAACTGCATTTAGGCCTGCCACTGAAGCTAATTCATTTTGAATTTCAACTGAAATTGCTTTAAAACCTGAGGACGCGGTAACTGGTTATTGGACAGAATAAATTTTCTAGCATACTGAATCTCGGGTGAGATTTGTTACTCTATAAAATATACATGAAGTTCCTGAAGTCCAATGTATCTTCAGGACAGTCCGACTAAAACAACGAGCAATTCTTGACTATGAATATCCCGTTCGTTGCGCCAGTCCTATTGAAGCGCGCCTTAAAAACCGAAAGAAGGACTGGGCTGAAATATGATACCATCACAATGAGAATGATGAGGTTGGCCAACACATGTCGTTTCCAGTACTTTGACCACACGCGCCTAATTGGAATGTTGTAGTAATGGATTTGAACAAAATTGGATAAAACATTGAAAAAGAAGTCGATTCCAATGCCAATAGCAATGTTCCTCAAAGTCTCGTAAATGATGGATGAAACAGAAACTTTAAAACTTTCTACAATGTACAAGACCAAGGTTCCTTGACTTACAACGAGTGTAATGTACTCAAAAAGCATGTCCTGAATTTCTAAATCCGCTCTTAATCTTCTGTAGTGTTGTGTGTCACGAGACATTTCGTGAAGTCTTTGACAGCAAACAGTTCGCTTCAACCGTGAGATGATGTAACTCCACAATCTCATTCTTAAGCGATAGGTTGCTTTCTTCAAAAAGTTCAAAACTCCGGAAAACAATGAAAGTCCAACGAACAGCCAAATGTTTGTGAAGTCTGCTTGCATGGTACGGTATAAGTAAATTACACTACCTCGAATACCGTATACAAGAACAAAACTCCGACCGGGATGCACTACTCCGGAGCTTCGCCTCAAAGCAATATGCTTCAGGATTACTGCAGGGAAAATGACCATCGCAGGAGCCATAGCAGCGATCAGGAACTTATATTGCTCTTCTTTTACGCTATTAAAGAAAGGAACCGTGGCATATTTGTAGATGTATGCCAGAAGAGAACCCACGAGAAATTCTGACGATACCAAAGACAATATATGAAAGTTAGAATAAGACACAGTCTGATCGCTGGCTCGAATATTGCGTAATACGACAATACTGCCAGTGATTATTCCAGTAAAGAAAAGAACATTTAAAGGATATCTATAATACATATGTGTACCATAGGCTCCAAATACCAGTAGCATTAGGTAATAGATAACTACTGGTAATCCAAAAATAACACCAACATAAAAAGTAGAAAAGTATTTCATTTTGAAAACTTTCCAGCTGAACAGCACCGCAGTTGTCAGGGGAAACCAAAGATTTAATATCATTGCTCCCGCACTGTCGCCAATCACTCGAAGTCGTTTTACAGACAACGGCAAACTGTGGTTGTGATATTGCCATTCTATGCAAAGATCAGTTGTTTTTAAATCGAGATATTGCAGTACCATCGTAAGAGCAGTCAGGGGCACAACAGCGATAGTTATACTTAGACTTGTCCAAAAACTTCTGCGAATAGACTCCCGATAACTCGCAATCTCAGGTGAGATGTCACTGATTAACCTACGATAGCCTGTCAAATTTTGTCTGGTTGATTCGGGCAATGGCGAAGTCAATTCGTTCTCGTTATTAAAATCATCGTATTCTTTGTTGATATATGGCAGCCATTTATCTTCGTCCGCCAGTCGCCGTTCACTTGATTCTTCCGCCTCATAGATTTGTTCTCGCTGAGACAAACGCGGCGTTTCGTTCAGGAAAAGCGAAAACACAGACAAAATCATTCCCACAATTTCTTCTAGCATTTTGACAGATCACGCAGTAAGTTCTGGGGGAGTGGCGACAGGAACGTTATTGTATCTGCATATTACACTTTCCTTCTTTCACTAAGTGTCTTTATAGGCTATTCTAAGTTTATATTTAGCAGGGAAATTTATCTCACGGTTACCGACAAACAGGAAGACGAAGTAGCGAGGCTGAAACGGAGTAATTATAAATACCACGCAATGTTCTGGTATCTTTGTCATACCATTTACGAACATGGAAAGTATGTCTTTGTTTTCATAAAAAGATACGTTGCAACAAACTAAATAAGATCCGAAAGTCATAGAGATATCTTGAGTGGCAAACTCTGAATGTTGACCACGATCATAAGAGACGCGTTTAAACGTGATAAAACAGCGATATTTATTTTTGTATATAATTGCTTGCAAGAATGTTTCTTTTTCCCTTCAGGGGCCTAGCCATGGGGGGGCAAGGAGGGGCTTTACCCCCCCTCCAATGGTCTTTAAAACCGTTCTCATGAAATGTTTAAATCCAGCGGAATATGAGGAGGGGGGATCAAGTTAGGTAAGCAACGAGTAATCAGTAAATCTAAAAAGATTTTCACGTGTATTGTTCGTTGTTCTAATGTAATAATGACAGAATTTTGTAACCGAGTATTTGTAACCTTACGATTACTCTTAAAAGCTCGTATCAGAATGCGGGAAATGGCGTTTCCAAGCCTTAGAAATCCAAAATTTTCCCGGACCCCCCTAGATAGTTTGTGGCTTCCCCACTCACTGGTCGCCCCCCCCCCAAATTTTCTACCCTGGCTACGCCACTGTTTCCCTTCTAATTTCTAAACAGCACGTCTCATTTATTTAATGAGCTGTGACATATTTGCATGGCAAAAATTCATCCGAACTCGAATTTAACTAGCGTGCTAAAAATTGTGTTATCTCTAACAACATGGCGATCTCCAATTATGGCCACGTGCATGTGGGGTTCATAACCCAAGCTATATTGAGTGGTAAATACAGTACTGTCTAGAAATAACTATCTGATCGCGGTTAACCGAGGTCAGACCGAGGTCCAACCGTGGTGAGACAGAGCTTAATCATCGGCTTAACTCAGTCTGACAGACATTTCTTAAGATTTTTTTTATTTGGTTATTGTGTTGTCGTTCTCAACTGTTCGTTGCATTTCGTTCGGAAGCGAACGGCTACCGCGATCGTATTTTTTTCCTTGCGGTCGTCTGCGGTTCCTATCGGTCGACCGCACACGAACCCGCAGTGTTAACCTGTTATTTCTGGACAGCAATGTATAGTACATATATCATGCAAACTTTGCCACGGGTTAAATCAGTGGCAAACGTAAAAACTTATACAATTCGGCAATTCATGACTTTTTTTTTTTGCTCTTGTTAAACATCGACTTCCTCCTAACCGAGTTAAGAGGAAGGACAGAGGACATTCTTCTCTGACTCCGTCAAAAAATAAAAAAAAATCTCAAAAAAAAATGTTTTTAACGCCCACGATAATAATGTGAGATATTCGCGGATATGCATTATTGTACCCGACAGTGCTCTTGCGAATTTTTAGTATATATTTAACGTGCGGTTGGGATTTACTACGCTACGCTAGAATTATATGGGAAACCTGGGATCTACTGTATCTGTATCTTTAGAACCTCCCGACTAGAACAACGAGCAATTCTTGACTATGTATGTCCCGTTTCTCGCGCCAATCCCATTGACGCGCGCCTGAAAAACCGAGAGAAGGACTGGGCTGAAATACGACGCCATCACAATGAGAATGATGAGGTTGGCCAACACATGTCGTTTCCAGTACTTTGACCACACACGACTAATTGGAATGTTGTAGTAATGAATTTGAACCAAATTGGATAAGACATTGAAAAAGAAGTCGATTCCAATGCCGATACCGATGTTCCTCAAAGACTCGTAAATGATGGACGAAACAGAAAGTTTAAAACTTTGTATAGTGTACAAAACCAAAGTTCCTTGACTTACAACGAGTGTAATATACTCAAAAAGCATGTCTTGTATTTCTAAATCTGCTCTTAACCTTCTGTAGTGTGGTGTGTCACGAGGCATTTCGTGAAGTCTTTGACAGCAAACAGTTCGCCTCAACTGTGAGATGATGTAACTCCACAATCTCATTCTTAAGCGATAGGTTGCTTTCTTTAAAAAGTTCAAAGCACCAGAAAATAATGAAAGTCCAACAAACAGCCAAATGTTTTTAAAGTCTGCTTGCATGGTACGGTATAGGTAAATTACACCACCTCGGAGAAAGTACACCAGGACAAAACTCCGGCCGGGATGCACTACTTCGAAACTTTTTCTCGACGCAATATACCTACAAATTACAGCGGGAATGATGACCGACCCAGGAGCCATAGCAGCGATCAGAAACTTATATTGTTCTTCTTTTACGCTGTTGAAGAAAGGAACCATGGCATATTTGTAGATGTATGCCAGTAGAGAACCCAGGAGAAATTCTAACGATACCAAAGACAATATATGGAAATTAGAATAAGACACAGTCTGATCGCTAGCTCGAATATTGCGTAATACGACAATACTGCCAGTGATTATTCCAGTAAAGAAAAGAAAATTTAAAGGATATCGATAATACATATGTGTACCGTAGACCCCAAATACCAGTAGCAATAAGTAATAGATAACTACCACTAATCCAAAAATAACACCAACATAAAAAGTAGAAAAGTACTTCATTTTGAAAACCTTCCAGCTGAACAGCACCGCAGTTGTCAGGGGAAACCAAAGATTTACTATCATTGCTTCCACGCTCTCACCAATCACTTGAAGTCGTTTTACAGACAACGGTAAACTGTGGTTGGGATATTGCCATTCTATGCAAAGGTCAGTTGTCTTTAAATCGAAATATAGAAACGCCATCGTGAAAGCCGTTAGGGGAATCATAGCGATTGTTATACTTAGACTTGTCCAAAAGCTTTTGCAAATGGACTCCCGATAACGATGTGCAACCTCAGATGAAACATCACTAAAAAGCCTACGATATTCTGTTATTCCTTGTCTGGCTGTTCTAGGCAATTTGTTGTCGTTGTTGCAGTCAACGGTCTCGTATTCTTTGTTGATATATGGCAGCCATTTGTCATCTTCTATCAATCGACTTTCACTCCACTCGCCAGTCTCGTGAGCTTGTTCTCGCCGAGATACACGCGGCGCGTCGCTCAGGAAAAGCGAAAAAACGGACAAAATCATTCCCAGAATTTCTTCCAACATATTGCAACCCTTGTCTTATACGACGGTCTCTGGGTTAATCCAAGTTTATACTGATAACACAGAACAGGCTATATTCAATTTTTTTATATATATTTATATAGATATATAACAATAATAATCGATAACAAATTAACAATGGCGTAGCCGGCATGGATATGTGGGTGGGGTATATTCATATATTCATGTTTACTGAACGGTAAAACAATCGATTTCAAAGGAAATAATTAACTGTACGAGTATTTGAATATGCATCGTTATATGATGTTGGGCTTGCGACGCCTAATGATTGATGTGGTAGGGTTCTTTCGATGGCACCATCGACAAGGCTCCGTTATACCATGACAAGATTTAGTAGCGGACATTTTTTTATACTCCCCACGATGGCTTTTTCCATTGCGAAATGCAGTGTATGCTAGGACATGCAGACACATTTGCTTTTCACTTTCACTTGCGTTTTAAACTTATCAAACTGGGTCCCTGTGGGAAAGTCACGATTGTCTATTTCGAATCTGAAGTAGAGGTCTGCATGGCGGTGACAAGGTTGAACTTTTGTAATTTTGCTTTCAATTCTTCTTCTGAATGCGCATTCCGCAATCTTTTGACAGCTCATCATACAAATTTGACAGCTAATTATAGCTATATGTCCATTTTGTGGTTTAAAGTATAAAAATAATACACAAGGTTATTATTCAGACGATTCGTTTTTGCCGTGTGCAAGTTTCAAATCTTTTGGTGAGTAAAAAATTTTCTCACCAAGTTTGAATTGAGAATTGCGGCTAAGAGAACTGCGACCAATTTCCGCAGTGTCTAACGATATGCTGTGCGAATGTTGGGTCGCAAACTCGCAGTGTCATGACAATACCAATAAACATGTATTCAATGAAACAGACACCTTTCATTTTGTTATTTACCTCGAGAAGTTTTCCCTTTTGTCATTAAACAGCATGACTCGTTTTGTGAATTGAGCTGTGACATTCGGGGCCTAATGTGTTCGGCGAGGTTTGAGAACTTTTGGTTTTTGGAGCAACTTTCATTTTGACCAACTTCACGGCAATTATTTCGTTTAAATAGCATTATTACTAAGTCATTTCGTTTCTAACCGAGACCCACACTGAGCTACGTTCACGAAAATTGACTAAAATCGCTCATTCGGACATTGACATTGACTAAATCGTTCCCACAATTTATCTCAACAAATAGACGGGGAAATATATTTTGCCAACGGGCAATAACAAATACCAGACAATGTTTAACAACATTTTTTTATATATTCTAATATTTTATTGTTATGTTATGTTATCTCAATTAGACTGGCAATCTCCTATACCAGCATGTCGTCAATATCCGCGAGCTATATTTGGTGTAGCCAACCGAAGGGTGTATAAAATTAGCTAGGTTAAATCAAATTTTTGATAAGATATTAATACAATATCGACTTAAGTGTCAATTTAAGTATTTAACTTGAGTGGCAATGGACGTGGGAATAACCACAACCAGGAAGATGCACTTATAAGTGAGATTGAGTACGTTACACACAAAACAATAGCTTAAAAACCAGATGGGGGTCCATGGAATGTACTGTATTTTAACTCATTTTTAGCAGGAAGCCTTTTAAGTTACAGCATGCATGGTAACCTCAGAAAGGCTACAAGACAGAATTGTAAGGACTGGTGATCGACTCCTGTCGAGCCTAAGCACGAAGAAGGGCTACGGGTACGAAGTTGTGTACCGTTGTATATTTGACTAATGTGATGTCATCATGTTTCTATTATGGTATAGACTGCAGTAATGGGGACAGAAATTTCTGGTGCAGGTCCTTTATAGGTCTTGTCCTAACCCTAAGGCCTAACTAACCTGTGTTACGCCACTGTCAGACAGGTTGAGTCTTTTTTGTTTTGGATTTGAATTTGTTCAACGAGGAGAAAACTTTATTATAGTGATATTTGCATTGCAAATTCAAATGTTGAATCATAATATAAATGTTATGAAACAACCATGACCATGTTTTAACATTTATAGAGAATAATACATGGAAATATGGAATTTATTTCCAGTCGCTGCGTTCACTCGTTCGAAATCATTCTCAACACGAGAGTTATCATGAATAATTGCACATGTAGCTACGTCATTCGTTGTTTATGCTATCGAATCGTACGCAAACATTTATCATTATTATATACACAAGAGTCAGATATGAGGTATGCCGCAGTTTCATTGGTTGGCTACTAGACAGATATTAGCTCATATCTGTCTGGTAGAGAAAGTAAACAAAATGGCTGAAAGATTTGGGGAGTTGAGTGAAATAGAAATCCAAGCTTTAGTTGATAATAGCACACCAAATGCACCGAAAGGGCGACAAAGTTTGTGTTAATAATAAAACAGTTATTCTGCTCACTCTCGTCGTATATGGCCGATAGCCATGGCTATCAGCTCATATACGACTCGAGTTCGCAGAATAACTGTTAATTATTTCAAGCCACATTTCGGCGATTTGAATTATTCTTGCTTTCTTTATAACAATTTTTATTATAAATTTGCATAACAAAAAATCTTATTAAACACTCATTTCAGTTCACAACATTTAATGGGTTAAATTCGCTACCACAATGCCTCGCGATTTTCGGTTTTCGCCAGTTTCGCTCATGATGAAAATTCAAGGCAGCAACCAAAATTATCCTGTATTTTCCTTCAACTACAAATATTAACCATATTTATCCCAAAGTGTTCTTCATTACCAATTTTATTCTTTCAAGATGGCGGACAAAGAGGAGAGTGGCAGTTTGGCAAAATCGCGTGAACAACGTAAAAATGCAGGCAATAAGATGTCGAAACTGCTCCAAGAGGAATTGGGGGAAGACGAATTTTATAAGACAGCTCTTGGTGGTTTTACGGAGGAATCGGGAGACGAGGAATATGTCTCAGAAGACGAACAATCTGACCAAGCTGATTCCGATTTTAGCATGTCTGAAACGGACGAAGTCATAGAGCAAGACGACGAGGATGAAGGCAAAAAGAAACGAGCAAAGACTTTTTACAAAAAGCCCGTTCGAGAAAAAGGCCCCAAAGAAGAGAACAAAACACCGAAGGTTAAAAAAGCGGCCGTGAAAACGACTCAAATCACTCAATCGAGGGCTTCTAGCAGAAAGTCAACTCGCGCAGCGACCTTACAGAGTTCCGACAAACATCGCAAAAGAATGGAAGGAAAAAAGGTTGGCGGCTATAAAAATCCATTGATCGGTTTTCAAAAGCATAGATTTTGTAATTTACTTTGGCAAAACAAAATATTTAGCTAACCTTCATAAAATCGTTTGCTCGCTGTTGACTCACTTGACTGTTGCTGGTTGAGAATTATGTGACTTTTGACTTCAGTAAACAACATACATTCGAAGAAACCCATCATTCAGCAAACTTGTTTTTACACTAGTCCCAGTCTTTTTGACGACAGTCCTGAGCCCTAGTGTAAAGCCAAGAAATCACCACCATACCCTTGAGAGGTGCTCTCCCACCCTTGCTTGAATATACTCTAAAAAATATCAGATGAATTGCTGCAGCATAGCGAACAACTATTGTCATCACCTAGAGTTGTAGAGCATAAAAAGCCTTGCGGGGAGAGAGTAGGAGGGGAGAAGGGTGTTGTGTTGGGCAGGTTCCCTTCCGACTGATATTTCTGGTCTAAATTAGGCCATGAATATCCATTTTACTTCTAATTTCTGATTAAACACATAACTAATTTAACTTACCTCTTCCTGAACAAGTTTAACTGGTTGTATTCTTTTTTTGACTAAGTAAGATTGCCTAGCATCTGGTAGAGTAATTATATAGTGAATTAATGTGCTTTAGTTATTGGCTGTGAATGGGTCAATTGCCATGGATATTATCTTTATATCCTAAAATTACATCCACTAATTACCATTTATGATAGAATTTTCCCAAATTAAAGCACACATTTTCATGTGGTAACAGTTCAGTTTGAACTTTCAAATGTGTTCGCTTTTTTGGGTTGTGTATTCAGTATTCTTGCACCCTGTGTTTGGAGGAGGAAATTGAACTTCCAGACGAGATCTTAAGACTTGTAGAAGCTACTCCCCCTCTCCGCAATATTTTCACTACCCCTGAAGTCGTGGTAAAATGTCGAAGCCTTCTTGAAAATGATATGAAAATCCCTCCAACCAACTTGTCCAGTTTAAGAGTCGGTGAAGACTTTATTATTAAATTATATTGATATTCGAAATAACGATTATTAACCGGGCCTCATCGTCCCAAAGCAGCATTGACTTTGCTAACCCTTGCAAACCAACTTTTGTCTTTAGGCTGACAAGAAACAGGTGAAATTCTCCCAGCTCAGACCGCTAACCCAGAAAGAATTACTGGCCGAGGCAGAAGCCACGGAACAGATTAACATCGCCTCGCTCAAAGCATACCAACAGATGGAAGAGACGAAAAAGAAAGCCAAGAACCTAAAACCCGTTCGAAAAGAACCCATGATCCGCTACCTGTCCTTGTCAATGCCGGTTGTCGAGGTCAGCGAGGAAATAAAAGTAGACGATGACGTCGTGACTGGCGTTGACCAATCAGAAACGCCGATGGAGAAGGATTCCGACCCAATCCCCGAATCGAAATGCTCCAGGAATTTTATCATATTCACAGATCCGAAAACGTTTCCCGGAAATTACTTTGCTGAGAACAAAGCCTCGATACCGCAGAAGGCATATTGCCCGGTGACGGGGCTGCCAGCGAAGTATAAAGATCCTGTCACGGGTATGCCCTATGCCACTGCACAAGCTTTCCGATATATTAGAGAACATTATGCCAAGCAGGCAGCTGAAGAAAAGACGAACGAGGGAAGATTGTGAGTGCACTGGATTATCAACAACGACCACGTTTTAGTTGGAATTTCTATTTTTGTCACTGGTATAGGAGGACTACATAGTACCCTCTACTCCAAAATGTATCCCCCGTTTTTATGTAACACCTAATATTCCCCACATGCACCTAAAAACCAAAATAACAATAAGATATGAATCTGATATTCAACAAACTTGTTCAGTTAAGTTTGTGCAGAAACAAGATATTCACCATCATTTCACTTATCCGAAAGTATTTTAACAATGCTTGATATCTTTTTCAGGCGCTCCTCGTCAAGACTAGCGCAGCACACTGTGGTGGAGGCGACGTGACGTGTACAAAAATAAAGACTCTCTATTATAATCTATTCTTCTTTTATTTATACCTTTTTCAATACCAATATCTACTTATTGTAATTAACCATGTTGCTTTGAAATAAGTTACATCAAGATTATACTTTGAAGGCTCGAATCTATGTTTGAATAGAGTGTACGTGTGCATTGTACTTATTGCCGGATAATGATTCCAGGGTTTACCCCTAGGCAACCATAAACCTGATCCTAACCTAATCGCATGGATTATATTCGTGTATTTAGCATTAACTGAATGTGGAAACATGACCAGAAACGGTACTAGGAATGTTTGCAAAAATGGTGTCTCGTCTAGGAATAGATATAACCCCAAAATCTTATAATTTATTACCCCATATTATTGTCTGCTCTAACCATTTTTGTTGTCTATGCTACTGCAGTACTAAATAATTAGAGATCAGTAAGGTCAATTTTATCGCGACTATTTTTTTCCTCGACTTTCCAGACCCCTTTTTTCGGGCAAAATCAGACAGTTTAACTTTGAAAATGACAGGTTATTAACCATTTTAAAAACTCCAAGATTTCGGCAAAACCGGCGCGGACGCCCTTAGTGACATTTTCATTTTTTTACTGGAGCGAAATTTTTACCTATTTTATGTCGGTGTTTCTTTGAACCATGTTACGCTTTAACTTTTAAATAACATCTTTGTGTGTATTTCACAGAAAGAATCTACCACAATGCCAAATTTCAAGTTTATGACTTGTTTATATCATAACACAAAGATATTCTTTATTAAAATTGGTCCAATTTGACCATAAAGTTGAATCAATTTTCGATTTAATGGTGTCAAAATATTCCTGGGAGATATTCCCTTGGATAGAGAAACAGTATATTTCATAGAACTGGTGTGACCATTGCAAATTATCTAACGTTTTTGTACATTGTTATTGAGAAAAGACCCGCAATGCTCTTGAGATAGTGATAAAAGAATACAGGATTACCGATTAAGTTAAATAAAATCTACTTTCTACAATACAATCGTATACGCATCTTGATATCGATATTTGGGTATCTGTAATTACAATACGATGTGGTAACATTTCCTTCATTCCTCTTCCAGCCTTTTCCGTTCTTTGCGGGCTAAAATATGAACGAGAACGTTTCAGCAATTCACCTCCTTGTCTCATTAGTTATTTATATAGTTGACTGTCCAGTTGTATCTCGCGGTCTGTGATACGCGCACCACAGACTGCAATATGAACTGGACACAAATAAATCACAGTTTGCAATATGAACTGAACTGGACACAAATAAAACACAGACTGCAATATGAACTGGAAACACAAATAAAACACAGACTGCAATATGAACTGGAAACACAAATAAATTACAGACTGCAATATGATCTGGACACAAATAATTATAGGATGTGGCATTTTGTGTGGCAATAGGTCTACATCACCTACCTATTTCGTTATTTCGGAGTATGTATTGGTCAACCAGCACTTGGGGACCTCTTGAGTCAAATGAGCATCCTAACTTGAGCAATGTTTTGTTTTCTTTCAAAACTATTGCAATTTCATCTTCTGCCTGACTGCCAGCCATTTGAGACTGGTTGGCAATGCGAAGTTCCTTTATCACTGCGTTATCTTTTAAGACTTGAACTATGCACTGTATAAAAACATACAAAATTTATATCACATTCAAAACAAGAACTAATACTTAAAGCTAATGTGGAAACATACTGTATATGACCTTTATCATCAAATATCAAAATCTTTAATTATGCCTATTTTGATTGTTCGTTCTTACCTTTATCCCAACACCAGTGATATAGTTTGATTCAACATTTAATGATTCTAGTGTTGAATTTTTCCTTAATGCTTCGGCTAAATCCTACAGCAATTGAGAAGTATAAGATTGACAATATTGAGCATTTTAAACACATTAATTCATACATGATACTTTATACATTATGACCAGCAAAAAAAACAAAAAATGAATTTAGAGAGAAGTATTTATAAAATCACTTAAAGGAAAATACCATCTCTTACCTTGGCATGTCGATCCTGCATATGCGTGTTCGCCATACATAGAACCTTCAAGTGCGTATTGTTTTGTAAACAATCGATTATCGTTTCAATTGCATTCAGCTCGTTAATGTCTTTATGATTATTTACATTAAGATTTGTTAAATTTGCATCATTTGATTTTAATTTTTCTAATGCGTCAGCCAGATCTAATTCGTTCACAGCATTCAGACTGTTATCCTTCTTCTGTTTTATACCAGTTACAAATTCTAAAAAGTTATTTGTAAAATTACACAGTGTCATATACTATGGCATGCAGTAGGCTAATGCAGTAATTTATAAAGTCACCAGACAAGATAATTTTGAGACACATATTCATACATTCATCTTCTGCATTACTGACTTCTTAAGCGATTGTTTTCATGGTATGTGAATAAAGACATCTGAATAGAAACCCACAATTAACAAATGCAACCTACTGGGTTTTGCTTTCCTCAATCCACTTCCACGCAAAGACTTTCCAATCATATCAACGTCTCCAAATGCACTTTGTTCTTGTGTGAGAAGACCATGAAGGCCAAGCACAGCTAATAATGAAAAAATGCTCTTTATGGCAAGGGTACATTTCAAATATATTTGCAGCTACTATACTTTGAACAATAGATATTGAAAGTAAGGCTAAAATATTCATGTTCCAATACATGCCACTAGACATATTATCTATATACAGTATTTGGCTTGATTACATAATTTAAAATAAATAATAACTTGACATATGTGCAATGAAATACAGAACCATACTACGCACCAGCAAGCTCCGCTATTTCATCGACTGAAGCTCCATCCAGTGCCTCACTAAGGTCATCAGGAAGAATCGTTGCAGGTGCTTGGCGTCTCGGTTTTGGTTTCCAAACCTTCCCCCGGGTTTCTTTCTTGAAGGGTAGATAATTTTCGCCAACTTTTGACTCGAGAGCTTCTTTCTCCATATGCTTCAGGAGATGTTCCCTCTGGTAGGGCCCAGTATCCTCTTTATCCGTTTGGTTAGGTTGCCGCTCAGCAGCGGGCAACAGCTCATTCTATTTTATCAAATATATTTACAGTTAATTAATGCACCTTGTTGCATGTACATCATGTTATCAGTGGCAAATAATTAGCATTTGCAAATAACAATCCTTATGGAGAATTTATAATTTATGTATTACAAGGACGCAGACTGTCAATATCACAAGTCAATCATCTCAAACATCACGAATGTCAAGGCTGTGGGTTTTTGGAGCTTTACTGTAAATATTTAATTTAGAAAGGCTGTTTACACATGAATGCACTATCTTATTTATTCAACCCTCTGGAAAGGCCAGACAAATAAATTTTGTTAATTTTAGAAAGAAAACGTTTTGCCAGACTAATATGAACAGCAAGTGCTCATATCACAAGTAAATTATTTGGCATTCGGATGAATAAAATACTAAGGGTTCATTGTGAGAGTTTAGAGGAATTAAATTCTAAAGCATCTTCTAAAATTCTAATTTTTGTAAAAAAGTTTCTTTTAAAGAAGGCTTGTCCACTACGTCCTGAATTAACACACGGTAGAAGACAATATGATGATTGATTTTTACGAATTGCTTAGTTACAAAGTGACGCATCCTTACTGGGTCTTTTACCCTTTGACATTACTCTAAACCAATATAAAAACACTTCAAAATTCGCTTTCAAAATATCGTAAAAGAAATAAAATTTAAAACGGTGTTCCGATCTGGCATTATTCCCAAAGATATGAGCAAATCCAAAACACTTCAAAGCATATTATTCAGCGATAAATAATTTATTTGTTTCGCATTTTTGACAGAGGAATATGCGCTGTCGAGTGTCGCCTGAACTTTATGGAGAAAGTTTCAAATATAAACGGTCAAATTTCTCTAAAATGATATTTGTTTTGCATCGTATGAATAAACAGAAATTTCTACATAGAAACACACAGATGGAAACTTTTATGCTCGAAAATTTCCGGGGCAAATAATATGATATGGATCTACAATGTTGAACAAGAGAACCAGCAACATAGCTGATTCTCGTACAGTAATAAAAGAATATCAACTTCATTCTATAAATATCAGTGATATTCAAAAGGTTCTTCGCACCTCTGGGTCAATGGCTTCAGAAAGTTCTTCGATTTCTTGCAAAGAAAGCCCATCCAGCAAATGTAGGTCGTCCAAATCTCCAAAATCGTCCAGTTTCGACATATTATAAACGATTTGCTAAAGAACGACGCCTGTTTACAAAGCAAACGCAGCCAAATTCAAATCCCGATTTTAAGCGATCGGCACTTCCTTCCAGATAAATAATAGGCCTATGCAATGCTTGACAGGTCTATTTTACACAAATATCGTAGTAATCAACGTAAATTCTATCGTAAATGTAATACAAACGTGTTTGAAGATGCTTCAAGACACCTCCTTCGCTCGCTCCTTGCTCAATTTGCCACACGAAGAGTGATCAACAACTGCTCACACCCCCCTGATATATTGTCCCTCCCATATTGCCCCCTGTAGTGCATGCTGGGACATGACGTGCCGGGTATTAATAGAATATTCCGGATCTTCCGGAAAATGACGAGTAAAACGCGATGGCACGCGTTCGCCCATTGTTTAACCATCTAGAACACATGTAACGATTAAATACTAACTTTTGCTATAGCAGAGGCATACGAACTTGGCATTAGGAGGAAAATAATCGATAATTTTAACACGACTTACATAGTCATAGATAAAATTATCAATAAAACAGTGATAGGCGGTAGGCAACGCCTTGACACAAAGGGCTGAAAAATATGTTTGTTCATCTGGATTTAAAAACCAATACCGGCCGACAATTCCGGAAATATGATATAGAACGTAATCCGAAGATTAATCTTAAAACCAAAAATATGAACTGTAGCAACGCAAAAATGATATTTTAACCAAATTCTGTGATGACCAGTGGTGATGATGTTGCTTATTTTTTATATTATATTTATCGGAATTTTCTTCAGTAATTAACCCAACAGTTTTCCAGCTCATTCACGCTAAAAATATGCGATATTTGTGGATCGTTATAATTAAACCTTTGACTGATACAAAGACCACTGTATAACTCCACTTCAGACGGAAAGCGTTCATTTCTTTTGTATTTCGCGGTGTTTGCGCGTGTTGTGTATAAAACATGTGGGCATGTTGGCACGTTGCTATGTCCGAATTCCGTCCTCATCTTCTCGTTAAAGAATACTGCAGTATCAACTATCACGGGACAAACTATCGGCGGCAACAGAACTTACGTAATCTAAAAAGGTTTGCGCAAAAATGTTCGCGTTCTAAAGTTGACGAGAAAAAAATCATGTATTTTGTATCGTTTACTCGCTAACATATACAGGACCGTATGTGAGGCTATTCCCCTTAAATATTTTTTTTCGAGTCACATGTTTGTTTGTATATAGAGTCTTTCAAATAAAGCTTTTTCTTTATCGGAATTATTATTACTTCTGCAGCAGCGTTTGACGGGAAAATTCAACTCAAAAGAATGTGACAGACGGGCGTTCGAGGTCACACACAGGTCTTCGACAGGCTCTTCAGCACATTTTTGTCGCATGGCTGTTGGATAATTAACAAATTGTTAATAAAACCATATACAGCCCAGAACTAGCTCCTTTACCCATTTTATATTAAAATTGATATTTGTTTCCCCTTACTTTTACTTGCGCGAGTGCCACTCGCGCGTGTGTCGCGCTCACTTTGTAGTTTGTGCCACTGAGCTATATTAGTACAGGTCAGTGGTTTGGGCATTTCACGAAAATTTTGTGTAAATTTGATTTCCGAGAATGTACACCAAATTGATGTCCTTTGTTCACCAAATTGACGCAAATTTGAAGAAATTTTTATAAAGGTTATTTGGAAAACTAAACCCCAGCTAAAACTAATAATTACAACTAATCATTCATTTTCATGCAATTAAGCATCTAGTATTACATTGATGACATAAAACAAATACTTTAATACTTTATTTTGATTTCTTTTGATTACCCTGCTAAAAATATGCTGCCATAGTGCCATACCAATCACGGAATCAATTATGCAAAGAAAGTGGATTGAAAATTAAAAATTCAGATTTCTTGATTACTAAAGCGCGGATTAAATAACTATTGTGCAGTGTAAAGAGCTACGATAAAATGTCCAATAAAATCTAAACTAAACAATTCGTTCCCAGTCTCACAGAATGACGCAACCACAACAGCACTGCTGGGGGTAATCCGGGGCGAAGACCTGTCGGGGCTCCTTACCGTATACCCAGAAACGGTACGAGTCGCCCTTCCAAACGTAGGACACTTCGGCAACCGGAATCGCACGAAGAATGTGGTTCTTAGAAAAAAACAAAAGAGCTTTGTTCACGGGCAAAGGCTTGATTTTGCTTGGAAAAAGCCCAGGCAAAAACCCTGGAAACCTCAAAATTTTATCGGTTTTTGAAAAGAAAGAAAAAAGGTTCATTCAGCCGATAGGCGCTAGTCCCAGGCGTCTTCCTAAGCCTTTGGCTTGCCTAAGGTTTCGAATTTTGGATTAAGTTCACTGGGTTGGTTCAGCTGATAGTTATATTTCTCAGGTAGACAATCTTAATAGACTAGCCCAAGAGATCTATTTAAACCTAGCAAAAATACCTGCATAAGAATTCTCTCTTGGGGCCAGGAAGTTGCATGTTCGTTCACAAATTGTTGGGATGCGCTGTTGATTTCATTATCGAAGAACGTTGTTATTGGCCAGACCTACATTCGAAAAATACCGTTAAATGTGTCCGACTTTGAATTCTAAAAGCATTTTTTCTGGCGTCATAATTATAAATGTCCCAAAGAGCCCTAATCTCGCATTTTGGATCGAACATGACTTACTCGGGGCAACTGTTGATGGAATATTTGTAAGCCTGTGGCATCTTTCACTTTCTCCTTCGGGCCACCCTGAGTTCTTTCAATTGTTTTCTCTGAATCATGATTTTTCCTGCATTAAAACAGTTAAAAAATAACATTATAGGCATGTACACGGTCGCACAAATACATACACTTGGCCTTACCATGTAACTGTAAGCTGAATGAAAGTCTTCAGTCTGCTATGACCTTGGCAAACTTCACACTTGATTCTTCCCCCACCATTGCACGGGGAGCACCTTGAGTAAAGTGGAGGACAGATGTATTATGTATCGCAGGCAGATATAAACTGGGGATGGGGGTGTGCATTTCCAAAGTAATTTCAGTACAAACCCAAAATAACGAATAGTACACCATCACAGAGAAGATGTCGATATATTTAACAACTATTCGCCATAGGCGTAGGCGAGGTGAATAACTGAATACAAATGACTTCGTCGCGGTCTATATTCAGCGATATCCACCGGGTCCGAGGTGAATAATTGTTAATAATTATAAAGACAATGTTTTTGGAAAAACAAATTTGTTGACGTTGTAGAGAATACATGTTTTACAAACGTACACAAATATCTCGACACAGCGATTCAAAGAAAACAAGATTTTCACAAAATGATGATAAAAATAGCGTTCTACAACGCAGTTTTTTAACTCGAAATAATTTTAGGCCTATTCTTTTCACTTTTGTGCTTTTAGGTAAAGTATTTTCGGTAAAATAAGCTAAATATCGTATTTCTTCATCTGTCACTTTGACAAAAAAATACCTGAACTGAAACCGCCATTTTGAAAAATCCTTTCGTATTATTATCGCATAATAATTGAGTCACTCGACCAATCAGAGGCCAGAATTTCAAATATTAAAAAACACCTATTCTTACCCGAAGCTAAATTGCTAAAAATAGTAGTAATAATAATTTGACTATTTGAGTTGAGTTTCGAACTCAACTGAAATACGGGTATTATTACTTGATCCCAAACGTAGTTCTGTTCATAACTTCCCCCTACCTTCCCTCTCCAGCCCCTGAGCAAAAGGTGCATTGCTTCTCCTCGCCAAAGTTATCTTTAACATGGCCATGACCGTTGCACGTGTTGCACTTGCTCTACACAAATAAGTGGCCGTCGTAGTCGTGGAGAAACGAAAATTAGGCGTTTCAGGATTTGAACATTGTCAAGTAGTTATTGTTTGTTTGGTTGTGTGTAATGCAACACTAAAGTTCACTGCACTTACCCAACCTCTTCCCAAGCAAGTTTTACACTGTTTATATCCTCCACCATAACACTCATGACATTGCTAAAAAAGGGATTTATACATTGATTTATATGACCAGTGCCGATTGAGAAAATGAATTGAAGTTTGGGAATGCATGCAATTCAATATTGTGGTGCTGATCTGCTCCAATTCACCAGTGGCCTCTCTTTTCAATATACCCCATAACCCCACCTTCACTGAAGCAGTATGGGGAACTTCAACTTTAGTGCTTGTTGGTGAGAACATTTTTGATGGTTGAACATTAATATTCCATGGACCAGGGGCTGGACCATTGTGGGGGCCATCCACCACTTGACCTGTCATAACAATAGAAAACTTGTAAAATTTGTGGCAGTTAAAATCTTAGCCTACACTTTACCTCACATATGTTTAAATTGCTGTATATAACTTGCATATAACAATCATCAAAGTTAAAAATAGAGTGTATAAATAACAATGCCAATGACCTTATGCATGGCATGTGTGCAATTTGCAAAGTTTGGAAAGAAATAGAAAGATAGATGAACATCAGATAAGACATACCTGTAAATGGTTCATATTGCCAGGCAGTTTGCCTTGATTCTGTGAATGTTGTTAACTTATACTAGAAATTAGAGTACATAAATTAATTCCTTCTGGATTGTCTATGGTTATACACTCAAGTAGAATCCACAATGGAATTATGGAACATGTCTCTAAGATCTGCAACTAATCTGAATAGTTCATTTTTATAACGTCACCATTACACTCTTAATTTGGAGTTCTCTTACATGATAAGCACTGGTAGGTGTAATATCTTGAATCACCATTTCCTTTGCAGGGCTTGAACCATAACAACACTGTGATGCTACAAAATTTTCCATTGCTTCCTGTGCCTCTTCTGATGTGATTGCTGCACCACTACACAACACAACATGATTTAATTTTACATTAACAAATCTATTACAATGTATGTACCATTTCAATTAGATATACAACACAGAGACTCTAAGTAACTATATGTTTGGTTATGTATGACACTCAAAATACTGACAATAGACACTGACAACTACAGTAAAGCTCATCTTGACACATGTTAACCTATTACAAGTTCATCGCAGCACAGTATATATCCAGCTTATTGGCTGACATTAATTCCAAATATAATTCTGTGGTTAGGATGCATTCAATTACCTAACAAATTCTTCATCTGGACGTGACTGCTCAGGCATAGGAGGGGCAGTAGGTGGGGGAGGAGCATAACCTGACAAATGAGACAAAATAAATTAGTTCTGTACTTTTTAATTTTGATATTCCTTACAGCTCATATATGCAGGGGGATGTCATCCCTGGTCTAATAAAGCAAGGGTATGTGGTCTAATAGGTGGTCCCACATAACTATAATTTTGTACTATTACTTTCGCTGCATTCAACATGATCCAATTTCTCATCTTACCCTGACCGAAAACAGTTTTCTCATAACCTGCCACAGCTTCAAATAAGGTAGCTGGAGGGCCACCAGGTGCTAAAATAGAGCAAGGAAATGAGATTAAAATGATTTGATGTTAAATAACAATAAAAACAATGTTCTACAGACCTCCAGCTTGTGGTGGATATCCACCTGCACCTTGTGGAGGGTATCCACCTGCACCTTGTGGAGGGTATCCACCTGCACCTTGTGGTGGGTAACCTAAACCATAAAATCAAATAAAAGTTATAAACATGCCAACCATTGGTAATTCTAGCAAGAATGGTACATTAATCACCTGGGTTTTGTGAATACATCTCAATTGAATATTATGATCCTGATTAGGTGAAGCTAGACAGTATATTGAATAAACCCTAACAAGAAAACGTCACCAGTTAGACTTTATCATGAAACAAAACTGAAAGCTTTGAATACAGTCAATATGAGTCACATGGATTAAGGCAACTCCTTTCCATAATTAATCAATGGGGAACTAACTTGGCATAATTTAAATACTTCCTATGCCAATGAAAACAGGAAGACTATTGAACTCGATTACTCAAACTTTGACTGTAATATTATATACTTCTGCTATTATAAAATGTTTATTACAGCTTCATTTGCAAAATCCAATAATACACAGTAAATGAAAAGATGATGTAGTAGTGTCTAGGAAGAACATTTTAAAACCAAGTGTATATACTAAAAGCCTGCTTAAACCATGCCATACATTCTTGTTCAGACAGCGGGTGAAATGTTGCAATAATGTTAATGTATGTTTTTGGATAAACAGTTACAAAAGTGAACTAACGGGCGTTCTGTAAATGATTTAGTTGAGGAAATATTGACACTAATTTATTCAGTCGAAGGCTTTCTTAGTTTCAGATGTTTATATTACCCGGTAGGTAATCATCTATAGAATGCGCACGTGCTTTCAAAATATTAGAAATAAAAGGTTGCTTTTAGTCCGAATTTATCGAGCCAGATATAGATCTCTTGTAGCATATAATCGTATTAAACGGATAATATTAGAATTCGGCTACTTCGGCAGGCAAATATCTCACATTCGAAGACTTTCTTCCTGGCCACAAGAGCCTCGCAAAGAGCATTCATGTACACCGCTTCATGGTCGTACAATTTGCGTGCAAAAACACGAAATTTTCCTTAGTGTATGGAGAAAAACATGTAAGAAAACTTACCGAATGCGACGTCTTTTCAAACAAGAAGTGAATGCACATTAAATATACAAACAAAAAAAAAGTCGATCCACTTCGCTGATATGGGACCAATGACAGAGTGCTCACAAGTTGGGAACGTCAATACTCACAGCTTGACATCTTGGCCTTGGTCATGCCTTCGTAGTCATGGAAACGGCACACGATTGAAAAAAGATTTAATTCAAAAGAATGTTACTGTTAGCCTGCAACGCAGACTATATATTGGGGTACATACCAATATATAGTCTGCGTTGCAGGCTAAAAGAACGTTTGATCATGGCAGTCATGAAGAGGGGGCAAAAGTGATGTGCAATTTTAAGTTTATATTTTTTGCTTTCCCAAAATCAACTTTGAAATTTTGTCTATAGACCATAGACCACATTGCATGGTCTTTAGAAAGTCCACGATTCTATCCTGCTTGTATTTTCTGTGAGGGGCTTATTTACTAATAAGCAAACTCAACAAATTTATTAGAAAAGGCTACTTATCAATCAATCTCCTATCACACTGTCAAATATACCAATATTATTACCACATGTAAGTCAGTGATTAATGTTTTATTATTACAATATCAACATCACATATTTTTGACTATTTTACTGTTGTTTTCTCCTGAAAGAACAGCCTATAAAAAGTAATTGATAAAATAGGAATTAATTCTTGGAAAATAACAGAAACCAAAAACAGTTTTGGGAATCCTGTAAGGAAATGTTGGAAGATAATGTTGGAAAAGTTTGATCAAGTTGGAAAGTTATAAGTAGTGTGTTCCATAAACATGGATATCTTCATAATTGTGTATTGGGTATGCATTTAATATCATGAAACAACAGGCCATTGCATGTACATGTTCAAACAACAAACTCATAGACACACAAAAAACCACTCAATGCAGATGTCATGAATATTGAGATGTTCACTTTGCTACTTACCCTCTGTCAATCGTGCCCTACCACCTGTTGGCTGGCATAAAACAGTTGAACAGCTGACACACAGGACAACCGTCTGAGCATGACTAAATACTGTAGTTATTTTGTAACATCCTGAAAAAAATTTGCACATTAGCTTCTAGAATTGTGGCTTATCAATATTTGAAACCATTCACAAGTGCAATCTAGTTCATAAACTGTGTTGAATTACAAATATATAATGCAAAAAAAAATCATACATCATAGGTACCTGGACACTTTACATCCATGAAATACGAGTTAGGTGACTGTACCAGCCTTTTTAATTTGTGTTTTCTTTTCTCTTCCTCAGCACTTGGATGAAGTAAATCTTTATACAACTATAAAATATATTAAACTTCAGTATGGTGCCAAATCCTTTAGATTTGTGATTACCAACAATCCTTGTCTTTTTATACTCCAAAGTCAGTTTTCACCTCTTAAATACATAATTTGTGATATTATTGTTACCCTTTATTCAATCTGACTTAAGGTATATTTTTCAATTAAATAACCAGTAAGTTCAACTGTCAGACCTTTACAGCATAAAAATGGCAAGAATTACAACAAAGCATAGATTTAGTTAAAGGATTTATATAGCTACAGCCAAAGTAGTGTTCTTTTGCAATTTCTTGATTTGCAAGCTGCTCAAACAATTTGAGATGGAAGCAAGTGTATTAGAGACTGAACTTCACTGCCAAATTTGCAAATGAAGTTTTAATTGAACATTTGAAAAGAAACCAAAGACTTGCTTCAAAACTTCTGTAAACAACCTGCAAATCAAGATTTCTGGAGAAATATGTTTCATTTTGGCACTAGCATGTCTTTGACAAAGGTTTTCTGTTCCGCCAGAGACAAGATAATTTCCAGAATTTAGATTATGGTGGAAAGTTGTGAGTAGGCTTAATTTTTTAGCTCTTTTCCCATGGATGAAAGCCTTTGAAATCTCTGATGTATTTGAATTATGGGATTACAATTGTTGGCATGCACATTCATAAATGTTGATAAATTAGTGGTATTGAGTTTTATATATGGAATGCAGTAATGTACCCTGGTTTGTTGAGTCAAGTAAAATACCACGAAATAAGAAAGGTATTATGTACATATAAAATAAAAATCAAAGGTATGAACTAACTTAAATTAATAATACAAGTTTAAAAAATGATAGAAATAAGATAAAATCGAAAATAACTGGGTCATCATATTTTGAGATCGCATGCATAGTGCTGGTCATTTTCGTACTGTTTACCATGTGATCGTATTTTGTGTTGAAACGTGTTCGGGCAAAATTATAGCAACTGAAAAACCATAATTACAATACGAAATCCGTCTAATTTTTACGCAATACGATAGATAATAACAAGACGCGTTCGGATTATTCAAAACTACGACAGGAAATTGTCACAGAATAGAATAAAATAAAATTTTTTCAAGCAACTCACAGGCATCTTGCGACCTGATCTCGTCGTCTTCAGCAAAAGAAAGAACGCACCACGCACGCGCAATGAAATGCAATGCGGGGAGCACACGTTACTTTTAAGGGGGACAATTGCACCATCATCCCGCAAGATTTTTACCGGTAAAAAAGTTCGAAGACTTCGAATACCGTCGTTTCATAATTTCGTTTCATAGAAATAAGTGAAAATGTGAAATAAACATAGCATGTTTTAAATTCGACTTCTACTGGGTAAAAACTCCATTTTCAGTTATTTCAGTAAATCGTAAACATTTACGAATTAATCCTTGAGTGTAGGTAAGGATTAGGATTAAACCATAAATCTAATTAAGACCTGATCCTAAGGTCCTAACCATTATCCTAAGTCCTAACCTCATCTGAAGGATTAAATTCGTGTATTTAGGATTTACTTGGCATGAAATTTTTACCCACTACTTCTTCCATTGAGAGAAAATGTACAAATCAAACATGATAACACTGCTAGCCATCCAATCATCTATAACTCCCTAATATACGTCAATGAGAGCCAACCAATGAAAGCGTACTACCCAGGTTTGGGAACATGAAACCTAGCGCTAATTCGCTGACGTTCTCTTACGCATACTTTATTTACGTCTGCGCGCAACCTGGCGCAAGCTAACTCGTCTAAAAGGTCAAGTTTATGTATATATACGGTCACTGTATTATTTATATATATGAATATATGAGTCATTTTATAGGGTCAAAGGTCGACGTTACCGGTCTGATCTACTTCCGGTAGTGACGTATGCCAATTAATTATCTCGTTACTAGCCAATCAGCGTGCTGCAAGCTCCAAAAAATTTTATTTTTATTTTTCGAAGTTTGGCTTGACGACAAAAACAAACCTGTGTTGTATAGAGGAGCGACGGGGGAAAAGTTGTGTATTTTGACATGATATTCTGGATTGCGAGTCGTAATTTTGCCATGAGTCATATTCATAGCAAGAGGGTGTAAAGAAGAAAGCGTCTGTGGCCTGCAGTCCGTTGAAGATGAAACCAAACGAAGGTACATAAAAATATATCGATTGCCTATCCAGTCGACTGAGTGATCAAAACAGAGGCAGCATCATACTGTTATTTTGTAATATTTTAGTCTGTCCCTATCTTTCATGCCCTAAATAGTTAACCATGGCTATCCCTGCCTACAAATATGTTGAATTCAGCTAAATAAGCTGGGAAAACGGTTTCACACAAAGTGTGTGTCACCGTCACAGATATTGAAGCCTCATTGATATATGATTTAAGCTGATGAAATATTTTAGAGAGCTGTTGTATTGTTTATATTAGTATGAAATGATTGCTTTCGACCCTAATCAACGATTCCACTCAAGTGAATTTTCTGTCTGACCGTTTTGGGAATTTCTTGATTCAAGCTGAAATAACATTTTTATGTGACATCCTAGTCAAATTATATTTGCCTGTCTCTGAAAGTCCTTTTTTTAAATTTCCTGTGGTAATTATATTTTATTGTAACATCATTCGTTATCACGTTTAAAATTATGTAACATCCCCTGTTATGCAAATGATAACAAGCAATTAATATTTTAGTCAGGTTATAGGCAAAACATTAAGGTGATTGGGACCCTACATTTATGTCAATAATATGATAATATCTATGATGTAGGGGTGGGTAATATCATGTCTGTCTATCTGGCCACAGGGGCCCAAGAATTTGATTGTGGGGAGATGACTGAAGCCTTTGTTGGCTCTAACCTTGTTGTTTTTTAGGTTATGAGATTGGTGAAGAAGACTTGGTTGCCCAACTAGGGATGCTTATCCTAGATGGTCGAACTCCTCAGGATTCTAAAAGCAATATAACAGGCTGTGTGAAGTGTGATGATGGCCTCTCTGGCCCAAGAAAGGTTCGAGCATGAAATTATGTATTACTACAATGAGATATCATGTATCCCAATGATCATAAAGTTCCACAATCATAATGTGTGCATGCTGCATGGTGTACCTATTTTTATAGATTTTCTAAATGCTTAGGTACACAGTGATGTTATTATTTATTAGACTGCAAATTCAGGCTTGAAAATAACAATATTGCATCAAGAGTTCAGCGTTGGTATTGGAAGGGGAGCTGGCCAATATTTGGCATATAGTTCAAAATTCAATTGCCTAAAATATTAATTAATTCTATATTGCATTTTCTTGAAACAATCATTTTCTTTGCATTCCATATTTGTATTGGTAGAATAATTCTACCAATAGCTAATAGGACCTTGCTAAGAGCCCTTTGCACTATTCTACAAGTGGTCTTTCAAGTCAGCTCCCAAACCCATTCTATAGTAAAGACACTGTGTAAAAAGACTTATTTTCCCATCAGAAACAGAAAGATTTCATTACACAATGGACATTGTGTGATTCACTGTGCATCGAAGTCTGGCTGTATCGTCAAGAACAGTTTAACAAAAGGGAGGCGATGAATGGTCATGGTAGTTACCTGTTAATTGAACAATGGGAAATCAAACTTAAGCTTAGCAGGTTATAAAATATGTTTTCAAAATTTTAAACTCTCGAAAATGGAACTAATTGCAATTTCAAAACTATGCTATTTAAAACAGGAAGTTTTGTTAATTTCCCTACCGACTATACGTAAGGAAAATATTGCAATCAACATCTTTTATTACCGGGTATAAACACTTGTTTTTATTCGTGTTCTTTAAAAGCACCGCGTATCTAGCTAGCTTAACAAATAGGTTCGTCATAATACTGACAATTATCAGTTATCACAGAAATATTCACAAAAATGTCTCACAATCATTCAAAAACATTCGGTGTTTGATGTCACCTGTCATGACCTCCATGTGAAATAAGATTAGTTCCACCTGTTTACTTTTCTCCTTAAAAGCATTTTTTCCGTTTAATAAACTTACTTCCTTTGTCTCCTTCCGTTTTTTCCGATGGATATAGAAATCCTGACCTTGGTTTTTACTGCACCGAAAAGATGTTGACTCAAGCAATAAGATCAAAGTTGTATTTCTCTCAACTAAGTGCTTGGCTTAGTCTCACGAAAGGAGAGTTCCCGCGCTATATGTATTTTAGGTAGGTTGAATCAGGTTGAAATGATGTAAGTTTGTCTACCGGATAACATTTGTAGAGTAGGTGATTTTAAAGTGAAAACTGAAATTAATACTAATAGTCTTTACAAAACTGAGGCCAAGAATAACAACGTCATTAATACAATAACGAAGTCGAAGTAAATTTATCATTATATGATTTTAAAAAAGCTTTCGCTTCCCAAATTTAATCCATGTCTTTTTTCAGTTTTCACTTTCAGTTTTATTTACGGGTATACTTTATTATCTCAAGACTATTCATTCCATAGAAACAACTTTTCAGTCCAAAATTGAACTGGAACCATATAAATAGATGTCAGAGCGGAAGTCAGCGGCCGCCTGTTGAGAGAATTGACCAATCAGAAACGCGCATTTCTAAGAATTTCCGCTAAGCTAACTACGATTTAACTACGCGTGAAATCAAGTTACCAGTTTTCTACAAGGCCCCTGAACACTTCAAAAAATCCTAATTTATCCGTTTTACTCCCCCAGGCTTTGTTCAACAAAAGAAAAAACACCATTAGAAAGATTTATTCGAGCACCCGATTTTCACCAGTTTCCTCAAGTGAACATTAATTCCACCAAAGAGCTCATAGTCTCTCTTCATTCTCTTCCTCATTCCGACCTACTGAGGGACTACCCCATGTTTTCGTGGGTATTGAATGACCTTCCCTCTGAGACACCGCCAAGAAAATTGGGAGAAAAAATACCGGAAAATTTCGATGCTTCACTAGAGGGAAATGACTGCTTTTACGGCAGTACTAACCAGAAGAAAGATCTCTCCAATAGTCGAGGAAACGTTGTGCGAAAATTAGAGTTTAAAAATTTCAGTTCTGTTGGAGAAAAAACATCGAACATGACAAAGATAACGAGTTGTGTAGTAAAAGAATTGAGTACAGTATCCGTGCAGAATGTAAATAGGACAAGCGTTGAGCGTTTTTCAAAACTGGGTTCCTCTAAGCATGTTAAGAGGGAAACGGATTGTAAATACTCAACCGAAGAGGAGCAGAATTTGATATCAGACAATGAAAGGCCACAACCGCAAAAGGGCGAGTTTTTTTGCGAAGAAGCAAAAGGACATTTCTCAAAACAGGAAGCGACGGGATTTTCGAACAAGCACTCAGAACCGTTACACGCTTCCCCGAAATTGTTCGCTTCAAATCGTGCTACTGAAAATAATTCGCTAGCGCAGGGAGCTTCAGGAGACTTCAAGGAATTAATATGTGATGAAGAAGGTTCACCCGCTGATAAAATAACAGAAAGACATTCATCTTTGTCATCGCAAGGATATCTTAAGAAAATTACACCAATAGAAAAACAGTGCTTTGGGAAAAGCCTCGATTCTGAAAATTTTGGAACCAACTTGAAATGTCGCAAACAAGAAATTTCTAAGAAATCACTGTTGACATGTGATATGGCTGCCCGCGATTGCAGGAATTCAATATTAAATTTAGATAAATTGCAGAGTTCGCAAAAGACGAAAATTTCAAATAGCAAGATTTGCGATGGTTTGAACTGTGAAGGAAGCGGAAATTTACAGGAGACAATGAGAATATCTTGGAGTAGGAGCATTGACGAATGCGGGAATGTTTTGCATCGTGATGAAAACGGGATTGGAAACATTATTTCTGATGTGAGACATGTGATGGATAAAGAGTACGAGAAGACCTTGCACGAGAGAATAGGCAAATGTTGTTTAGCAAGTGAAGGATACCGCGGAAAAAACCGTGAGGATAGCACGAAAAAGACGATGGAAGCTGATAAAACAGAAGACAATAACAAGGTGAGTAAGTAATGGTCCCTTTTGATCGTTTAATCGGTTCGCTGTAACCATTGCCGTTGGATGGTAAGCGATGGTAAATGGATCTTCAAACTTTAAAACGACAATAGAATATTTCTCATATTGCCAAATTTAAAACGAGACACTTTGTCAGGTATGGTAAGTTAAGTGCGTTAGGCTTCATTTGCAAGTGAAACTGGTTGTTTTGTTTCTCTAAAAACAGGAAGTGATGTTTCCGCAAGGCCAATTAGTCTATATTTACTTTCTTTCCACACCAAACAAATGAGCGTACCAAAATCTTGTCAAATGCGGAAACCCGTTCACCGATATTTGCCTGACCAAGAATGGACTATGTGCATTACACTGACAGCTGGACTAACACCGCGTTACTCGTCTTCTTTAGGATAATGTTTTTAGAAACACCACATGTACCACAATACCTCATGCTCGTATCTCAAGATATCACTTCAGACATGCTTCAACTGGCACTCTCGCTGTCTTTCATCCCAGGACTGGGCTACCTATGTCATCTAGTCCGGTAAAACACTCGAGCTTCATTGATTAAAAAAATCGCATGTTTATTCAATGCTCGCAACACAAGCTTTATCAAAACCAAATTGTTTTCTTTGAAAATACTTAACTAGAAAAACAAACCGTGATTACACATGATTACACATGCACTGTACGGAGAAGGCTAACTGTTGATTAACCGTTTTCATAAAAGGCTAATTGTTTGAGTATAAAGAATTGACCGTCTACAATTCTACCTTTAAACCAAATGGATGAAATTTCAATTGTTTACATATCCATATCCTGTATAATGTTAACAACCAAACTTCACCCTTTTTGCAAAGTGCCTTTCCATTTAATGTTGTATTTTCCGCTCTTCACATTGAACTTATGATGAATTTACGTTTGTTCTTAAACATATTGATTATACCAGTTGTCTTCATACACAGGCTCCGTTTAGAAAAACGTCACAAAAGAAAACTGTGGATGATATTTGCAGGTGATTTCCAGCAATACAAGTTTATTAGTTTATAAATTAGGCCTCGGAAGCTATGAATCCAAAAAAATATAAAAAAAACACCTCAAGAATATTTTAAGTTATAATCTAATTTGTGTTTATATTTTCCTATTACAGTCCGCCCCGTGAACCGTCTAGTCTTTCAGACCAGTGCGGTAATCTTAGTAAAAGTGCACCGACTTTAACCACGCAAAGTTTGCTGGTTAATTTTGAGGTGAGCAACAGCTATAGCTATATAATACTATATGAATCGCTTTATATTTTAGTTTAATATACAATATAGTTATTCACTGTATACACGAGCTATTCTGCAATCTGATTGGTCGAGATACCCACCGTATATCTGTAGCAAAAACAAAATGTGCGAAAAATTCTTTTTAAAACTGCAGTTCTCAGAGATTCAAAACAATATGAATAAAATATGAGATAAAAATATTTACAGCAAAAAAAAGTTTTTGTTCATGAAGACGGGCTTCTAAATTTAATTTCACGTGTATGCATTTAGCAAAAACATTGACTGATTTATGCAATTTATCCTGTTTATTTATTTATTTAATGTATATTTCAGCTATATTATAAAATAATTTTCGCTCTCGTCGTTGCATGCGTCACATATTGATTTCCTTTTTATAACCTAAACCATGCCAACTCATCAATGAAAGAAGCGATAATTTTAGCTGTGCAAACATTTTTTTCAAAATAGCCTCTTTAACTTTTTAGGAATCGGTTTTAAACGATCGTCTTCTCCCCGACGGTGTCGTCGAGGTAGGATGAACCCGCCTGTTTTGTTTTCGATTTTTTAGCCTAATGCACGAAGGATGCAGAACGTTGCAGGAGGTTTATTAGGCCTGTTTCAGACGTCGAACTTTTCATGTGTTGAACCTGATTTTAATGAGCTAAAGTCTTTGTTTAAGTTCATTTGCATTCGATTCGATCGGCACATGAAAAGTTGACGCCTGAAACGGGCCTTACTAAGCAAAATTTAAATATGATCGTGCTTTTTGGTAACCTGCGATACTTTTTAGTATACATGCAATATTTCTATGTTGTTAATTGCTTTCAAATTATCCTGTTTTAGGGGTTTACGGCAGAGCTCAGTGCAAGTGGTTCGAAAAAATGTCTTGCACACGTGACGCTTCCAGTTCAAGCATACTTCTTTAAACTATCTGACGACAATGCACCATCCCCTTATATGGTACTTTTATACTCTCTTTGTAGATTTCCGTTATGTTCTTGAACTCTTGAGATATTTTCGAACGAATTTGTCGCCATCTTGAATATCCACCATGCATGCATTAAAAACAAGATAGTGGTTTAGAGTTGCCTTAATTTATTAATATAATTAAGATATTTTAAAAAATGAGAAAGTCAATCTAATTCTTTTTTATCAACAATCCCTTTAAATACGAAGCGGTAAAGTCTTCAATACAAACACATTTTGTAATATAGTTTGCGAGTATCCCTTCATTTTAAAATGGTGAAACTTTTCCGAAATGCTACAAATACTTTAAAAATAGTATAATGTTCGTGAAAGCTTCCAAACAGACCGCAACATATTTTACTGTTTTCAGGGTTACATTTCATTAGATGTACCTGGATTGCCAAAGAAAGGCTACCATGTCCCCAAGAATGGTACTATTCAGTTGGTACGACGCTCGAATGCAAAATATGTTCAATATTCTAATATTAATTTTGTTTTAAATATAGATGCGATTGCTTTGCACCATTACATATATGATTTATTTTGCACCATGTATGTTCTTTTTTAGACTCTCTTCAATCCAAACCAGACTGTGGTTAAAGTATTTGTGGTGCTGTACGATTTCACTGATATGCAGCCGAACTTTCAAACATTTCTTCGGCAAAAGACGACGTCGTTGGTCAAGTCAGAGGGACTTGTCGATAGAGTATGTTGTATATTGTTTGGAGAATTCACCGCTTTGCAAAATATTTTCTCAATTAGCCTACAACGAATTGTCTTTTCCTGTATAATAATTCCATATTTTTTCCCTTTAATTTCAGATTCACGATAATTTACACTATCTTATTCACCTCAGGTATGTAAATTGATTAAAAAATATTACTAGGTTTATGACGTTACCATTACAGTTGCCGTTACCTTTGCAGTTCGTGTTAGACACCAGCCTCCTACCTTGCATTTCTATTCTGTTTTGCCACCACCCTCTCTCCTTTGACCCCCCCCCCTACCCACTTCCTTCCAACCTCCAACCGTAAAAAACTTGTTTATATATAGATTCGCTTCTTCGAAGTCTGGTCGAATTTACCTCCACACAGACATCCGTGTGATATTCGCCCGGCACCCCCCTGACCAAGTTCATCTCAGTACCACCACAAACGGGCCAACGAATCCGAAGTATGTCCCAAGACAGGAAACCCGGGAGGCATGTTAGGTTGTTGCAATTTTGAACTTGGTCGGTATTCGATATATATATTTAGACCTCGTATTTCAACCGCGTACAATAGTTATATCAATATTTAAAAATGTACTCATCAGAATATACGTTGTGTTACATTACTGCATGAAACAGAAAGTAAAAGTAAAATACTAGTCAGTTGTCATTTGCCTAAACACGGTAGTGAGTTTTTAAGAATACCGGAGAATAGTTGGAACATGAAAGTCAGTTATACACTTAATTCGGCTTAGATATATGCACATCAATTTGTATCATTTTACTTTTAGAAGAAAGGAATATTTGGCTAATTATCTATATGAACTGATTTTGCGATAGGTTAGTTTCAAAAATTAATGGAATCATCTCCCTAAATGAAGAAACCATATATAAACACTGAACCTTTTGATGAAGAATATCAATCACAAAACATCCCTTTTAGGCCTAGAAAACTAGGTCTATATACAGTGGCGTAGCCAGAACGATAATTGGGGGGGCCATATTCATATATTCGTGATACGCAGGTTTAATTTCTTTTCAAATCAATTGTCTTTACAGTCTGTTAACATGAATATATGAATATGCCCCACCCCCCCAATTATCGATGCTGGCTACGCCACTGTCTATATATAGCTATATATATCTATATAGTATATTTGGCCTTTGTAATCCTGTTTTAACTTGTCCGGCGTCTGGCTGGGCCAGTGAGCGAAACGCCCCAACAAGGGAAACGAACCATGTGCATATTTTCTTCAGTTCATTTATATATATTCATAAATTATTTTTAGTATGATTAATATTATTTAATTCATTATATATAGCGCGTTATTTATTTTATAATATAGCAGCATTACGTTGATAAAAAGATACAATCAAGTTTAGTATATATGTAGTTAGCATTATTTATGAAATTATTTATCTATACATGCGTTTTCAATTATAAGTTTGATATCTTTTCACGTGTTATGCAATAAAAGATCGATCAATCACACTGATTCATGGAAAAAAACGTGCAGTGCATGTTTTACGGAATTTGATGACGTAAACGATAGAACGATTATTATCTCTATATTGTAACTGGATTTACACCTCATCAGTACTGCGTATTCCTCATCATATTCCGTCATTCCCCTCATGATAAAAAAATTTGGAAAAACAATGTTGTCTTAAAATCCACTATTTGAATTAAAAATTGATTAAAAACAAACGTTCGAAATTGTTTGGTTTTTTACTATCTTTCTGAAGATGACTTTGAAATCTAGTCGAAAGTTTGCAGCTGAAATATTTGTCTTGCATTAGTTCAATGCTTGATTTTCGTGATGAGTTGCATGTTTTTCGGATTTTGCCTTTTTCTATATACTTCCTTAATAATTGTGTGGTTATCCGTGGTTTTTGAACGAATGTTTTTCAGAAATATCGCACTTGATGCAAAAGCGACCATTTTTCATAGTACAAATCTTCAGAACGCGGTTACATTGTACTGAGTTTTAATCGAGTTTCTATTCGTCCATTGTGTATAAGATTTGAAGATAAATTGTTTGCAGTGTTTAGCTAGTTGCACTACGTACAAAAGAATTAAAATTACATGTAAAAATTAGTTCTTGAAAATACAGAAGCGAAAATTTGAATATTTTGAAATTCATATTTTTGTGTTCATATTTTTGTTTGTATGTATATATTTTTTGAATTCAAAATCATGTAACTTAAATTAATATATCAATAAATTCAAATTTTCATTAAAGTTTAGATGTTGTTTAATATTATTAATTCTATACTGAAATCTCTCGATACATAAAATACGAATTCTATATCGTAAATTTCTGTAAATATCTGTAATTTTTTCTTAAGTTGTTCATCTTGTTTCAAATATGCAAACATTATAATGTGACATCGTGTGACATAAAAAATTGATAAAAGTTTCAAAAAAGATAGAGGGCTCGTAGTTATACACGTATTAAGTTTTGTGTAGTCGGTTATAAAACTCATACATTTTGTGTATAGTTAAATCATTAACTCAAAAATTTTGATTCTGATATTGGCCAATTCTTTCACTAACTATATAGTTAACAGTTAACTAACCTTTTACATACAAACAGTCCCTGGTTATTAACTGGTTGTAAAATTGTCTTATGGCTGAGGTTATTGTTTTCAAAATATCATTATATGGGAAGTGATGTTATGTAGCATGATATTTGCATATAAAATAGAGTCGATCGATGTATTAATTGCAAAGTGCAAAAATTACCAAAATCCTCTCAAAAAAAGTTATTTTAGTCGTTTGAAGTAATCGCCAAGACACAACCATAAAGGTTTAGATGTACTTTTGTGTCATAGGCTGACTTTACGATCAATATGAAGGAAAGATTTGTGAACAATAGGAATTTATGCGAGATGATTTAGAGACAATTATTCCCGTAAAAATATTCGCCTAGCATGATTTGGTCATGGTAAGCCCACGTACCGGATGCATGATGACTATATGATGGCAATGTTACAAATAAATTGCAAATCTTAAAGACTGGCTTATAGAGACTATACTGATTCTCGGGATCCGGAGGAAACAGATATTTATATATAGTCGTTTCCTACAAACCAACCAATTCACAATGACTTTCTTTCTTTAACGGAATGTTTTTTTAAGTCCTCCGCATGAAATAAACCCTTATTTAACACTCGCACAATTGAAAAATAACGCAGATCACTAATGATCACATTTGTTTTTTGAAAGTCTAACACCACCCGAGCTTAAGTCATAGCTGTCGCTTACTTTTGTGGCTAACTATTAGCTAAGAGTTACAAAGCTTGCAAGTCCATTATTCCTATTTATATATGAACGACACGTTCAACTTGTCCAACTTGAAATCTCTGCGTGTTAGACATAGTTTCATTGTGGTAGACCTATCAGTTTGTCTGTCATTGACTCAATCAATTCAAATTTATGCATAAGCAAACGTCGCCAGCTTGTGAATGCACCTTTTCCACTCCTGACTACGACAATGACGATGACTTGATTACTTATTTTGAAACCACCACCTTGAAAGAACCTGCTTTTTACCTGCCCGGTATACAAAATTCGCCACTGGCACTATTACACGAAAACTTCATTCGCCGCCAAAGAAAATTGCAAGGAAAAAAGCCGTTCCAGCCCACTCGGCTGTTCCAACCGTTTTTTGTTTGTTGAAGAAAATGTAAACCATGACTCGAGCGAGACCTATTCCTACGTATCGGCCGAAACAGCTATAGGAGTAGCCAGTTTCGTGTCCCCGAGAGGTTTAATCTATACTCATGCAAAGTACATAATATATACAAATTGAACGTGAATTACACAATAGCGAGAGGTTGCGATTGGTCGGTTCTGTTATGCAAATCAACGCATGCTCGCCTGTAATTGTTTGGACCATGTGGTGTGTCGGGTCGTGTAATTGCTATCAGTTATGCGATGGGTCATTGTCGCAACCTTGGCATCACAAATTCTGTTACACTATCGCCGGGTTGGCATAGCCGAGGTAGACGCGAGACCTTTAGAAATACGACATGGCTTCACGCGACTGTTTAAAGAGATAGGTACTTGTATATGGTTCATCGGTTGCCTAAAGGAAGTCGACATCACTCTGTTAATACCCCAAACACTTTAACAATCCTCTAAAATTTTACTCCCGAGAACCCGAGTATAGCGCCCAAACATCTCCACGAAGCTATCTAAATGATTTCGAACGAAGGCGATCTACCCAACCGAACCCAAGACAGCGAGGATAATGCCGACGAAAATCCGAAATCGATCGAGGAGTCGCTTCTTCGCACCGTAAGGTAAGACCAGAGTTTACATTGAGTTCATTTTACAAATACCAATAAAATCCCGGGCTATTTATAGCATTTTTCGGCAGCCTTGAATATCAGGATTCTCGCCAGCCAGCGCTGGCCCATTACAGTGGTGCACGGTAAAAGGTTGCCTCTTACATAGTTTACCTAATTGTATCCAAAAGATGCATTAAATAAATAAAATAGCGAAAAATAATAAACTCCTGTAATTGGATGCCTGACTTGCACACACATCTAATATATACGGTGCCCAAATACTAATCTATCATAAAGCAATTCCGGTGTAAATATGTCACCTTACTTTAATGCAAGGGAATAAAAATTTCTATAATGACTTTTATTTTACCATTGCTAATTTCGACCTATAAGCGAGGAGCATCGGTATCAAGTGTGATGTGTATAGAGTACAATTTCATACATCGATTATTTGATCTTTCATGCACTCAATTGGATTGACTTTTTGCTTTGGAGATGCGGTGCTCCACGCTTTTGTCTGTAATATTTTAATTCCTATTTATTTGCTAGGAAATATCAGAAAATGTGCAAACCATATTAGACTTATTTCCTCGCCAAGTGTTTTTTTTATCAAAAATCAGATTGCGATATTGAATCTAGCATCAATCCACACAATAAATTACTAGATTGAAATCTGAAATCTACCTGTAAAGTTTATAATAAATCACACGTAACCGTCTATCGCCATTAACAGATATAGAAATCTACAAGAGATGTTTACGTATGTGGCTCTATACCGACTCGGAAAGATCGATTTCGCGAGGCGTCAATATTTGCTGGTTGTCTCATGGATAAACTTTGACCTGCATTTCCGATGATTTTCCGCTACCCCGCTCGCGCTGCACCTTCGTTAAATATGTAACTTAAACCCCAATTCCGCATTGATCGAATGACATGGTGTATATTCGAAAGTTCAAAAATTTACTTTGTACAATTTTTGCATCTTTTACATGCCTGTTGATCTAAACAGGGTGGTCTAATTTAAAACAACTGTGCATTTAGGATAATCACGCGTTTAGCCGTAAATGTTATCGTCTCGATATGATATGAAAATCACTGTTTGCTTTCCTATATTGCTGTTGCTTGGAAGCAGTTGGCAGCAGTGGTACATTAATCATGAATTTCAGCTACCTATATAACATTGGACAATGTTTCCGATCTATTACAGTATAGACATATGCATGTCAGTAAAAAAATTCATAGGCACATCCGCTGCATTATTACTATCTTGTGTTCGGGAAAAAATTTTCAATCAACAATTTACATGCTCTAGTAGCTCGCGAAGTCGCCACATGTGTGTATATACCTAGTTCTTTTCTTCCCCTTGGCTACCGGAGAGAATTAGATTTAGTGCGGAAAACCTTTGCGTTACAAAATTTCCAGAATTCTAGAACCTTTTGCAAACGTTCCAAACGTCTTCAAATTAGTATTCTAAATGTTACAAATTCTTGTATAATGTTACAATTTTCCAATTTTCGAAGCAGTACGATTTATCTTCTGCTTTGCACATTTCCCCCCATCTACAGTTTGTGTGGGAGTTAACATGTGCACATAATTCATTTAGGTCTAATTTATTCATTTAATAAAACAAGTGCACGCATTGCATGCAATCACAATAAAATAGTCCTCGACAAATTTCCTTTAGTCTTAAGTTTCTATTCAACTCAATGTCGTTGGACACGCGACATTTATTTAAAAGCTGTTCCTAACAACGAAATAACACGTCACAAATTAATACGTTATGTCAGTTATGAGAGAGCCAGTTATGTTATATCAATGAAATAATAATACTAAGTACTTTCATATATATGCTTTTTCTCTGTGATTTTGTTTTGCTCCATTCAGACGTTAATTTTAAACATAAATAAATCCTGTCAATTTCGACTAATAAATGACTGGCTCGTCATTTTATCGGCGTTCAATCTTTATTAAAGTTTCGTTGGATTTGCCAAACTATTCTCGACGATTGTTTAATTCTCTGATACAGACAGTTTGCTGTTTTAAATGTACAGTTTTTAATATATCAAATGTTGAATGTCATGCACACAAGCGCAGCATGTTATTCAGTTTCCAATGTTGTCAGAGTAATTGCAACGCGTTCGCTCAATTTGCAGTTATCATCACAGATGCTATGCCTTTTGTGTAAAAACTCATTTACCCTGAAGTGTTTGTCTTTCATTCTGCATCAAACGAGTCCCTCATTGTCCAGCCATGTGTTCACCTTCTGCCGTATGGTAATTTATGCGTGGGAAATTGCAATAATTTAGTTCGCCTTTTAAATATGCTCCCAAGAGACAAAGCGTTTCCTCGGCAAAACTTTAAATTAACTGCCGTTTTATACCGAAAAAAGTTAATTTCACTCTCGCCTTTTATCTTTCTTTCAACAAGCTGAATGACATGTCATAAGTGAGTTTGTTTCTTCCACAGTTTACGATTAATTTTGTGCGTTCAAATCCTTGGAAGCCTTCGGGCTGTATATTAAGAGCTGTTTTGAGATATTTCTTTTCTTTCTGGGCTTGTATTACGAAAAATGATAGTTCTGTCCTCTCTGGGCTTGTATTACGAATTAAATGTAATGATAAATAATATTTTAAAACGTTTTGAAAAATCTACTTAAATATTATACATAATTTATACTGTATGATATACGGCATTATCGTTAATTTATATATAAGAAAATGATTAAATTTTTCTGTCATTTATGTAGTTGCTTAAATTATGTTGGCCCGTTTAATAAGATTGTTATTTGAAAACAAAAATACAAAATCCTCTCCATATCATATAAAGTTTGTCTGTTTCTTCGTGCATGAAACACACAGCATGAAACCAGAATATTATATATATTTTTTAATCGCATTGATTTCTTATTAATTTTATCTTTCATATTGTAATGATACGATCTTTAAATTTTCGCCCCCAAACCTCACGATTTTAGAGCAACTTTGATAAATGTATTATTCGGCATGTCTTGCGAAACTGTTTATAAAAGTGCTTTCAGAATGTTATACGAATTAACTTTGAGTCCAAGGGCATTAAATAGCAATAATTCTTTGGTAAAATAAAAGAACAACATATGTATACGTATATGAATGTTACATTGCAAAAGAATAAAATAGGAAACTAGAGATGTTACAGTACTCGCTGTTCTGGACTTCGGGGTATAAGGTAGCTTTTACACTGAATGAAATTCATTTATGTTTGTGTATTTTTTCATTCAAACCTTTTTGGAGGTTTTGATTCAAACAAAATTTGTATCAATATGAACATGTAAACACGTGAAATATAAAAATGTTGAACGCCAATGGGGGTGTCTTAACATCTCTACTACAAAGCCAACTGGGATCATCGCCAAACGGTTTAAATTGGCAAAGAGGAATTATTAGTTTCGCATTCTGATTTCTGACTAATCGTTCCATTCCGCACGCTTTTCGTCTATATACTCTGGGAAAATCGTCCAGCTAAAATTTCAATAGTTGAAGCTCTTGGTCATGAAGTTCGCGAAAAAATCAAATGAAAAATAATTGATGAGTTCTAGAATTGTTTCACTATTATTTTTTAGCTTCCAATATAAGCAGGGAGCAGCGTGGCAGCGTCTTCAAACAACTTAGCATCAAATGTGGTATAACAACTGCCTAAAATAGACAAAACACTTCTCGACGTTTCGACCTGAGGGCCTTCGTGAGGAGAGTTAGTATGATAACTCTCTGATAACTGATCATACCAAATCTCCTGACGAAGGCCCTCAGGTCGAAACGTCGAGAAGTGTTTTGTCTATTTTAGGCAGTTGTTATACCACATTTGATGCTAAGTTTATTAATTTTTAAGTGGAATTCCTAGGAAATCTGTGCTTTAACCTCAGAAATTAGAAATTTTACTGAGAAATTTGGCGCAAGCATGCTGGCGTGCGATATCAAATTAGGTTTAGCACAGTTCTTAGGTTCTAACCACAACACAAAATTTCACGTTTCGACTTGCAACGAAACGCGACGATTTTCATTTAGATGCGTGGACGACAATGAAAATCCATGCACCCAAATTTTCCATAGTTCCTTATAGTTTGGTCGAAAGTTGCAAACTAGATCTCACGGTATAAAATATTACAACAAATGCGCGTGACGTGCATGTGAAATGCGGGTGCATGAATGAGATTTGTGTATATACTTTGTGTACACTCAGTTCCCATGGCAATGAGAACTTCGAATAGGATTTTTCTTTGAAGGACGGGTCTGGGAAACGTCTCACATCTCTTCAAGTTAATATTACTTGACATTTTCAAGTTCTCTTCTCCCTTTAATTGGGAAAAGAACTCAAAGAGTTGTCTTTAAACAAGATTTCTGCGGTGATATAGCCAGTCTTAGCGTCACGAGTGCAAGAAAGATCTCTAAACAGATCTCAGCTTTTCCTGTAAGCTCGCCTGGTTAGTTTCTCGGCTTTTGAGTTACAAATAATGGATTTGAAACCGTAAAATGAATGGTGAAGATCGGTCACGTCTGTTGTACGCACATCATTTTTTTAAACTATCATATAATTTGATTGAGATTAACAGCGCAGTAATTTCTATGCATAATGTCATTTCTGAATAAGATATCTTTCGACCATTTAAAATCACCGGAATATATAAAATATTATTTATATTGCATCATACCGAATACACGCATTTGGAGATTGAAGAAACTGATAGCAAAAAACATCAGTCCTCTTCTTTCTTTCGATAAAATTGTCCAGTCTGAGTGCATGTACGTAAGTAAATAGAGCAGAGGGGGTAGTTTGCTTCACGCCCCAACCTTCGTGGAGGGGTGGGGGAGAACTACAGCGATATGGTATAATAGTTAGAGGAGTATAGAGTGCCACTGAGCTATATAATATATCTCAGTAATGGAGTGCCAAACTTGCTCTCCATCTTGGATTTCGGCCTAGGCCACAAATCGCTTTTGATCGGTTTTGGGTGGTCGTTGACAGTCCAGTAATAAAGCTTAGTTTAGCGTCGAAAACCGGTTAGATCTTTGGTTATCGGTATTCCGACAGTCTTTTATACAGACTTAATATTGAGTACTTTTTGTTGGGAATATATATATATATTTGGGTAAATATTTTGAACTGAATTTAGCTTAGCGAGTGCGTTGCCCTCTAGCCGACTGCTAAAACAAACTGATTATTCATCAAATTCAAAACTAAAACCAGCAATTAGAAAGCGGAGAAACTACGGTGGAAACCGAATGTAAACACACTGAACGTTTTGCTCGATTAGTTTTTATTCAAAATTTACATATCAATTAGGACTCCACCTTCAAAACAACCTCGCAGCTAGCAGGCCAATATCATCAATTACTTCATTTTCGTGGGTTTGATGTTATTCAAATCAATTTATTATTGTTTGCGGACTTTTATACAGAAGCAAGCTGAACCAATATAACTTTAATCAATTCAAATTAGTGCATGATTAACCGCTGTGATAGAAAGATAATTACATATATAAATATTCGCTTATGCGTGTGTTGACCAATTTTAGTTGTTGTTGTTGTAGAGCAAGCCTTGTGTCGGCCATCTGTTTCATTATAGCCGGGCACTTGTATGGCCACCTTAATTGAGATTAACGATATGGTAAAACACGACGACAATTTGCATCCTGCATGATCCTTGCTATTTGGGGGCTAGGGAGTTTGGATGAGATCCATTCACCTCGGCCTTTTGACGCCATGCGCACTAGCCTTTTCATCGCCGGAGACTGCCCTGTCACCTGTGGTCAGACACGTGGCAAATAGCCTTCTCGCGGTGCATTTTGGGATCGTTCGAAGGAACAAAAAATACGATTACAGATATGAAATATACGAAAGATTATAGGTCTCTGCTATCAGTACAAAACCATTTACATGATAAGAAAAAAGACGGTGGAATTTCTCCACTTTACATTAAAAATAAATTGAATGAGTACGCCATATTTTTTGCTCATTGAAAAGTAGAAATTGGCGTTACAAAACAGTTTAGAAATCGGCTAACTACCTTGAAATATACTTTTGAAGCGATAAAATCGAGCCATGAAACTCAGCTGAAATCTTAACTTCAAGTGAGGATGATTCGAACTCCCTTCAATTACTTGCTTTCGAAAAACTAGATGATAGCGCGTACTCCATGGAACCAACCTATGGTTAGCCTAGAAGCAACAAAGTAGAACCATGCATAGCTACAGTTCTTTCATAAATACTTTTATGCATTTGCCGACAGATATCACAGGTCAACCATTTTTTTCACAGATTAACCAGACGTTAGCCAGACTTTAATATTGTTATTTTATTAAACCGCAAACCGACGGTTTGCCCGAAGACGCGTGCTGCATGATTGAAGTTATTTTGTTATTTGATTGTCTGGAATGAAAGAATATATTATACATGCTAAGAGAAACATTTGGCATTTCGGGTTAACCGAGTCATGTCTGATCCTAACCGCCCCGGACTGTTCAGCGGCGTAAATGAATATTGAAGAAAAATAGATAGCGATTAATGTAAGATGCACCTGTGTCAGTAAATTGCCAAAATCCTGTCCGTAAGTGGCGCTTCATTCATTGTGGAAAATGTTGGAAAATGTACAACGGTACAACCTCGATTAGGATCTGTGTTTCCACTTAATAAGACGCGACCTTGTGAAGTTTAGCTAATGTTTATACAAGTGTTCCAACATCTCATAAAAGCGTGTCTTGATTCTAATGGCCTGCTAAATTGTTGTATTTTGTCTAATATTTTTATTTTTACTTCATTGTTTTATAGAGAGGATATTAAGAAAAAAATTGAAAAGATTTTGGTACGTTTTTCTCATAAATTCCGTATCCCAGTAACATGTGTATAATTATGATTAATGATTAAAGAATAGCTACTTTCATATGGCCAATCAGCTTTCAGTATTTCCACGCGCTTTATCCCATTGTGTTTGAAATTCATCAAATTCAATTGAATTATCAGTGATTTACTAAATTCATTAACAACAATTATCCCTAATGGATTTAGTCTGTGTTGAAAGTAGCTATTCTCTTGGACGGGTAGAGCGTGATTACGCATGCTCTATAGGATATAGAGTTCCTCGAATGAGATAAGGATGGCCCTTCGTGACCCCTATAGTAGGGGATTCTACATCTTATTCTCGAAACCTTCCTCAAACTCCTCCTGTGAATTGATTATCGTACTACTGCATGTATTATTGAATAAGCAGGTTATGAGTAGTTTCACAATGAATGAAGTGAGGTCTTATCAAATGCTCTTTCTCTAGGAGGATGTCCAACTATGGTCTGATACGGAGAAGTTACTTCTTTATCTGAAGTTGCCGGGAAGTACACATCGAGACAAGAGCAAAGATGAAAAAGAGTGAGTCGCAATTATCTTGACTTTGAGTTTTGTGTGCATGGTTTCACTGTTACACGGCGCAATTTTTCGTGCAGTGAATCATGAGTAGACGGGTTACATCCAGCGTTGCACGAAGTAGAATTGACTTCTGCTTTGGCAACGCTTGATGCGACTTGTTTTGCAACATCATTGCATGGAAAATTGCAACAGCATTTTTAGAAGCATTTCAATATGGATTGTGCTCGTTGGAAAAAAATGAATCAACAGAAAGTAGAAGTTAGTTATTTTTTTTTTGCAGTCCTCACGCCATACCCTTGTCGACGACCAGAGCTGAACAAACCCAAGCTTTCCATTGGTAAGTATGTGGTTGTGAATGGGAGGACTGTGGTAGAAAGAGTAGAATAGGAGAACGAAAGGAACAAAGGAAAGAGGAAAGAAGGATTGATACAAAGGAATGCTAGGGATAAAAGGGATTGCAAGGGAAGAGGTGAAGGACGGAGTGAAACTATCTTCGTGTAAATAACGTTATATTTGCCTAGGATTCGTTGTCATTTGGAAGAATGTGAAAACAATTCAACTTTACCGAAGCACGAAGTCTATGACGAGTACAGAGCCCACTGCGAGAGCGTGAATGCAGTGCGCGTGCTCAGTGCTCCAGATTTTGGCAAGATCATCAAATGTGTTTTTCCTAACGTGAAAGCGAGGCGCCTTGGAACGAGAGGGAACTCAAAGTATCCTTTCCAAAATTCTATCGTGAGCATTGTAAAATATTGGCAAGTATTGGAAACATGTAAAATATTGGCAAGCATTTTACTTGCACTTTTTCTTAACTTACGGATAGATATTGTTATAGTGGAATTCAGAAGAAGAGAATTGTGAAGTCACCACAATTGCCAAACCTTGTCGCACCAGTACCAGGAGACAAGAGTATGGTAAGACACGATCACCACAAAAATTATATAAAATTATTTCCTGTAAACTTAACCATCATTACTAAAGCACACGGCCTCTCTTCCTCCAATCACAAGCGCGATAGTTCAGCGAAAAATATAGCCGTGGTAGTAGTGCATGGAAGTCAAATCTGAACCTCGCCATGCATTAAACGACTCGTGGAAATATTACATTCATGTATTATTACAAAATTTCTATTTTGCAAATCTCTAGGGTAATGGTGGCACCTCGTGCCCTAATGGTGAAAAGATAGGCGATGATCAAACACTAGTAGCTGCTTGCGACTTGGTATGCGAATGGGCCAACAAGCTGTTGGGTCGTGTATTCAACACTCTCGTAGAACTGGGCAGGTTCCTGGTTGGAGGGAGTTACGTATCCAGCAAGTCAATGGCTGCCTTCGTCGTCATGTCTAGCAATGAACCTTTAGGATCTTACAAAAAGTAAGATACGAATGAATTCATTTTTTATATCAGATATCTGATAATCCAATTTTTTTATACGAAGAAAGGTAACATACCAAAAATACCATCAGAATTTATCCTGTGTAAGATGCTGATGGTAAGTTAACCATTTTTTCAAACCTTTTCTAATTTCAGGTTGACACTAAGCAATCGCAAATGTAACCCCGACGAGCAATCTTTAATAAGCCAGAAACGTAAACAAACGCAACAACAGCTACAGCGAAAGATTCAGCAAAGACAACAGCATAAACAACAACAAGCACATCAACTGAATCTACTGCTTCATCCTTCGACACCCACGGGAAAGCAATTCACGCCAATTTTACCTCAAACTCAAAAGGTAAATATAAATAAATCATGGAATGAATGGGTTCAATTTAGAGATATTCAGCATATAGTTTTAAATCATTATAGTGGGGAACGTCTGGCATCTTGACGTACGACATGATTTCTGAAATCTGAAATTTCTCATAGACAACCTTGCCTTAACGTTTTGTTAACCCATGAATTTTTTAGAGAGTAAAATCATCGTTTTTCTCTTAGGGAACCCACCTCGCACTCGCCAATGGGCTCCTCATTCAATCCAAACCTCAACTTCAACTTTCTCCTAAACTTACGATAGTTCCCAACCTCCAGAACCCACCGATGCCAAGTACTCCAGTTATTTATAATCAAACCCCTCAAAAAAGCTTAGGTCATCTCCCCCCGTCGACCACCTTGAGCCCAGTCACGCCGTCTTTAGCCAGCCCAGGTTTGCTCTCTCCCTACAACACGAAGTCCCCAAAACGTAGTGCCCCTCACCCCCCCCGTAGTGGAACCATCACCCCAAGTCCTATCAGCACAACCCCTCGACACACTCCGAACGGAGAGGTGACCCGCTTTGTTTTCACTCCTATTACGAATGGGACTGCGGATAATAAAGTCTCATTGCCGGGGGGTGAAGCTAGTCCACCTATGCTGAAAAGACCCACAGCAACTCATCCGGGATTGAGCAGTGAATGGAATAATCATCAAAATAAATCGACTGTTTGTCTGAGTACAACACCAGTAAAAGGTACGTGCACTTGGTTCTCGATTATGAATCAGTTTTTCATACAATATTTTTTTAAAGCTAGGTTACGGTCAGTCTCGCGGTCGCTAATGTAAACAAACGCTTTGTTTACATATTGCATTACTGTATCTCTTAAAATATTCTGTCCTGTCGAAATCTCGAATATCGGAATATTTTATTTCACTTCATTTCTAAATGAATAAGAGATTGAGTTTATTTTCCATGAAATTCAAAACACCCGAAATTTGGAAAATTTCTAAATCATGGGGTTCCCCAATGTTATGGGCAGAACCGACGCGCAGAAACCGCTGTAACCTGTCTCTCATCATGTAAATCATCTCATGAAACAAACAAGACGAACAAATGAAGATCTTCTCTTTCATTTTAGATACGCCCGGTTCGCCCTGCAAGCAGCCACGTATCGCTTTGAAAGATCCACCGTCGAATACGTCCGACCATCAAACGAATTCATTTTCTCAACCAATGATATCTCCTCGTGTAAATAAACGTCCCGGTAAGTTATGAATTACACTGATTGAAAATTACTGCATTAGCTCTTATGCGGGTTCTTCCTTGTGCTATTGTCTTCACCACTCCACTCTGGTGTAAAAAGAATATATCGCATTAAAGTAAGTCTTGATGGTAAAGATAATAGCATTGGTAAAAACGTACATACTTGTTTTTGTGTATAACATACTCTCTCTCTGTATACATGCAATGACGGTGATAATGTAATCGCTTTTTTCCGTTTAGCTTTAAATCCGGCATCGTCAATGCCAGTCTTGACCCAAAATTCCAATCAAGCAAGAGTACCCATATCTCCTCGCGCCCCAAGATCAAACACGTCTAGACAACCCGTAGCCAGGCAACAATCTTTACCGTCGTCATGTTCCGTCAGTTTCCAACCTCAATCTATTATCACGCAGGCTCTCTCGCACCAACCGCGCGATTTGACATCGTTTCCTTTCGGGTAAGAATCGCTGTTTGGTATCTTAGAATTGTATTTTTTAGGATATCGCTATAAAATGCCATTTTGGAGTATGCCATCGTTATTTGTATATCAAACTAAATTGAATGTCTTAAAGAGTAGGAGAGCTAAAATAATTCTATCAAAGATGATACATAGCTTAATGCCAGCTCAGACGGTTTTTGCTACGATTTTTTGCCCGACTTTTCGATCTTTCAATAGATGTGATCGAGTCAATAAGTAACGGATTTTCAAATCTAGACATTTGCATCTGTCAAGGTGTGATAAGTGTGAACCGACATAGACGGTAATCATTTTTACAATCTTTTTAGCAACACGTCGACCTCCGATTGTCGTTTCCAGCAAACTACAGCAACTATGACGTCAACACATGATCAATCAACCCCACAGAACTTTCTTGAGCATCTGCCGACAGAACAAGAGTTGGCAGCGCTGTGTAACCAGTTAAGCAACGGCGCAGCTGGTGTACAAAATAACAATCGCAGTCATTCAGTACCACCATTACCTCAAAACCTTCTACCGCGCATGAACACGAGCAGCATTCAGCCGCTGACACCACAGACGGACGGACGCCACCAATTCGTGGCACCGCGCATGGCAAACGCAAACATGACAAATACCAGCGGTCCTGTAGACGGGCTCAAGCAGCTTAGGAACCGCGTCCTCCACGGAGATTCAAACAATAACAGCGGAGCCCGCAATGGTGCGAACGCAAACGCGTTAGCGGGTTTCGCTGCGAAGCGAAATTTAATGGTTGAACTTGAGAATGTTTCCACTTGGGGGACATCCACTTCATGTACATTTCAGCAAAACAAGCCACAAATATTAGCAGAACTTTCTGGTGATCCGTTGGCAGGTTTGAATTTAGACGAAATCGCGATAGAGGCCTCCAGCGGTGACTTCGATATACTTGTGGATGAATCGGCTTTATTTGGCGACTCGAACACATATACAACTCCGTGGAATGCGTCTGCGCAACCCGTAACGTTGGATAGCTGCCTGTGAAAAATGTCGAGTAGCATGAAGTAACACAGTGCAAAGCCGCGGTACACCATTCTGTCCAACCTAGCTTGCCGCTCTTAAGAACGGATCTCCCTTTCAGGCCAATCTAAGCATGATTTGACTTACAGATTCCATGTGTCGTATTAAATTCACCAGAGATGTCTATCATCAATGTGTATGAGCCCGTTTGATAAAGAGGGCATTATGGGTATTCAGGGTAGAGTTGAAAAGAAATACTTGATCTCTTTGAGAATCACGACACAAGCTGTCCAGAGACATCCCTGATGATGAGTAGACATTTAATCCTATTACGAAGTTTCCCGACATTCTCTAACATCAGACACCAGCAGATTGCTTTGCAAGTCAGCAAGTGTATTTTGCGCCGGGCAAAGCATCGTGAAAATCGTAACGGGATAAGATCTATCATGACATTTGGAACAATGTCAAAATAACGGTTTAGGAAACTGTATTTACGCTAATTTTGCAAATATCAATAGTTGCAAAGCTTAGTAACTAAGGATAGTATCCATTTGGTCGTTATCTGTTGCTCCCCAAAGTGGTAATTGGTAGATGGAAAATCGTCTATAAAGTTTAGCTTTTCTTTTGTGTGGGTTAGGTAAATTAGTCTTCTACACTGATCGCAGAGATATGAAACTCCTTCTCATCCACCACTTGTCGTTCGGGTAGCGACAAGCAACGACGAAATGGGATCTAAGCCTTCCCGAGTCCTCTATACCCTTGACGTGTAATATCTTTTGTAAATGCGTAACTAATTTATGGATCTTCATAGATCTTTCATTTAGAAGCTCTTGTGTGGAGCCATCAGATTTTTGTACAGACATGAAAGTAACCCTTTATAATAAAGATTTATCTATTTAAAGTTTTGTTGCATTTTGGAAAGCAGACTGGTAGCCCCACCTTTTCCTCCCACAAAAAAATTTTACTATCGCAAAATATAGCCTGCATAACCTGTCAAAATGCTACACAATGCGCCTGACCGATTGAGGGTGTAGCAATGCTTAATAACGAAGTAACATGAAGTATATCGTCTGTAATAATCTCTAAAACGTTTCAAGATGGCGACTGCAGAGGACTTGAAAGACGGTAAATGATTGATCGTTTGTATCTTTTTTCTATTTTATGCTAAAATGGAATACCACTATACCAGGTCTAGATAAATGAATCTCTATGTCCCAATATTATTTTATGTTAGTGTGCAATTTATTTATTTCAAATCGCTTTAGTGGAGTACAATTCAAGTAGGTAGAGGTAGACATTACTCACATTAGCGACCAATTGCGCTTTGGCCTTTTCTGTATTTTTGACGTTCACATGTTAATAGTTTTAAAGGAGACTCTCGAACATCGTGGTGTTCTTGGTCAAATAAAAGCTAGAATCAGGGCAGAAGTCTTCAATGCTTTGGATGACCAGGCAAGTTTTTACCAGATAAAATGCTGGCATTTCGTGTTAAGTGTGAATGCGAATACTGTGTTAATATTGTAGAGATAAATGTATTATACTCTATTGGTAGCCTTGCTTATCCAGTGCTTATCACCATTTTCCTGTAAATGTAAATGTAACCGAAGTTGGTCGATTAAAGACCATACGTTATAACTATATAAACATTGTAGCTCATTTTCGAAAGGAAAGCTATTTTTTCTTGAAATTTATTCAGAACGAAGAGAAGCCCAGTCTTTCAAACGAGAACATGTTAATGAATGAATTAATCCGCGAGTACTTAGAGTTCAACAAATATAAATACACATTGTCAGTTTTGATGACAGGTGAGAGACAAGGTGTATATGTGCTTGCTTTAGAAGTTTCACTTTTTGGCCATTACAAAATTATTTTTTTAAACAAAGAAAGTGGACAGCCAAAAGAACCGCTGGATCATCAATTTCTCGCAAAAGAACTAAATATAACCGAAGATAATGGGACTACTTCAGTGTAAGTTGTAGAGAATTATAGTTGTTGCACAGACAATTCCCACGTCTAAAAATTTACCAAGCTCTTCTTCGTCCTACTCTAATTAAAAGCTATCGCGAAGTCGTGCATTATCGCTTAGCATTTTCTATATAGCGAACTCAGCTCTTTCACTTTGCCGGTGTTTCTTTCCGCAGGCCTTTGTTGTACGGAATGTTGGCTCATTTCATGAAGGGAAATCGCTCGAGAAACGAGTTTCAACCAACAGCTCGGGTTAACCATAGCGACGACATTTACCCCAAATCAGATTGTAAGTATAAAATATTTACAAATGACCAAAAACTATAAGCAGTTTTAGGATTGTAAAAGTTTGCAAAATTTGCAAGTCCCATCCTAACTCAGAACTTTAGTCTGCTGGGGCGATATTCACATCGTTTTTCGTAGATCAAACTGTAAATTGTATGTACTTTCTGAATATACTTTATCGACTCGATAAAGGACATTCAATGATTCATCGTTTATTATCGCGTTTCGCTCTGCAGCAATAGTGAAATTTTTTGTGATAGTTGTTCGATTTCGCATGGTTTGGTATAAAACAGAGCTGGCTTACTTCTTTGCGTCTCGACAACAAAGATGTGTGTCTTTCATCAAAGACTATATGTTTGGAGCAGTTAAATCATGCTCGACTGATGATAATTTGAACAAAATTTAAATGGTGAAAATACCTGCAACACGGCCACGTTCTTTGCATTTTGTGTTGATGAAAAACAAGAATTATAGTAAAGCTCTTGTGAAGTCTTCATTCACAAAGTTATGTTTCGTCTCGTTCGAGATAATTCCTTCATGACCTTGTTGAGCAATGCGATTATCTCAGCCGTCGATTTACCTTTTCTTGTTCTACCTCGATATATATTAAATTCAGATGGCGTGTATCGATTCCTGGTATGTAATCCATCTCACCTGCATCGACTTTTGTTCGCTTATTGCAATAGAAAAACGAATTCGATGCCTCTTTGGCTGTTTATTGCTCTACATGATGTTACTGTCTACGCTCGAACAACTTTTAGCAGAAGTCATTAAGCTTCCAGCTTCGCTATGAAAGCGAGATTTGCATAAACACAGAAGAAAAGCTTTCTCTGGGGCTTTGAAGACGTCTTTTGTCTCCGTTTAGTTTATGCATGATAGGGCATCTCCCAAGAGGCTACCGTGCGCAATTATTTCCATTGTTCTGATTTGAAAGGCTCTGCACTGTGCATATTTCAGTGCGCAAACAACAGTGCGTAAAATTGAATTTTTAGTATTAGGCGCATGAAATCTTGTGCTCAACATCAATTTCATTTCAGAAGTCAGCTTTCCTCGGGTCAACTGGTTTGCCTATTTTAGGCAGTTGTTATATACCACATTCGACAAAAGGTTTTATCATTTTTAGATAACGAAGACCATCACCCTCGTAAACCAGCTTCGATCAGTATAACCAGTGGAAAAAGGTGACATGATCCGTTCGAGTGGCATAGACCTTGTAAGCCTGGACCAATATAACATGCTTAGGAAAATATTCACAATTTGTCGTGCTCGAAATCCGTCAAAAACGAAGCAAAGCTTTGCATGTAATGAAAAATTGATGTGAATCTGGTATATCCCCACTGTATTTATTCAACTGTGCAAAATATATTTAGATAAATAAATTACTCATCCACCGTATTTTAATGCATATTAAAACAAATTGCTTAAGACTGGCAAAATAGAAAGTGTGTAGAAATGTTTGTTAAACATGCGTAAATCTGGGGGAAATGGTGGAGCCTGGACAAGGGTATGAACATGTAAAGCTGTGATATCGGGTGCAAAACGCTGATCTCTATGCATAGTCCAGTTGCCCAGCGCCATGTTAGCTCATGGTGTTCCTCGATTTTCAATACCTACGGTTGCGGAGTTTCTACCCTCTCCAAGAGCCGGTTTAAAACTGTTAAGAACTATCAGGCGATTCTGATCTGATGCTAGACATAAAAGCTCACTATACCTTTTTATACAACTGGGCTAATAGGTAGCTGGGCTCTGCAAACTATCTTCCTTTCACTACCAAAAACAACACAAAAAGAGTTTTTAATGTTTTATTTTGCTTCTATGATATCAGTTTATATCTTGTACTCGAGAAGAACTCGAAATGAATAAGTTCTTATAAAATATCGCTCAGTTTCAATTTTTACTTATTTTCATTGTACACACTACAATATACTCAAAATTACTATTTCTAAGTGAGTGGCTATGACGTAATACAGGCGATTTCAATTTCGATCGATTTTTTGCAACGGTTCTTTTGAAACAGGTAGTCAGTCCGCTGATCTTAAAATTACACTGGATAAAGCTTCTTTTTCTTGGACTTTGCGATGAATTAATTCTCTTCAATTTGTCTCCAGGAATTCATTACTTTTATGGCTATCGTTGCCGTATCCAGGTAATTTTAGATCAGTAAAATCAATCACATTTAATTATGCATTAGTTTCATTTAATTTAACCCATTTCAAAAACCGGAAAAAACCGATCGAAGATAATTTGCACTAAAATGGAAACCGCATTTATATAATGCTTTGAATTACTTTTAACAGGTTTTGTTGCATACAGAAAAAACTATTTTTATTTCATGTCAAAATTACCAAAAATTACCTATGCTCTTTAGCTTTGAACGAAAGATGATATATTTCGACACTTTTCAATTGGAAAATAAAAGCTAAGAATAATGTCATACCGAATTGAATAGCGAAAAGGGAGAAAATACGGAAATACAATAGGGAATATACGATCTTGCTACATGCACAATATCCTAATATCAGGATATTGTATTAACGATACTAAGCCAGTCGCTGTAAGAAAACTTTAACCGCTTTGAGTGAATAAATCAATAATTGGGAATTGTCTATCAAAAATTAGATAAACATTAAATGGAGTATTGCAACTTAGCGTATCTTGTTTGGTCAGGAATATTATTAATAACAGGCAATTCTGAGGTTTTGTTAATTTTTTTTAAACGCGAAAACTACAATTTTTTGAAACTGTAATATCCCACTTTTTTCTGTTCCCACGGCGGAAATACAATCGAATATCGTTTTGAGATGCTCCATGATTACTCTAATAACATGCACTCAACTTCGATGAATTTTCGACTTGATAATAATCAACTTCTACCATCATGGCCACTCACTCAAGTTAATATATTAGTTAATAACAATAAATTATTCAGACTCTAAATAGAAATATAAATAACAATGTTCAAATCTTTAAAAGTCACGCGTAATCTTTAAAACACTATATAATATCAGAGTTTTTTTAGAATATTTTTTCCAGGTTTTTTTTCACATCAAAACATGCTTGTCAAAAGATAGCAGTAAGTGAATATAGTATAAAAAATTACAAACTATTTAACAAAACTCTCGAACGACAGACAAGGTTCTGTCATTCCATGCAAAACTGCTAAAAATGGGACGCTATATTTGTATTATATGACGTCCCACACGCGGAAGATATATCACGCACAAATATAATTTAATTATTAGGAAAGTTAAAAAGAAAATGAAAAGTCTTGCTAACTTTAAGAAAACTATAATATTCACCAAAATAAACAAAGACGGCTTCCAAACTTTGGAAACGGTCGAGATCCCACAAAAAAGGATACAAAAATAGAACTAAAAATATATCAAATTGCATTGCGTGTTCTTCAGATTGCGTCATTTCTCGGAAGAGAAAAATTGAAAAGCGTGCATATTTCAAAACGTTTCAGTTTTAAATTTTGCAAATGATTGCTCGTATGTAAAATAAGTTCAGCCAAATACGATCTTTAGCCAGAAGAAAATAGTAGAATTAACATGTGTTGGTACGAGTCACGTGTTTTAACGATGGGCAATACAGCCCGCACAGCCCGCACGCAAAATCAAACGGTCACGCACGCTTCACGACGAAAAGTGACACACGTAAATAAAAACACGTCAAAGCAATCAGTAATAATGCACTCAATCAAGACGATGGGATATCTAAGAACATTTACGGTTGATATTCACATACATCAGGGGATAATCAGGAGTGTTGCCGGGAAATCACAGACCCACCTTTTCAGAATGGTCGAGTACACGAGGGTACACATCTGTCGTCTTCTTCAGCCGGACACAAGTTCAGAATCCAAACAGGCCAATCGTAGTGCTCGACGCGGTTTTACTGGTACGAGTCTTGGGTTTGTGATGACGTAATCCTTCGATAGAATGATGCCATTGCCAACATGAGCGGCAATAGTATTTGAAGCAAGACAGCTCGCGACAAAAATATGGGCCTGGGTTCGTGTGACAGGTACCGCATATTGAATCTTCTAGATAAGGATCGACTTGAACCTGCGAGATTAAGAATAAGCGCTTCGTTAGATGTCCATTCAGCAGAAGCATAAAGATCAGAGGCTGGTTGTATAAAAATGTAATTAGAATGGTGATAGAATGGGCCAATCAGAATCTTGTATTTCCGAGTCAACAATGCCTTAGGCACGCAAAATGTGCTCAATAGGATTTTGGTAAAACTATTATTTTAAAGCACTTGCGATATTTAAAGACTCAATTTTTTGGTCTTTGCCATAATTGTGAACGGCAAGTTCTAAGTAACAAATTCCAAGATTATATTGTAACCCAACAATAGCTGACGCCAATGACGTTTTTACGTGATAAAAATAATTGATAGCCCGAAGTGTTGAGACGTTAAAACAAATACACACCAAAATTCTTCCCTTCATCCACAAATCCTAGCCTAGCGGGCGAGAGTTTAATATTATTATTTAAAATATTATTTAAGGCATTTCCGTGCATGCTAAGCGACTGTAAGAGACAAAATACCCGAGGCTCCATTCGCCTCATTATTAATCTTATATATTAATTAAGGTTGAAAGGATTTTAGTTCATTGCAATTCCTTACTTTCTTTGTGAATTTCGGCGTCTTTAACTCTATGAAGCCAGCACAAACAGCTTTCATGTAACTTTTGTGATTGTTAAACGTCACACGACCTGAACCTAAATGAGAATAAAAGCTATGAATTCGCGCGTCGAATAAAATTGCAGGATTTAAGCCCGTGTTTCACTAGGCAAATTTATTCGCGCGACGCGAAGCGATATCTGAAATCCGGTGATGTGATTGGTTTGCGAAAGAATTCGCCGCGAAAAAAGTGGGATCGCTTCCTACTTTTCATCTGTTCGCGCCAATAAATTCGCCAGTGTAAACCGGCTTTAGATTGATTCCCTCAAGACTCGTGTCCTTGAAGAAAGCGAGGAAGAACGCGTTTGGCAGAAGGAAAAGCATTTATAGCAGAATTGAATCTCAGGTTTTTCCGATAAACATTCAAATTAAAAATGTTAAAAGCGTTCGCAGATATAAAGTGTTCTCAATTCGTAGATGGATCAATTTGCAGGGTTCTCGTTAAATGTTGGCACAATTTAAACTAGCACAGACACAATGCAACTAAATTTTGAAAAACAAAAAAATAGCCTCAAGGAGCATTGGTAATCTTCACTACACATTCACAAGGAATTTTTAAACGCCCCCTTGAATTCACAAACACCAAACACTTTTTTATAAGATTTACGCTGATGTATTTAAAATGATTTGTCTCGTTTCTGACCCCATATTCTTTCATTTTTAACTTTTCGAAATGTTGAACATTCTAACTTGCTGCTGCCTTGTATATTTGAGTGAATTTACGCAGAATTAATTATCAGGTTTAAACGGAAAAGACCGTAGCGACTAGTTCCCTTTAGCCCCTAATAACATGTTATTTATGACAAGGCAAGATAAAGAAAGATATTCCTATGTTTTCCTAGCCGAGTGGCCCTAGTTTGTTACTTGCAAAAATCCTAATCCCGAATGGGGTGATTTTCAACCGTATTGAGCACGAAACACGAGTTAGTGTTTCACATAAAAACGAGGTAATTTTGTGGAAAGTGGATTTACGTAAGATCTAGAATCGATTTCGTTCCATGCTCATGCACGGATACCACAAAGACTAAGACAGAAAACGGTAAATACATCCGGGTGGAATTCACCACGATAAAAAAGGTCACAACATGTGTGACGATTTGAATTTTTTCCAAAGTTATTGGCGAGTTCTTCTTTATATGCAAAGTCATAATCAGAGCTATGACGGCAAGAAAATTTCACATGTTATGAGAAAACTTCACCTTGCTGACACAAAAGTTCGTCGGGTGAATATAGTCAATTTATACTCCATTAATGCTACATGAAAATACATTTTTTTATTGCTATCAAAACCGATTCCCAAAGAATTATATTTTTGATCGACACAAGGCGAGCTTTTTCAATATGGTCAACAGCACCTACCTATTGGATACTTATGTTTATCTGTATCAATTCCCGCGTACACGACACCGCCAAAGAGATCTTGCATGATGTGGGCGAGACCCTCGGCATTAAGCATTCCATGTAAGCCTCCAACAAACACAGTCTTACTTGGATCAAGCTTCTGGTAACGGCCGCAAACGTAATTGCTGTCGACCAACACCCACGGGATCACCTGAACCTTAACACGATGGACGAAAAAAAACAAACTCGACAATTAAAGTCCGTTCACCCTTGTATTTTTTGTGCAGCAATTTTTAGTGCGATTTTGTAACAGATGGAAACGAGGGAATAGTTATATGAAAGTTCTGTCCATAAGTGCCCTTATTTGAACGTCCGTAACTTATCCACTCGATCACATCTGTCAGAAATCGCACCTTAAATCACAGCGAAAATCGCTCGTGTGAATCGTAGTATTAGGTGGGGGCGATTTCGCCTCACAATTTCATGTAGAGCTTTGGTCTTTTGACGACCGGTCCCTGGTCGCTTTTAAGCGAGGACATACGAAAGTTTTTCCCGAACGAAACTGTTTCATTGTACGAAACTAGCGACTTAGTTTCTTCCGTATGAGTGCCGTACAAGTCGATGTTTACATCTGGGGTAATTTTTTTAAATCTCAAATAGCGCGCTAAGCCTGGTTTATATTTTATTATATTTTGTTGATGAATATTTATGGTGGTTGCTCTGTTCGATAATTCGGAAAATGAAATCTCTTTTGAACCTGGGGAAGAATTTCTGGAACAATCTACTCAACTTAATATACTAATAAACTGATGGAAAGTTTGAGTTGTGGATTAGCAGTGATCCAGCAGGGTCAAGCCGCCGACCGGCTTTTGAACAACCGGCCGTTAGACGATAATCCTAATATGGATGATCCTATTATTGAACAAGACCGAGATAACGTTGATGTACAAATCTTGCTGTATAGGGGTGGGGGAGGGGATTGTAATGTAACATTCTCTGTTGTTAACTCAAAAGCAAGAAGGTTGGAGCGTTGGTAAAAACATGGACTTTTGAGCCTCAATATCAGTGAGCTGTAATAAAACCTGGAACGCTAACTTGGCCGCCATCTTTGAAGCCAAACTTGAAGGTAGTTTTTTAAGATTTTAAACGTTTGAGACAGATGTAGAGAGTGATTACCTACGTAGAACTATGTAAAATACAATCATTTGCTAATTTTTATAAAAATCGAACGAGAAACAGAGTCAACAACTCAGTTTTTGCTGCCTCAATTTTTGGCTTCAGCCTAATATCACGCTGAACCATAGGAGTTAGCGTTCCAGGTTTTATTACAGTTCACTGCTGAAAATCGAGAATGAGTGCAGGAAATGTAAGTAGACATGATGGAGCACTTACTTCCTTGCATCGGATGCGCCTGCTAGACAATTGAAAGTACCAATCGCCTCCATTACTGCAATCTTGGGTACAAGACGAGAGTAACGCTTTGATGGATTTTTCAGAGTCGAACACCAGATACACGTAACCTATAAATCGTGTAGAACAATGAACATTTCAGCATAAGATGTACCAGGATAAAAAGAATAGGTCACCCCATTGGTTTGGCCTTTAGGGAATTTATATTATATAAAGGAAACGCAAAGGACAGGCACGTGATTATGAGTGGCCGAACTCGTGAAGTAAATTCACTACGTAAAGGAATTTTTTGATCGAAAGATGATTTTCGCCACATTTTCTTTTCAATTGTGCCCGGTCAAGGCAATCCGCTGGACTGGCAAAAAATCTGTGGGCACACGGGTATCACCCGTAACGTTTACTTTAAATGAGGTTTGCGAGAAAGGTTCAAAGCCGAATGTTCACTCGAATTAATCACATGCATGTATATTATGTACCAAAAAACCATGCAATATTACATAACGCTGCTTGGCACCTGACGTCATTTTGAGGAAAGTTTTCAAAACTTGAAATCCTACCCGGAGGAACGTTGAACTCGGTTTGCAACTCTGCAAAACCCGCTACTGACGGATTGAAGAGAAAATGAAGCGAAAATTTTCGTTCGTTAAAAAAGTTCCGTCTAGTGGAAACCGCCCTCGGTCGATGAATGCTTCATGAAGTATAAAAGCCGTGAAATGTGTGCTACAAATTTCCATAAACGAGAATAGAAATATCTGAGGATAAGTTGCTCATCATTTTGCAGCTTCTACGACTACGTTCTCAAGCATGCCTTCTTCGAAGTCAATTCACGAGAAATTATAAATGTTTTTAACCGATTTCCTATTATTTAAAACTTAACTAAACAAATAAGGACTAAAATGTATACAAAAACAATCTCTTCACATGTTTCTTTTCAAAGGCAACATATATACAAACGTGTTTAGACAACTCGGAGACAGGGCGAGAGTAAAGCACCACAGCAATGTAAATTCTCCTGAGTCATCATAGCTACACACGATCATTTTGTATTTTGACATGTTCAAGAAGGCAAAACTGGTGGCAACTACTTAGGACAATGAGTTCGGCTAATTTATTATACACAACTTACGCAAGACGGTTTACTTTCATCGATAGGTTTGCGTTTCTTTAAATATTTACAGTTTTGACGTTGATTTGAGACGGTGTTTACGTGGGCCAAAAAAGGAAAAGCCGTATTTGAATTATTTATCTGGCGCCAGGATGTGACGCCGCATCCATCGTGTCAGTGCCAGTGGCATAAGAATTATTGAGATCAGGGGAAAAAGGAATCGTTCGGCCTACATGCATGCAACTTCATGGAATACACGAGAGAATTTATTCACCTTTGGGAGGGTTAACAGCATGTCTTCCTTCTTTTCCCGGCCATTCAATGCGGACATTGCCAAATGGTTTGAACGACTGAATAAGAGTACCTAAAAAACACACAATATCAAGTCTATAGCGTCAGCAATCCGAGAGACATGGGCAAAGCCAGCGCCGAATTTAATACGCTGGGTTTGCAGTAAATTATAGAATTTGGCCATGAGTCGAAAAGATCTTTTTCGCCGCATAACATTATGATAATTTAATGTTTAATGTCAGTTAATTGTTCACTAAAAGAACTGCTTACTGCTACTCTCACGTAAAATATTTTCCTCAACTTTTTTTGCTTAAGCACTCAGTGCAGACTACTTTAAACGCTGCGAGATGAAACGATGCTGGGTAACATGCAAGATATAATTTTCAGGCGATTGATTTCCTTTCACTGACACTATCAATTTACGACGGAGGTCTGAGCTGAAATAATATATTTGCTAGAGAAATTTCTCCTAGGATCATGGGAACAAGCAGTCAAAACAATACAAGATAAAGACTTTTTTGAAACACGCTTGAATATGGAGTTTGTGGGCACACGTTTACCTTGGTTTATAGTGGTTTTTATAGTTTAAACAACAAATTTCTGCATATTAGTTTAACTGACTTGACTGTGCTGACTTACATTTTAGGGTTTTAAACACGGCTTTATAATTTCTATTAATGTACACTATCATTAATTTGTTATAACTTATTTCGTAGCCTAGTAATACATACTTTCTGTTATATCCCAAGGAACACCTCCTAGAAACACCTTTGTAGAGTATGTTGGGTTCTTGTAGTGACGAGGAGGAAGCTGTCCACTCCAGGTGTATGTCACTTCGTTGCTGGTTGCTGAAGCATAAATGGTTGGCTTGTCAGTGGTTTAAACTGCAGGTGTATACCATCATAAAATGCAAGCAGTTGGGGAAACAAAACTGCTATATAGCAGGGCTTTTTTCTGGGAGTTTTTTAGATAAGATGTTCTGGTAGAATAAGGTTACCTTCTAGTTTACCCACACCCCAAGGTAACCCCACACCCCAAGGTACCCACATTCCAAGGTACACACACCCCAAGGTACCCACATTCCAAGGTACACACACTCCAAGGTACCCACATTCCAAGCTACACACACCCCAAGGTACCCACATTCCAAGGTACACACACCACAAGAACCCACATTCCAAAGTACACACACCCCAAGGTACCCACATTCCAAGGTACCCACACCCAAAGGCACCCACATTCCAAGACACCCAAACCCCAAGGCACCCAAACCCCAAGGCACCCAAACCCCAAGGTACTTGTACAACAAGTTAATTTTAAAAACAAACTTACAAGCAGCAGCCTGTTGGAGAATGGCTTGTCTTATATCCTGCTGCATTGGAGAAATTCCTGTGTTAGAGTTTGGTGTGAACCCCCATCGTCTGTCCATCAGCAGGTTTGCAGTAGACATTGGAGACAATGGACCATTCTCGGGGCTGCCCAACGACTGCTGCTGTTCCTCAAGGTGTTGGCATTGGTGGGTGGAAGGCATCACAGTGTGACGAGGAATGAACGAGCCGGGAAAGCCGAACACCATGGAGTGGTCCAACTCTGCAGAGGCCGGTGAGAGTGGGGAGAAGGTGGGTGGTGTTGGAGGTAAGCTGCCAGGAGGGGTAATCCATCCACCCATGGATTGACATGCTGTCGGGCAATTCATCCTGGATATTAGATTTCTACCCTGTGAAAAAAAATGAGATGAGAAGACTTCAACTAAACTATCCTCTATCTATAGTGAAGTAGGGATAAGTATTCTAGGAAATATAAAGGGGTGTAAGAAGTCTCCACCTTTAAAAAACTAGCATAGCAGCTGTTAAAAAATACTTTTTTCCAGATAAAAATTTATCCAGATTTGTTCAGATTTATTAATCTGATTGGGTTAAAAAAATTGTGACCTCAAAATCCGTCACTGAATCCAGTGAATAGGCTCAGATCAGGGTCACCCCCTCCGATAAATGGGAAGTGGGGGTGTCTAAACACAAGTGCATAATATATAATTAGAGGTGGGGATGTCTAAACACAAGTGTATAATATATAATGAGAGAGTGTTTACGGAAATGAGAGACATAACACAAATAAAGGCATTCAGACAGTCTGTAATGGCACACAAAAAAGGCCATAATGACCTTCATTGGCAGATTAACGCGGTCCGGTCAACGAACTAACACTGATATCTTATTATAAATGTACGGAAAAAAGCTTGGCGATTTGCTTAAAGATACAATTTTTTGTTCACCAAGACCCCACTTCATCTGTTTAGCATACGTAGAAAAGGCCAATATTAACTAAAAATTTAGCGAAGCGTTGAAAAATGTGGAATATTTACCCCAAACACATCGTCTTGACCGTATCGCGTCATTGCGATCGCTTTCACTTTTTTACTGTCGAAAAGCCGGCCGAATGCTCCACAACAAAAATATTGTTCTTATAGTTGCTGTTAAACCTCGATAAAACGCACAGGGGTAAACTTTATATTTTCAATCTAAACCGAACAGTCAACAAGACTATATTTGTATTTATTTATTATTCATTTATTCAACACTAGCGATATTGGTGTACTTGAACCAACATTTATACACAAAACATACTTCGTATTTAAAACCTTTTCAGAAATTCTACTCTTTTTTAATAAGTTGCTGCAATCTTTCGAAAAACCATCTTTTGACAGAGAGCAAAATACATTAAAGGGAAAAAAAAGAAGCGACTTCCTTTATAAAAACAAGGGGAAGGAAGTTTTGCATTTGTACGCGCAGTGGAAAATTAATAACAAAGGTAAATTAGTTACATGCAAGTTTTCATTGTTCTCGGCTATTAGCGACTATTATAATTATTTACAAAATATACACAGGCAAAATATGAATCAAACATACCATGATAGCTTCGAGACGAAGCTCGTCTTCAACAGGACTGCAAGATCTCGAACTGGTCGGCGTCGGAGGAAACGATGACCAGCCATTACTTGGTTGAGGACTTGAAAACGAACCCGGAGCAAAGGGGCTCGAAAATCCACAGTTTGCATTTAGAATATCTAAAAGAGCGTTAATTGCGAGGTTAAAAGGTCACAAGGTGTTCCGGACAAGCCGAAGCAAAACTTTTTTATGTACTTTTCTCTCCTGCGTTAAAAATGCATTATAAGCATCATTTCATCGAACTAAAAATCGTCCTACATACCTGGTCTCTTGGACGTTTCGGATCCTTGTTCGAGAAGCGCATTTATGTTCGTGAACATGTCCACACCTGAATCATCAGAGTCGGTCTAAAACGAAGACCACCCGTAGATAATAAAATATAAACAAAGTGAACGGAAAATTTGAAAGAAAATTAAAGCGGAACAAAACGAAAATTATCCATATTTTCGCTTTATGGACTCTTTCGGTTTGCTTTTGGCAATGCGACAAAGACGTTTGTTTCAATAGGAATTAATTGTTAATATATCTAAAAATACGACATGACATTTCATTGTAAATCTCGTTCTTCAGAACTTACACAGTGCTACTTCAGCAAACGGATAATTGATTGCATGCTTTAAATCGTCCGTAAATGTATACAGAATATATATTATTTGCTTAGACCAAACATTTCAAACAGACGCAGACTTGAAAGAACCCTTAAAGCTATATTTCTTGTCATTCTAAAACCTACGAATTGCGGTTCTGTTAAATGTCATCAACAATACAATAAAATTTGACAGTGAAAAAGCGAATATAATTGTACAAACGAACATGCAAAGACCCTCTATGGACAGGATATTACGTGTGACGATTCTTGTTCGTTTATTTATAACGAGCGCCGTAAAGTCCCTTCAAAGCGACAAACAAGCCTGTAGAAATGGCTTGTATAGCGTAAAGATTATGTACTCAGAGCTAAAGTAATCCACAACAATTCTTAAACGAGTTATCCAGACAAACAGTGCAAGTAAACACAGTATATAAATCACGGTCACGAGTGACTCACCTTAATAAATGCCATGATGGTATAGGAAGTTTAACCTTTACTAATGCCGAGCCAAGATAAGTGTAAATTATCGAAGTTGTTTCAATGTACCTCGTCTCTGAGCCTTGTTTGAATCCAAGGCTTTCTCATGATTTAAGCCACGATATTCCTCACACTTTATATAACACCACCAGCTTAGCAAGTAAACCAGTCTGGCGATAAATCCCACGTGTGAAAAAATCTACTTTGTTTTGGCAAGATAAGTGCGTGTCATTGGTCAATATTCAAGAACTTTGTTCGCGAAAGCCAATCACCGATGTCGATATGACTAACAGGAAGTGAGGAGGTAGGTCAATTCCAAATTCGTACTCTTACTGCAAAATGTAAATTTCAATTTTTGGTATCGTTTCCCTGCTCTCCAATCAAACAATGGGTGCTCTCAAATTGCCGAAACTACAACAGAAAACGAAAATTGGACATTGTACGTTAAATACACACACTGGCCATTACCTGCAATGTTTATTTTTGCATCAAACGCGCAAAAGTAAAAATATCAGCAGCTGTTTTGGCCAAATGCGCAACACGTACGCGCGAGCTAATTCGGGCAACGTTTATGTCAACAATCTTCCGGTACAATTTTTAAAATGCGATATTCAAAATTGATCATCAGTGCAAAACAAGGCGCACTCGTATATACCTGTTTAGCTTGCGTCAGACGCACTTCGGTCGAAATAACTTTCTAAGAATACCCACAGAAATGCAGGTAAGTCAGATTAAAGAGTCGGGTATATTTGATAGCGCAGTTTTTATATGTTCGTACACAAGTAACATGTAAAATCCTGTTCCGTGGAACACACATGACGTGTATTGTGGGGCGCCAGCTTAATTCGGTAGCAATCAAGGCTTGAAAGACACGTGCATGAATGATTGTCTATTAGAACTTTCACGTATTTCGGCGTACCGAATGTTTCTGTGAAAGAGATATGACCTCTTGAGATAAACCAGTTTAGAGCGAGGCGGAGAATTGCGGTTGAATTATTACGTATATTTTTTTAAGATTTAAAGTGTATTTAGCATTTTCAGTCGGTTGGAATTTTATCCCCGTCTTTGCAAATAGCATCGTTTTCGGTGCGCGAGTTTGTTGACGATGAGCAAGTGGTTCGCTGTGCATGTTTGCTTGTTCCTGTCACATCGAAAGTACCAATTCATCATTCTCAAAGCATTAACAATTCACGGGAAAAGCACAAAGGTAATCACCATCGTATTATCGTGAAAATCCCAAAATAAAAACAAGCCATATTAAATCAAATCAATTTCGATGTCGAGTTTCCCTTATAAGACACTGTTTTCCTACAAGCCATATGCGCAAAGTTGTTTACTATTCGATAATTTCGATTTTACTATTCTTAACCTCGGATGATTTTGCAAACTTTACCATAACAAGAACAGCACATTGAAACAATAAAATTTTCAGAGACGAAGTATGTTGGTTTTGTTTTTCAAGATTTACGACGCGCTGAGCGACGTACGATGAAGCCATACCAGATTTTCATTTTTCATTGACAACTGCGATGGGATCAGAAATACCGAAATGGGCTTGCTCTTAACTTAAGGCTGCTTTCCACTTACACATTTTTTATACGCACGAAAACGTACGGAACATTTTAAATGCTTTTAAATTCTTATTCATTACAAGGTGAGAGAACTGACCGCCGAATTCTTATCGATTACAGACACCGGCCCGTTTTGGATGCGCGAGAATGATGCTTAAAGAAGTCTTCTTAAGAAGTCAGAGTGGTGTTACACGTTTAAGGCTGGTTTACACGAGGAAATAAGCACATACACACAAATATATAAACAGAAGAAAATTCACGTGTGAACCAGAGTGATATAAGCGAGGATATAAGCACAAGCATAAGTATAACAAAAACGGAAATTTTCAAATGTTTGTGCTTATTTGACCGTGAGAACCGAAAATGAACATAATTATCGAAATGCGCATGCGTATGTTCCTTGTGCGTCTGCTCATTTCATCCGGTGCATTTGAACCAGATATAGGATTCACATTTCTTTCAGAATTTACAATATGGTAAAGTAGTAAGCTTCTTTGCTGATATCGCGAAATGAAAATAATACTTATACTTTCATAATGCTAATCAGCTATTTTACATAATATCACGGATTAGCCAAAATTTACTGAGGTCGGTTGTACGAAGGCTGGTAGTGATGCTATCCAATGGATAGTGATTTTACAACTGTTTTAAAACTGCCGTTTTGTACAACAGGCCAGTGTTCATTAAAGTTGGCGTATTCTACAATGGCCTATATTTGCACTTACCTCGTTTACAATAAACTTTCCCTACCTATAATACCATTAACCTGAGAGGAACTGCTGTTAAATTTGCACAATAATACAATACTGCTATTCATCTATATAATATATATATTTCGTTAATAAAAAAAATTATTTATCTTAGCTGTTTTTATTTTCATTGTCTTTAGAGGTGGCGAGCTTGCAGTGTTTCTTGTGGGTGAACCAATGGAGTTTTTGACAAATCGTATTGCAATACGTGACCTGGAAATAGGGAAAAATTCATATATTTGGCCTTGAAACGGACTGATTCTTCTTTGTTTGCCAAATAAATAACAACCATCTGCGTACGCATAAAGAATGTCGAATTCAGAGAAAATGCATGCACAAGCAAGTTGTTTTGTAGATAAGCGAAATACGTTGATTGATGAAAGGCAAAATTTCACGAGATTTTGTTTGCTATAGCCTTGGTTATATTTTGTTGTTAAAGCGATGAGTATCCTAGTTTGAAGTGGCTTTTCTGGTATTATACGCCATTCAAGCCGACAAGACGGAAGAGGAAGACAGACAAGAACCTCTGCTTGACTATATGGCAGAATTCCAATAAAGCCAACTTCACTTCCAAAAAAAGCGGCCTAAAAATATCAAGGTCAAGGAGCAGCGCGCATGACAATATAATCGCGGATAACTTCTCGTTAAATGGGCTTGGTATAAAAACAGCCTAAAATAGACACGAAAGACCTTCCGAAAACTGGAGTTACGAAGTCGAGACATCTATAGTTAGATATCTCCAGCAGTTTCCATGCCTATATTAGGCAGTTTGGGCACATTTAAAAGACGTTACAACTAAGTCTATTTGTCTATTTTTACTCGTATTTGAATCAAATTGCCGACTGAGATGCCGAAATGAAGAGTTTACGGCGAATTCACACGGGCGATTATTGCTGTGATCTTAAGTGCGATTTTCTTCTTTCGATAGATGTGATCGAGTGGATAAGTTCCGATGTTCAAATATGGGCACCTACATGTGTACATACATAGAGCATTCATAACTATTCGCTCGTTTGCATATACAATGCTCATTGTAGTCATGCAATGCCCAGACTGACAATGTCAGTCAAAAGTCCAAGTTGTCTAATACCACAACATCTGCAAAGACCTTACCGACTGACACGTAGAGCACACCCCCCCCCTCCTACACACACACACACACAAAATCAGGCTGGATCCATCCCTAAGTTAAACTTTAGCATTCATTCTTTACCGTTTTGCAAGCTGAGCATCGTTTTTCAGCGTTTGGTTGAGAGCAAGTCCCACATATATTGGTATGTTGGATACTGTCAGAGTGGAAAGTGAAATTTGCAATCAGAGCACAGAAAATATCTAACTATATACGGACTGTTGTGAATAATAAAACCCCAGCAAATTTCGCACCTTTGAATGCCATTAATAACTTGGGTTAAACACGTCAAAGCTGTTGGTTGATCACCCTGGGTTAGAAATAAAATGATAAAATAGCAGACGAGGAGATAAAAAAATGATGAGTTAGAAATGAAATAATAAAATAGCAGACGAGGAGATAAAAAAATTGATGAGTTAGAAATGAAATAATAAAATAGCAGACGAGGAGATTTTCAAGAGTCTGGTGATTCCGGTTATTACCTTATTAACAGGGGCTATCGATGTGACCAGCTGTCGTAATATGGTTGTTTCTGGAAAACTATACTCGCGAATTGCCTGCCTGATAAAATCTTCCGTTCCCAATGGAAAACCATCACTGGGACGACCTTTGATTAAACTGCAAAAAAGGAAAGGTGGAATTGACGAGAATAGCACATCATTCGAATGATTTTTACCGCCAAAATCTGCAACTTATAGAAACACTTATGTTAAAGACGCTTTAGGAGTAAGACATAGACATCAGCGAGTTTTAAGATACACGAAATCTACGACGCGGACGTGAAATGAAAACTGCTAGCAGTGTTAGGAAACCAGTATTACTTTGTTTTACATACAGCTCTGACGTCGTTTATCAAAGAGTCTGTAATTTTCATCGGAAAATTGGGAAACTGTGGAAATTAGAGTAGTATTGAAGTTAATGAGTTCACGGCAACCAGGTATATAATCCATAATGACAAATATATAGTGAGTTTAAGATGCACCAAATCTACGACGCGTAATCCTGTTTAAGTAATACTGCTCTATCGTAATTATCGCTACTCTGGTTTTAATGAATGAAAGTAATCACCACACAAAGATTAACTTTCACGACCCTAATCTTTGTGTTGTGATTACTTTTATTTATTAAAACCACAGTAGCGATAATTACAATAGAGCAGTATTACTTAAACAGTATTACGCGTCGTAGATTTGGTGCATCTTAAACTCACTATAATCTGTCATTACGTACACAGATGACACAGATCATGTAGTCTTGGAATTTTGCTGCCAGGAAAGAATATAGCTAGATTGTAAAGGTGTGCATGAGCCATTGATGATTGTATATTATAGCCCTGACATTTGTAAAACCTCAGCGTCTGTAATACGTACTACTTCAAAAATCCATCAATTCCATTCTGTCCCTGAATGCCAAGATGCCATCTCCCGGAATGTTGCAAGACACAGCCGAGATAGTGCAACTTCATCGACATAACTTCACTCGACTTATCAGGATCTTTTAAAGACGACTCGCATTTTAAATGTAGTATTTTTACGACTGACTTGTACTCCTCGACCAACACCATATTTTCTTTCAGATATAATACTAACTGAGAAATGACAGAGGCGTTGTTAAATGCCAAAAACTGAACTTAAGGAGATGAGATTCATCTCAAAGAAATTATCCATCTCAAAGAAATGATCCATCTCAAAGAAATGATCCATCTCAAAGAAATGATCCATCTCAAAGTACTGATCCATCTCCGAGAGATGATCCATCTCAAAGAAATGATCCATTTCAAAGAGATGATCCATCTCAAAGAAATGATCCATCTCAAAGAAATGATCCATCTCTGAGAGATGATCCATCTCAAAGAAATGATCCATCTCAAAGGGATGATCCATCTCAAAGACATGATCCATCTCAAAGAAATGATACATCTCAAAGAAATTATCCATCTCAAAGAAATTATCCATCTCAAAGAGATGCCTACTCAAAGTTAAAGAAATTCATTGCACACAAGTTTTCTTGTTTACCAGTTATTATCAAAATGTCCAAAACTCAACACAGTACGTCAACTTACCCTAACAGGACTTAAATTGTTGTTAAGGATGTATTTTTGCAGAGGTTCCAACAGTTTAGGATCAAGCTTTGGTGAAGTTTCATTATCTGCATTTAAGGGTGATTTGAGAGAAAAGTTGATGGAAATCGTAAGCAGCAATACTTATTTCATAACTAAAGATCTGTTACAATTTTTTCACATCAAATGAGTATACCTGGAACTTTTGTATAAGATTCTAAATCCGCCATTGATATAAAATTGTTGATTAGGCTAACACATTCATGTCGACCTGACAAGATACAATACAATTCAAATTTTTTTGGTTGAAGTTGGGAACAGTTGAATTTGGATCGTGTAAGCCTTGTTCATACACTTACAATTTTTGCTGCAATTTTATGTGTGATTTTCTTCTTTTGATAGATGTGAACGAGTGAATTAGTTACTGATGTTCAAAAAAGAACTCTAATACATTGGTGCATTCATAACTAATTATCCATAACTAACTCATTCACATCTATTAAAAGAAGAAAATCACACATAAAATCGAAAAGTGTAAATGAGCCTGCCATACAACTAAAAAATTAAGATTGTTTACCCTTTAGAAATGACTTATTGAATGAAATTAAATTTCACATTATACCAAGTCTGTCTCTCTGATAGAGGCACTTTCCTGCTTTAGAGAAAATATCATATAAAAAATTACCTGTAAATGCTCCTAATTGAGATGCTGTTCTGTTTATGTTATTCTGTGCTGTTTTATCTGCCCCAGCCTCGAGGAGAACCTTTGTTGCTTCCAATGAACCTGAACAAATACACAGCAAAAAATTGATTAGGTTGCTGCATCAGAAGTGAACAAAATATGCAATGCCCTGAAGACTGGGTGGGGGTTGTTGGTTGGGACACGGAGAGTGAGAGGATATCACAGGCAACATCACAGGGTGAGAGAAAAGGTCGATGACAAAGTTGACAAAAGTTGTTATTTCTTATGTAAGCTAAGTACCATACAGTATTGGGCCAACATGGGAATATTCCATTATCCCAGAAACCAGATGGACATAAAATAAAGTCACCATAAAAATTTAGAATGATATTGTGTGAAAACTTCTTGGTAATTTTTTGCAATTATATTTCAGTATTTGCAGATGGTTCTTGTAAAAGAGAAACAATTCAATGATTTCAACTCCAAATCATTTTGTGTTACCTGATAAACAAGCAAACATCAGTGGAGTGTACTAAAAAAATCAAGGATGAAACCCATCAAAATTGAAAACAGAATTTGAGTATCACATCAGGTAAACTTTTTTTAGTTGAAAAAAATACCTTGTGTTCATGTTTTGAACAGTTGACATTTGCTCCTTTATCTATTAGTAATTGACAAATTTCATGTTTTCCTTTGTATGCTGCTTGCATTAGTGGTGTCATGCCATCCTGTTGGGAAAAAAGATAAAAGAACTTTGAAATGTTTGCTATCTCTTGCAAAGGGTTGAAACCACAATTTAACATGCAAGCCCAGCTACCCAGGGCAAACATCCTCATTTCTCGTGATTATTTAGGTCAGAGAAGAGGGAAGCAATGAAACAGGAGTCATAGTTTATGAATTACCCTGGGTGCACATTAAAAACATGGGTGCATGGTCAACTACTGATCTAACTGGCTGTCAAAGAGGCATTTTCATCAGTCGAATTTGAAATTTACTTTACAAATTCTTAATGAAATAAGCAAAAAGAAGAGAAACCCAGAGAAATTAAGACAGGCAAAAAAGTCAGCATTAAATGCCTGACCTCAAAGTCCCAAATGGCTGTGCAAATTACGGTCAATTTCCAACCCAGGAATAGAGTAAGGTGTCAAATGCTCAGAATATGCCTTAGGTGATGTTACCAGAAGTCTGACCAGATTGCTATCGTTGTCATGCGCGCTGAAGATATTCCGCGCATGATTTTAGGGTGAGCAAAAGCAAAGCGTGCGGACGCTGATGTAAAAGCACTATGGTGCTTTTTGGCACTATTGTATTATAAAGCAAAACTATAAAAATTGCTGTATCTAACTTAGTCTGCTTACCTAACTTATCTATCTGGTGTCAGGTCGTTTCGTACTCTTGTCATTTCGTACCCATATCCCTGGTCGTTTCGTACTCTAATTGATGGTCGTTTCGTACCCCGATTTTAGTTGTTTCGTACTCAAACGCTATATGACTGCTTTTATTGCAATCAGTTCAGTTTTTATTAAAAGCGTTGATAATAACCACTTTCTTTGTTGACTTGAAACTCTGTATTGCAACATTTAAGTTCTTCATTCGGCAGTTCAAATTTATCGTTTTGAAAATGGTCCGAAAGTCTACACGCACACTTAAGCGCAAATGGCCATGTGGTACTTGCAGTCTGCAATGCAATGACAATTCGATCTTTTGCGAAGGATGCCGAATGCATGTGGTACCATTCTTGTTGTGAGAACCTGTCTCCGAGAGATTTAAAAATTTTACAAGACCTAACCGAAGATTATCTGTGTTCGTCTTGTACGCGTGTTGGACTGTTGGCGATGTCTTTGATTTCCAAAACGCGCTCCAACGGCTGACAAGTGCGACACGTGTTGGGAGGCTAGAAAGTGCTGCTAAAGTTGAATGTATTTTGGTCGTCGTGGAATACCGTTCTACAGGCTAATTGAGCTATTTCATAAGGAAGCCTTGCTTGTAGAACTTAACATTCAGTTAGTTTCTGAAGGAAAAGTGAGGCGGATCCTTTAATGTAACCCGGTGTACAAAGATCTTTGTGTTAATAGTTAGTGTTCAGTTGTATAAGTAAAAAATAAACGGACAGATCACGGATATATTTTTCGGCAGTTGAAATGAGCTTAAATAAAATATATTCGTCTTCTTGTTTTTGCAAAGCTAGCTCATTAAGTCCCTCCTGTGTAAAGTTCGAAACGACCTTGTCTGGGTACGAAACGACCTTGTCTGGGTACGAAACGACCATGTCTGGGTACGAAACGACCATGTCTGGGTACGAAACGACCATGTCTGGGTACGAAACGACCAGGCCTGGGTACGAAACGGCAGAAGTACGAAATGACAAGAGTACGAAACGACCATAAACCTATCTATCTTACTCTGCCCCCTACAAAAATGCTGAAAGCATATCCCTTGTAAGTCCATAAATCATTGAAATTTTATCCGTAAGACGCGCATTTTTTTCTGGAAAAATAAACCCCGGCGCGCCATTTAGCAAAGATAGCAAAGATAGCAATCTGACAGACAGATGCCACAAAATCTCTTTGACCCATTGACTCATCAATTTTCGTGTTCGGACATGAGTTTAAGAAAATAAAAGAAAGGATAGCGCAATGCATATATTTCTAAGAGTAAATTTATTCATATCATTGGACATACAGATTTATCTGATTTCAACATGCATACAGATACAGTACAGTACCTCGTCCAAACTGTCAACTTTTATCTGCCCGAGATCTAATATACGGCGAACTTCTTCGATATTTCCTACAATTATTCAAATCAAAGCAAAGTTATAAATCTTTTCGTTCGCAAATCTATGGCCTTCATGTAAAATCTAACCTTGGTTGATGTTTTCCAGCAGCTGTTTTCGAACCATTTCATTCAATTCCGCCGCCATTTTCTTTCCTTTTCAAAAACATTCTCTTGCCGAAAGTTGCCGATAACGAAACGACAACTTCCGATTTTTTGTAGCAATTTTGAATTCAACTCGCAAGCTAGGCTCTTGTTAGTGTTGTTACATGTGAACATTTCGTGCGGAACGAGTTCAGAACACGCAAGGTGAGGGAACGAATTGTACAGCATATGACAAAAACATACTTTTGTGTTTTAACTTTTAAATGCAGCCAGTCACACTTTTAATTTCAGTTTGACTTAAGTGAATTTTAGAAGGGACACCTTAACCATCATGGTTGGGGGGGGGCACCTTAACCATGCATTGGGCAGCTTCCCCTACTGGCCCTTTTCTCACACAGGGTAGCAAGTCTGATTGGCCAACACTCATGCACTTAGGTTTGCCCATCCAGATAAGCTACTAGTTCTCAACGCAACCCACCACTCTTAAGACTCACAAATGGATAGTGATGATGATTGTTGGGAAGAGCCAATGAATGATGCCCAAGACGTCAAATGTCTGTTCTGCGATGGTTCTTTTCAAAGTACAAGTGAATTGTGGGAACATTGTAATGTGAACCATCAATTTGATATTGCTCATGTAAAGCAAAAGTTTGGTAAGCTAGCTCACATTTTTTTCTAGAAATGGCTAGATTCTAATCTAACACAAAGTTAATGAGTTAGTTGGCACATGTGGATTTTTGTGAAAGTTAATAGGGTTTTATGATTTCAATGTAGGCTTGGATTTTTATGGTTATGTGAAGATGATAAATTTTGTGAGAACTGAGGTAATGTGCATAAAAATAGTATCAAACGCATTTTTGAAAAGTCATCATGAACAATATTTGTGAAACCTACAGCTGCTATATGGTAACATATGTACAGTACTTTAGAATGTTTCTTTATTAGAAACCAAACCCAAAGAGCTTGTTTGAACATACATCTCCATTTCCATGGGAAGATGACAGATATCTTCAGCCTGTAGTTGTGGATGATCCATTACTGCAATATGGTAAAAATTATTTAACTGTTAGTACCTTCATTAAAGAGGGGTATCATTTCTGCTCATGACAATGGGTAGGCTACTGGATTCAAAATTGCTGAAATTTAGCATGCTTATTTTTTTTTCTGAACATAAACTCCATAGTGTTGTAAACTAAATAGTGTTAATTACTCTGACCTCTCTTGATATTCTAAGAAATATAATTATTTAAAATGTAAACAAAGCGTTTGTTCATATTATGGACTGCACCGCACTTTTAAATCTTTACACTGGCATCTTTATCAGAAGGTAGTACGTATTTAGCAATATAAACCGTTATTTAATATAAAGTTAAAAACATAGTAATGAAACACAAGCGAAAATCTTCCGAGTTAAACAATTTAATAAACCCTTAACCCTTTCTACGGCGCTATTCGACTACATAAATTTCAAATTACATAAGGTGATACTAAAGGCTATTTCAAACGATGATTTAACGATGAAATATATCTCGTTTATTTATTTTCGAACATTTTATTTAATTTTCCTACAAATAAATCGAATCAGTTGTTTTCAAAAAATACGAACTCGTTACCTTTAGTAAAGCATTGAAATATTTTCCGAAGGTTTTCCAAAGAGATCCTATTATATTCTTGCATTGATCTTGGAAAATGTGAGACCTGCCAAGCTCGCGCCGCGCGCCATTTCGTTCCCATTTCCCGCCATAAACTTGCAAAGTCCCAAGTTCCCGCCGAAATCTTCCAAACTTGACCCGCCATACCATGTCCCCCCAAAATCTTGCCAAAATTTTATGTCTATTTTGTAAAAAATCATGTTGAGATCTTCGAAAAATTGTCAGAAATATAAGGTGCAAGTTTTCTCTCAACGTCTGAGAATTGAAATATTAATTAAAGAAAAATTAAAGAACTTTTCTGGTGGTCTTTTGTTTACCGACATATCAACACACTTGTACCCTATACATTTTGTTCCAAGTACAAACATTTTTCAGCTAAACTTCATTAGCACAAACGTCCACTGTATCAGGCTGAGGGGATCTCTTTATTGCCCTATATTTGCACTCAAAATTCAATGTTCTTGTATGAATAAAATGCCGCATAAATTCTCAACTACAAGCCTAAATAGTCTATTATTCTCCCCATGAGAGTACTATTAGTCTTGCAACACTCGCCACATTTGTGTACATTCCGTAACGCTAGAAAATTAATTTCCCTAGCCTGCGAATACAGAATCTATTTATACGCTTATTCCACGGTGCTGTATTCGCAGGCTATAATTTCCCTTGAGACTGAAAGTTAATGAATTTAAAGCGGTGTTAAAGCGACGTGAATTAATTATATTTTAGTATATGAGTCCAAGTTTTCTGCACAGGCGCATTCACCCTTAGTACAACTCATGGGTTCTTCATTTGATTCGAGGTTTATCAAAAAAATTTTTAGATATTGAGGATTTTGATTCTGACGAGGAGGAAGTTGATGAAAAATACCTTCAAAATGGTAAAGTTTAGTGTTTCTAAAGTGGTTAAGTTGACCCTTCAATTCAATATTTTAACTGTTGGCAAAGCTGAAACGTTCATGAAGAACAAAATTGAGATAAATTGTTGGGTGAATCGATAAATTATATTTTTGGGTTTTTTTAGGTAGCTTGGACCATAACAACGAAGTGACAAATAATAGGTTGACATGACAGATTTCATTAGTTTTAAGTACAATTCGAGTCAATTATTTGTCACATTTTGAACTCTTCGCAGCGTTATTATCATTATTATTATTACTATTTTTATTATATAGGTTACAAATAGCACTGGAAAGAGCAAGTATGGCTGAGTCGGCTTTACAACAAGCTCTAGCCGACCTCGAAGCGATGAGGTGATCATCTCTCATCTTCCAGCAAGACCTTTTACACGTATAGTCTTGTACAACTGACCTCTGATCCATTGAACAATCGATCCTGACCCGCGGGGTCTTCACCTCCTTACTATATCATCATTGCTTTCTTCGCTGTTTAGGGCTGGAGTTCATGAACTCGTCCTTGGAAATGAACAGCAAAACCGGTGAGACTGTAGATTTCAATCATATATATATGTTGAATATTACGATGCATTTGAAAACAGCATATTCTATTCTCTGATACCCTGTCTAGCCTGGACGAAGCTGCCCGCAGCAAAGTGGTATTAGATGACGAGGAAGACCCGTACTTCAGTAGCTACTCCCATTATTCCATTCACGAAGAAATGTTGAAGGTTAGATTAATGTGTAGTCGATTATGGTAAAAACAATTTTCCATACGCTTCTGGGAAAAAGGTCAGACTATAGCAGAACACAACCTTTGCCTGCATGTATATCTTCTTTGCTGTACAATCCTGTGGAGGACGACTAAACTAAACTAAACTTGGGTTCCATCTTTTCAGGATAAAGTTCGAACATTAAGTTACAAAAACTTCACGCACAAAAACAGACATTTGTTTGAAGGCAAAGTTGTGTTGGATGTCGGTTGTGGTTCCGGGATATTATCGATATTTGCCGCGCAATCTGGAGCTAGAAAGGTCTTTGGTATTGATAAATCGTCAATTGTGTATCACGCCATGGATATTGTCAGGTATACGAACGTATATATGATTGCTGTGGTAATCTCACCTGTAGATATTGAATCAAGAATTCTTACATCTGTCGGCTTTTGGATTCCAGAAAAGTCATGCCTTGGTTGTGAGATTATATATTACTTCTTCAAGAATCTTTTGAAGTCGTTTCCAATCTTTGTCAGTCTAACAAGAGAGAAATGAAACATTTTAAAACGAGAAGTAAGAACATTTTTGGAATATTTTTTTTATTCATTTAGAGAAAACAAGCTTGACAATATCGTGACATTAAGAAGAGGAAAGGTTGAGGATATAAATTTGGACGTTGAAAAGGTATGAAGGTGCAATGAAGTTATTTTTGTTATGAGTTGAACATACCTGAAAGAGTTAATTAACCAAAATCTTCTTCTTTTGCTAGGTCGACATTATAATATCCGAGTGGATGGTAAGTTTGAAGAAACCACAATTCTTTTCCACTCCCATTTGTTTCCATTGGGACAATCATAATTTTTTGGAACTGATTTATTTCCGCTGTTTCCTGGTCAAAACTCTCTAAAGTTGGCTCCAATTGTAGGGATATTTTCTGTTGTTCGAATCGATGCTGGATACTGTCCTATTCGCAAGGGACAAATGGATGGCTCCCGATGGTAAAGGTAGGAAAAATCGGTGAAACATAAAAGTTTCGGTTTAGGAAGTGTAAAGAGAAAGTTTAACCCAACTCAAAAAGATTATTTCAGTTTAGTAATGATTTATAAGAACCTGGGTCATTGCAGTCAGTCAATAGAAAAATGAGTTCTGGGGCTGGTTGTATCAAGCCCGTCTCGTGTTAGATTATGCAATCAACTTATGCAATCAATCTATGTATTTTATACAATGTTTCCAGTCTATCCTGATATATGTACGATGAGTATTGTTGGTGTCGAGGATAAGAAAAGAATGGAAGATAAAATTACCTTTTGGGAAGACGTTTATGGTAGAAATGAAATTTATTCAACACTCTCTTAGCATCTCTTGTGATAATTTATCTTGTATCACTCAAATCCACGAACCTCGCAACTTCTCGTGACTGAAGTCTTCATTCGTTTCAAAGTGTCCATACTATATAAGACTTGCTTCCTTTACTTTTCTTTGCTATCATTGTTCACCACCTCACATATGATTTGACCCCCGTGTTCTTCATTTTTCATCACATACAGTTTTGTATCGACGATAGTATCGTTCGGTTCATATAGTGAATGACTTCTCATTCTCGCAAATTTTCCAGGTGTGAAGATGTCGTGTATGAAGAATTTAGTTCTCTCAGAACCCGTTGTGGACATTGTTGATCCTAATACAATCGTGACGAGTAACTGTGTCCTAAAAGTTAGTCGTCATGTGCATTTTCTTGCTCAATAACTTATCGATATACTTAATACTTATTAAAACCTATCGTTTTGGTACCAGAAAGTAACCTATTTATCTTATAAAAGTACTGAACTTCTTAAAATTGAATTTCTCTAGGAAATCAATGTAAACAAAGTTACAACCGAATCGTTGGATTTTAAAAGCGATTTTCAGCTACAGGCTCTGAGAGATGGTAATCTAAATGTACGTTTTCTGGAACGTTTTTCTTCATTTTTTACCCGTTCTTCTAGGGCAAAAACCCAATATATAAATAAGATAACTGATTTCGAAGATATCAATTTAACCCGCATGTCTGTAAATCTTTTGCATCCAGGTTTTGTTTTCTAAGTTGCAGAATTTCGCCGCTTTTGATATTCCATAAAACATCCCGCATAAAATATATTGAATTTAATCATTTTTCATAGATAATTGTCGGGTATTTTGATATTATGTTCGAGGAAAATTGCACTGAAAAGGTAAAAAAATACAAGTCAAGATCATTCAAAATTTCTGTACTCCAATCTGTTTGTGGAAATGAATACCTTTACGTTCTAAGAATTGTTGTTCTGTTTCTAGATATCATTTAGTACACATCCAACAAGTCCTCCAACTCACTGGAAACAAACTCTATTTTACTTAGAGAGCCCTTTGGCCCTGCGAAAAGGTATTTAAATGTCTAATTTTTTGCCCATTGCGCCATTTCTTTCCGTATGAGACAGTCCTACCTTATGATTGAACTGAATTTCTCTAGATGAACTCATTGATGGTACTCTTCAGTGTAGAAAGAACAGGAAAGACCCACGAAGCTTAGACATTGTACTAGAAATACGCGATAATATTTCCAAACAACTTATGATCAATAAATATACTTTACAATAACTCTAGATCTCTATCAATGTGTTAGCTTTATTTGTTGAATAGTATGGATCATATTTTCAATCCTAACGAAAGCTCTCATCAAATGGAACTATACTAAGGTTGATAAACTATAGTCATCCGTAGTTATTCCCTGCGTTAGTCTGTGATTGTCATCGTTTAATGAGAGCATATGAAACTTTATAAAACTCGTTATAAAACTACGTTATTGTCCTTTGACATCATGGTTACACTTGGGGAGGAATCGAAATTTCAATATAATTACAAATATCTCTGCCATGCATCTTTAAAACATTGGGAAACAATGTTTTTGACCAAAACATTTTCAGCTTTTATCCGAACTATATTCCTGCTCAGGCACTTGCGGGCACGTTATTGCCCTTTATATTCGCCTGCGGGAGATTAGGCAGCCTTTTCATTGCCTTTTCCCCGTAGCTCTTCCACCATAAAATATAAGTCTTCTCGGCCGAAGTCGCAGCACGATAATAGAACGCTTTCGCTTTGGACAAATCCTTCGACGTGCCTCGGCCACTTTCGTGCATCTTCGCGATACGATACAATCCGATCGTGTAATCGTGATGTTTCGCCACATCACGTGAGTACCCTTTCATCGCCTGCCTGTAATACTGATCAGCAGTGTTGGGATCGTCCATTGCTTCGTGTAACTTTCCCAACTGGTACTGACTTTCTGAGAAGGCGTGTACACTTTCAAGCAAGGCTCTCGCACGTGCCAAATCTTTGGCCACGCCCTTGCCACGTGCATAAAGCTTGCCAAGTTCTAAACAAGCATTGGGGAACTTCCGATTGGCCGATTCGGTAAAATAACCAATTGCTTTGCCCAAATCCGTAGACACCTCGCCCATACCGTAGCGATAGATCCTACCCAAGATACACAACGCTCGGCTGTTGCTGCGCCCGTTGTCAGTGTAATCCACTGTGACAGCAGCTCGCTCCAGACATTCCATTGCCTTGTTGAGGTCAGTTTCTATAACTTCTCCATATAAGTACTGGTGAGCAATGTTGAGCCAGCCTTCGGCACTGCCTTGGTCAGCGGCTTCTTTAAAGTAACGATAAGCTTTCGCTTCAAATTTCTCATTTCCGACGAGACCGGAAGATTTCGTAAGAAAGCGCTTTGCCAACTCAATTTGAGCCATCAGGTGACCGTGGTCAGCACCGATGGTAAGATACTTGACGGCAAGCTGTTCATTTGGCACTAACATCTTTCCCACTCCGTTCAAGTACAACTTTCCAACCGAATACGACGCGTCGTAGCTACCGAGGTCAGCGGCACGTGTGAATAATTCAATGACGTCATCATAATTTTCCCTGCTCGGTTCTAGAAACAATGTCAAGAACGCGAGGTTGCTTAGCAACTCAGCGATAGCGCTCTCCTCAGTTTCCGTAGCCAGTTTGCGCTCAATCTGAGTTCGTTTTGTCTTCAAAAATCCCAACGCGGCATCTTCCTGGTTACACAACAATCTCAACCGAACCACGCCTTGCTTGTGACCTTGTAATGCCGCTCGGAGTAAAAGACTGGTCCGGGATTCGACCCCTACGGTTTTCGTCTCGTCGTCGCTACCTCCGGGAGACAACCGCTGAACAGCATGTTCGGCGAGCACAAAACCGCTGTCGGACGACTTTTGATACCATCGAATGGCTTCCTTGAGATTTTTTGCATACGACCCGAAACCATTTTCGAAGGCCAGGCCAATATAATAAGCTCCGAACGGATCCTTCTGTTCGGCTTTTTCGCGGTAGTAGCCCACGGCCTTTTCGTACAGCGGTTCTAGCATATGTCTAAAAGTGTCGTCGCGTAAACTGTCGTCGGACATTATCGAGCTCGCGGAACTCTCCGAACTTCGTTTCGACGAGAAGTTCAAGTCCAATAACGGAACGTGCTCTTTACCCCGGGCGGAACTTTTCTCCTTTTTATCACGTTTCTCTGACTCAAATGTATAGGCCTCGATAGAGTTGCCGTTGACGATCGTATTTGGCGACTGTTCATCCGGGATGACACTATCGTAGAGCGGCCTGGAACGTTGTTGGCCCATTTTCCTGAGAAGAGACGGCGCGGTTTTTGTTGTCTAAAGACAAACAAATCGATTAACAAATCATAAAATGATTCAAATATGACTAAAAGGGAAACCGTAAAAAAATGGCGACAGCGTGACCACAATAAATACATACAATTTATCATCACAACGCTATAAAAATCATATCAGATTAATTTTGAAGCAATGAGGCGCTACAATTAGTGACAAAACAACTTATCATTGAAATCATTCGCGATGATTCTATGACTTAATTGTTCTAAAGCAGAATCGTCTACATTATACAAATTGCCAAATTTTACCCTTCTTCAATGAAGGAAAAGTCGCTGTATGATATCAGATCTTTATCGATGATAAATTGTGTTGTAGGATGTGACAGCGGAAACCGCATTATTGTACGGGGGTTCGGAGGTTAAAAAGGTGCTAAGTGCACGTTTGCCCGAAGGGTTGTTACAAGTCATTTACAACTATTGCAAGATCGACTGATAACAGTTATCTAAAACGCAACTATTTTGACGAAGCACTTGCAATTTGTTGCAAATTGTAATTTCAAATTTCCCAACTTCTAAACAGCACCGCTATTTTTCAAAAAGTTCTTCTACGACTTCTGAACGATATTAAAGGCTAGAGCCAGCTGGCTACGGTGTGAAAACTCTTTTCTAACGCTAACTGAACGTCAACATCACCAAAGTATCCCCAACATCACTCCATCAGGTATATTGTTTAGTTAGAAAATTAATTACCCGGAAATGGAATCGAAACTGTGTATTTTGTTAACTACGATAAAACCACTCATAATGTGGTTTATAAGACTAAGAGTTTATACAACGGGCCCATGCCTGATTAAAAGGTTTCTGCTATTTAATACTAGTAGACTTTTTACGTCAATATGGGATTATAACCTTAAATTCTTGTCAGTTATTTCACGCATAATTTGAGGTAGTGGCGTCGAGTCGACCGATCCTAGATCGGAAATGTCTGCTATGATCTAAACTGCATGACTTCACAGCGGCGTAATTATACACATTCCAATAAAACTGATTAGCTGCTTTCGCCAAGGGAGCATCGTCAAGGCCAACGCTCGTAAATAGAAATGAAAGGCGATTCCCAAAACCTTCCCGGCCACGGAACAATGACGTCATCGCTCTAAACTATCTGAAAAGTTGCACTCCAGAAGCTGACACATCGAAAAAGGATAGATTCAGTTACAACTCACTTAATGCATTTAATCTCAAGAGGATTGAAGACCTCAAGTATATAAGTAAATAATTTATCATCCTACACTTGTAGCGGTGATAGTTCAGGTCATACTACCGACCGTTATTATCAGTTGGTACTTTTTTCTTTCTTTCGGCCAAGATTTTGCAATTTTCTAACCTGATAAACCTCGGCTAAAATAATTCTGAAATATTTAGGATAGTAAGGATACCAATTCGAAAAATTCACATGCATGAACAAAGTCACGCCCATGAAAAACAACATGAAAAACAGTTTTCTCCAATACTTTATTAAAAAAAGAAGAAAAAATATCAACTGATATTGCTTTTTAAATCACGTATATACGGGACTATAGGAAGTTTTCTCGATACCGCTGCGACTCTATGGCGTCAGCACGATGTCAAAAACACGTCAATATGACGAATCGGGTTGCCGTAGAGGGTGCCGAAGTCAAAGCTCCCTAATATCTTTAAAGTATTCACTGCTTTATCAAGTGTTTTCTATTTTTTCTTACAGAGTATGTTAATTACTAGTCTTTGTTCCCACACTGCCTCCTGAAAGCCTGAAAGTTTCTGGCTGAGTGCTGGCTGTTACTCGGTATCAGCTACTAATGTTACTAATGTATCTAGTTAGGTCTAGCAATTACTGCTTTGCGTTGCTTTCTTTTGTGAGGCCTATCTAACCTTTCACAAACTCATCGTAATGTTGCTATAGGCCCAGCTGAATGCTAACGGTTGCCATTTATACTAGCCTGTCTAGTCTACCTGGAACTTATTGTTTTGCAATGCTCAGCTTTATCCAATATACTGGTATATAAACACTCCTCGACTGTGATATATTAGCTACACACACATCATAGCCTAGCCCTAGCTTCAATAGCAGGAGTCCACGACAACACTATAGCCCATGATGTGACTTAATGTGGGCTAAACGTAACGTGATTTCACTGAATGGTACAGACTACAGATAAGTTCCCAAAATTGGTTCATCTCCACTTTTTTATACTTGATCAGGGCATTTTAACCGTGCAAACTGCATGAGTTTTGCCCGCGCCTTTAAGGCATAATGTTTACAGCAGACATGCATGAAGTGGTGAAATCGAAAAAGAAATAATGCCTTAGTTGCCACCGACCGTTAGTCTTTTGTCGATTTTTTACGGGAAAAGGAACTTGTTGACTCTAACAGGAGCAACGATAAGATGATTCTCAAGACGACTCTCAACCTGGTAGTGCAATATTGTAGTCATGTCTGAATTCTACCCCGACCCTCCTTAACAAAACACGAGAGCAATATTGCTCTAAAAGCGTTGCCTGATAAGCGCTACTTTAGGTATTTCTTGATTTGGGAGGCGGTTCTGTCAGTTTATGGACTATCGATAAGATCTGCTCACGGTGTTCTCTGTGATCAACCCATGTCCCATGATCTTCCACTGTGAAATAGTTCACTGAGACCAAAATTCACATCAATGGTGGGGATCAGATGGCGACTAGTGGTCGTGGTCGGGAGGGTGCAATCCCCCGTACCCTTCCATTCCCACGGTAATTTTCAAGCCCTATATAGATGTGCGAGACGTCTGCATATGGGGAAAGGATCAAACATCCCTTTCGCATGAAGACCATCTCTGGTCCTGCGAGAGATTGTTGTGTTGATAAATTCAAGGGAATAATACCAGTTTATCTATGTGGAACCAAGCGATGAGCAGTTGACTAGTCCTACTGACGCCCAATGTCCTTACCAAGAGAGTTACAAGTTAAGTGTCAACTCGATTTAGAAAGATAAGATTTTGGGACATGACCTATACATAGCTCTTTTAGTTCAATGATCACTCTCATACAGTTGTTTTCCAACTTAGGACTAATTAAGTTGGGTTTAAATCAGTGCCAGTATGACTGTATCTATTACTCCCTCTCACTCAGTTCTGGTAAAGGATTGCGTGTCACATTTTGCTGTAAGGCCCTGATCTATACTAAAAACTGAACGGATGTAAATTTTTTCCTCATTCGCGAAAGGCTTGGGCTAGTGCATACGTCATATGAATTTGGCTCGTTGAAGTCGCAGGGGCAAAAACAATTTCCGAACTAACCGAGAAACTCAGACTGGAAAGAATGTTCACTGAAATAGTCAGGAATGTATGTCATCCCAAGGCTTGTCTAAGTTGTCTTTAATATGTGGACAGTCCTCCAATATCGCAATTTCATTTGCAAGTTTCTCTGATTTTTCTGATTTTACTTTTGTCCCCAATCCTTTGATTCTACCGGCGTATTAGTCATTACAGTATCACAATGCATTTTAGAAGGCCGCGTCGTGTCGGCCGGTGTATTCTAGAATTTCTTCAATGTTAATAGTGAATACCTGTGGGTTAGTGATTACCTCCGATGAGGATTACACGTAACTACCGCTTAAATATCATGGATCCAAATTGGATCAAAAAACCGCAACGTTGTAACCGTGAAAAAAACCACGAGTCGTTGATAATCGTGTAATCCTTTTCAACAAAGTCTAAAGATTTAATCTATACTTTAGAGGTAGACGTCCTGAATAATATCTCTTAACTAGATGCAATTTGGAGTGCATATGCTAATGCAACATAATTTTATGTAAACACTTTACTCACGTTAGTTCACGGCTCGATTTTCACTTCAATGTCGGTGGATGGTTTCTCCACGTTCACATTCGTCCAAGTTGAATGTCGCAACTTTTCGCACTAAATGAACAAGCGTTAATTATGTAAACATTACGAGGACAATGTTGCTCAATTAGTTTACGTGTTTTAAATCAGTATCTTGCTTATAACACTTATGACCAATAATATTTTACGTTTACTTAAATCCTTCTTGTAAATTATATAACATAAGTTGGTAAAGAATGTATACCACACTATGTTTCTTTATGTTTTTTTAAGACAACCAAATTACAAAGACGGAGACGAACTCAAATCGCGGTTTATCTTTGAACAATCTAACCTGTATTTAACTATAATGTAAACAATATCTAAGCTTAAAGATTTTGTACAGCACGGAATGTTCGGAAAATAGCATACCAACTTGGGTTACCATTGGCTTTACTCTTTCGATCTTCTTAAAGGATCATGTGCGTGCCGTTTTAAAAATTGCTCAGATATATTGTACATATAAATTTACAAAGGTCCATCACTATTTATAAATTTGCCTTTATAAACAAAATTACTCGCCCGATCGAAGCTTGTGGACATTAAAAAACTTATGCAAACATTTGGCTATTTGGGCAGAAAATTCGACCACGTTCTCTTAACGAAATGTAACATATATACTGACCTGTGGCTCGCAATAATGTTGCTTTTTCTAAAACGACTCTTTATATTGTAAATCGCAAGATCTTTAACATAACACAAATGCTTATTCCACTTGAATGGCTTCAAAACACGCTAAAAATACCTTATTGAAAAGTATTAGCAGCGAACAATGGTGAGATTGAATTAGATTTCAATAGGTAAGTAGGCCTGGCGCCCCTAGAGGTCTGTAATCCGAACAAAATGCCGAAAAGGAAACGTTAAGCTCAATTTGTAACGTTTCACAACACAGATATTATGCAGCGCTACATGGGAGCACAATATACAAAACATTTAGATATTTCCTGCGTTTTTCCTGTAAGGTCCGATAATGTCAAGTGCACATTGAGTGTGAAAGAAGGTAAGGGGGAGACATTCGTTTTCACCGCTCTTTGTGCGATACAAAACTTCCTTGTGAAACAGCTACACAGAAGATTTATCGCCCACTTGGCTTGTGGCTAAAAGCCAGATTTAATTTTCGAGGTAATTTTTGTTGAAACAGTGTGCGCAAAAGAACCGAAATGCCAGTCGCCATTTGCGTGACAGGTCGAAAACTCTCCAGAACCCAACACGGTAGACAATATAATGATTTAGTCAATGTCATATTGATAGAGAAGAGGAGTGTGGAGGAGGTCCGGAAGGGTGGCAGACATGGACAAAAAACATTCTCAGTCTATGCAATAATGCATATTTTGGGGGTTTCTAAAGGGTTGGTTGTAAGTCATGGCAAACCCCTCTTCCATCCCCCTATGAGAAAAGGATCTTATCCCCCCAGAAAGTCCATTGTTTATACAAACAATTAACTAACAAATTTCGAATACAGGGTGTCCCAAAAAAAACGAAAACTATTGAAATCACCCATAACAATGCAATTGTTAGAGTTTGAATGCCTAAGCACTCTGTTGGGACACACAGGTGTATAAATGTTTACCATACTTATTTTTACGCATGCGTATATGTTGCAGTAAAATTTGCCTGTTCGCAAAAATGATATTTATTAACAATATTTACAATTTACAAATATGGATAACAATATTTAAATGTGCATCTCAAGGACCATGACCTTCGACATGTCCCCTTTCTCTAGCAACACAAAGCATTTAGCATTTTATAACTTGCATTAAATCCCCACGGGCTGAAATTCGTGAGCACGGCATTCAAATTTTAACAATGAGTGATTTCAATAGTTTTCGTTTTTTTGGGGGCACCCTGTAGAACATTGAATACGAAGTTCATCAGAGCAATTTATTCATAACCTTGTGCTCTAGGTTCGTCAATCCTTTATGGACTATTCGGGTTAGGTGGTTTGTATAGTTAACAATTTTGACTTTAAATCATTTTTACAAAACGATGCCCCTGCATGCTCTAAGTTTAATGAAATAAACATTCGAGTCTTCCGGCCAGGTTTACAAGGATTTAGGGATATTGTTGAAACTAGACTGCATATCAAACCAATTTAAAGATTCTAGCTTTGATTTACATCAGTAATTAAAAAAGCTCTATACTATATATAGTTCTTCTAGCTATATTATTGACTCATTACAGCATGCATTTTAAGCCTTTTTATGCCATTTTCCGGCGAATATGAGCTGAGATAGTCAACTTATCTGTCGATTTCTTGGCAATTCTTTATTCTTTCTATCGTAACGGTTCTCTTTTCTTTTGATTTGTGTTTCTTTTCATGTAACTTCTTTAATTTCGTTTTTTAAGCAATGATGCTATTCAGGCTAGCGCCCCTTATGAATAATGCATGAATTGTCTATTTGTGCTCAGACTTTTATATGGTTTGCTAGGAGAAGAAACTATAAAACTATGACATATTTCCGCTACGCGATACATAACAGTCTGAATGAACAAGTATAACAGCGTGATGAAGCGAGTAAACAACACCAGATCAGTTCGCCCCAAACCAAGCTATGTCGGTTACGATGTTGATTTGCGGAACGAGGTTTTTCGCAACTTTTATAATATTATAATTACATGATATTACATATCATGTAATACAAGAATTTCTCTTTCCCGAGACAGACTCCTTCCGAGAACAAGGTCTTTTAAACATTGCCGCCTCTCATCATTCTCACCGGAGATATGGCTTCTTGCGAGTGCTGTTTTATGATTATTCTTGGATTAGTAGCTTATAGTGTTGGTGATTGCGTTAGTGATTGGAAACTATATTTTGAAAGAAATAGCCAGGTACGATAACCTCTGTGTATCATGGACTATTTTAGTAGCTATAATGTTCGATCGAAAAATTCTGGAATGGGAGCGGAATAATGAGTAGCATAATTAGCATTAGCATATTTCCTTGAAAGAGTAAAAAATAATAACAACAGGAACTTCAATCATTTAATAAGGGCATGATGCATTCTGGTAAAATGTACATCCGCCATCTGCATCGAATGATAAGGTTATGAGTATGGTCATATGATTACGAAATACATAATTGTTCTTTGTGTAATCTGTTATAAATTATCTTGTTTGTTTAAGACATCTGTAAAGAAGCAAACACGGAAATTCACAGCAGCACGAAACATGCACTCAAAGCTATGTTGGCATTTGCCATATTTGGAACGATACTAGCCAGTTTAGAAATGATAAATTTCTTTCTTGGTTCGTGCAAGCAAAAGATTATGCATCCAGTGTTTTTGTCTATTATTGTTTGTCTCTTCGAAGAGTTGCCATTAGCTGGTCTTCGCTAGAATCTTAAAACGTCGGCTAACAATGAAATGGTAGATATTTGGAGCATTGTGTCCAGCATTGGGACCATGACAGCCCCTTTGCTTGGTCCTATCTATAAGTGTTATAAAATGACAGATTGCTGCAACTCCTTTGACAGTGATGAGGACGACGAAACTCGCAACCTCGTACCCAGGGAAACTTGCTGTGACGAGCTGTGCTCTGGGGAAAGCAGGGGGTTCGGTGCGACTTGCCTCGTCTTGATGGTTGGTGTTGTTGTAATTATCAACATTCTCAACTGGGCAGATGTTGAAGCCCCTGGTGCTGAATTGTGCGTCCAAGCAGTCCAAGAGTAAATGCTTCTTCGTGGACGTTGGAGTATAGGTATAGTTTATGCATCTTTAAAATCATAACTGAAATGGATCAATCATTCAAATAGAAATCTCTCATAGTCTTGCCAGTGAACTTAAGATAAAAAATTCAGTAGAACAATACGTAATTGCATATAGCTACAAATAGACTATTCTTATCTTTGTCATCTATTTTAATGTTAGTAGAATACAGTTTCGATTCGGAAATACAATACTGAAATAATTTTTAACGAATATAAAATTGAATGTAGTGAAAGTTGTGATCGATGTAATGAATGTTTCAAATCCCAGCCCTGTAGGCTTGCAAAATTATGCGTCCATTGACCGAAAGCATACCTTCTGCACGATAAACACGGTACGGAAAACCAAGCTTCAAATTTTTCAGGTATGAATGGTGAATGTATTCAACTTTATATAGTATGGATCAGAATTGCTTGTTTCGAGTTAACTACCATTTAACTACTCAAAATCTCGTTAAAAAGTTTTATACAACCAATGTTTAGTAGTATTTAAAACGGGAGAAGAAGCGTTTTATCATATGTAAAAAGCGAGGCGCTTCCGAGCGTTTTAAATATGATAAAACACTCCTTCGTGTGTTTTAAATATGATAAAACACTCCTTCGTGTGTTTTAAATATGATAAAAATAAAACACTCCTTCGTGTGTTTTAAATATGACAAAACACTCTTTCGTGTGTTTTAAATATGACAAAACACTCCTTCGTGTGTTTTAAATATGATAAAACACTCCTTCGTGTGTTTTAAATATGATAAAACACTCCTTCGTGTGTTTGAAATATGACAAAACACTCCTTCGTGTGTTGCCGTCCGGTCGTAAACGACGCACGCAGATAATTTCGATTTTATCTGCAAGTATTTTATCAAATCAACTAGAAATTGTATTATCTTAAAGCTAAAACATTTATCTATTTGTATAAGTTTAGTTCATTTCAATAGCTTTCCTATAAGCCAAGATATTAATTGCCGATCTTGTACTTTTGAAATTGAATTTTGGAGAAGCGAAAATACGCAAAGCCTTCCAGAAATCTCGCCTAAAAACCTCCAAATGTTTGTAGCTTACATTGTGATCAATATTTCCATCTATTTTGCTTGAAATACAGTCGTTTTGGCGATTTGTAGTGGTATTTCCAACAAACGTGTTTACAAACGGAAAACCCGAAAATTTGCATATAATTATCACCATATTGGCGAAAATTTGACAAAAAATCGGAAAAATTTCGCTCCAAAAAGGCCGAATATATGTCTTCTAGGGACAATTTTACCCCAGAAATCGATTTCCGGGCTTATTTTACCCCTAGGGGGTAGGCATCATTGAGTTTTTGACACCTTTCACCTCACGCGACAACCGCATGTGCGTGCGCTGAGCAACGCGTCTCGCTCAGGTCTCGCTACAAACAATAACAAATCAGAAAAATCGATATTTTTCGAGTTTTTCTGCCCATCCTGACTTAAAAACTATCAGAAAAGATAAATAAAGCATTTCTAGTTTATCTATAACGGTTAAAATACGAAAGGATGAAAAATAACGAAGAAAAAAACGAAATTCCAAAGGCGAGCTATATTTCCGGTTGTCATCACTTTGTAATTTGATATGATTTTGACAGCTGCACGGCGGTGTCAGGTTAACAGAAATATTTATTAATTTCCGGATTATAACAGAAACGATGGGGTTATAGTACTTTTCTCAAGCTATAATTTGGTGGTATTTTTGTGTTTTTTGCTCGCGCATTCGCGGAGTTATTAGACATTAAAAAAGTAGGACTTCTAAGTCCTAAATTAATCAGACCGGATGGGAATGAGTTAAATATGACAAAACACTCCTTCGTGTGTTTTAAATATGATAAAACACTCCTTCGTGTGTTTTAAATATGATAAAACACTCCTTCGTGTGTTTTAAATATGATAAAACACTCCTTCGTGTGTTTTAAATATGATAAAACACTCCTTCGTGTGTTTTAAATATGACAAAACACTCCTTTTTTAAATATGATAAAACACTCCTTCGTGTGTTTTAAATATGATAAAACACTCCTTCGTGTGTTTGAAATATGATAAAACACTCCTTCGTGTGTTTTAAATATGATAAAACACTCCTTCGTGTGTTTTAAATATGATAAAACACTCCTTCGTGTGTTTTAAATATGATAAAACACTCCTCTGTGTGTTTTAAATATGATAAAACACTCCTTCGTGTGTTTTAAATTTTAAAAAACACTCCTTCGTGTGTTTTAAATTACTTCAAATACGCCGTATTGTTGTCGACCAATAAATTTGTTCCATGTATAAAATGCTAATTAGCTTAGTAGGATGAAACATTATATAAAGAATACTAATGTACCTGACATATTATATAATGTGCCATCCTAATTACTATTCATGGTACTTTGCCAGTCCACGTGTAAAGCCATCATATGTGACTTCTTATGGTTGATTTCATAGGCTAAAATGCTGATGAATTAATAATGAATTATTTAAATAAATTTAAATGATGCATGGGGCCCAAGTGTCTGGTTCCTCCATGCACGCACTTATAAGCTGCAAAGCTTTTCTATATCAAAATCGTGAACATGAGTATTGCATAAAATATTTGAATACGACCATCAAATAAACCATTGACATTATTTGAAGAACAAATTAAAAGTACCATTGTGTTTCTACTTTCTGCGCAGACTGATTATATTTTTCGACGTTTTCGCATTTAGTAGCGTAGCCAGCCTGACGATTTGTCCTGCTATGCTAATATTTTTGTGTTCATTGATTGCGAAAACAATAAATTTCTAAAGAAATGAATAGTTATAATAACTCGAAATTTACATAACGGGACAATATTGCGGGGAAAACAATTCTAGGAAGCACGTGGCATCTTTGTTTGTCGCGAAGGCCTTATATGGCAGCCCATGCAGCATCTCCTGCTGCTAAATTAATTCCCGCTTCACTGCGAATTGGAAGCGTAGTTTGTGCATTTAGCAATTGGTGGTTATAGTTTATCACATTTGACCGTCGTCAGCTTCAGCATACTGAATAAGGTAAGCTGTCTCAGCACATTGCCTTCTGTTTTCTACAGTAATTTTATCTGCATGATATTTTTTTGGCGTTATTGTACAACATGGCAAAGTCATAAAGTGAAAAGTCATAATGTGCACGATGAATAAAGGACATCAAAGTTAAAGCAAAAATAAAATAAAGTTGTTCGAATTACTTCCTTAACATTTTTTCAAATATTTCTTTGAGGATTCGAGGATATGCTATTTTCTCCACGGAAATTTATTCTCAATGCAAGGTTCTCGGTCCCGGCGTTAAACCCTATCTTCTCGACTCTCGCCTTTAGTGAAAGAAATTTATATTTGCCAAGAAAATTAATTCTCCAACAAAAAATCAAGCTGCTATATTATTAACTTCTATGTTGTATTTAAAACGCGAGAAGGAGCGACTTATCATATTTCAAACGCGAGGCTCACTTCAAAGGCTACACTGTTGCTAGCCACACTGTTGCCGACGAATTAATTCGCTCGATGTATACAAATGCTAATTAGTATGAAACATTATATAAAGAATCCTAATGAATGTGACAAATTGTATAATGTGCCATCCTAATTCGTATTTATGGTACTTTGCACGTATAAAGCCACCATATGTGACTTATGGTTGATTTCATAAACACCGAAGAAATTTGTGTTTATGAAGTTTTAACCCGAAAATCTGATCACTGGTTCACATTGTGTATTTCTGTATCGCTATTCAATAACTTTAAAAAGTTCGGGGTTTTTTCCGAATACGCATAAATGCAATCTTTTGACAGCTTATCATATACAACTGACAGCTGTGAAATGGCTAAGTCAAACCCGGCAGGCGGTCTTTCGCCGTCGTCACCTTGCCCGAATTTAGGGACCGTCTGCCATGCAGGCTATGAAATGGCCATTTTGAGGCGTAAAGTATACACAAGCTAAGGTTATTAATTCAGATGATTCGTTTTTGCCGTGTGCAAACTTTAAATCTTTTGTGCAAGACATATTTTGTGTAGCATCTATAAATCTTTTTTCTCACCAAGTTTGATGCCTTAGTATTGAGAATTGCGGCAAGGTATTTTTCAATTTTACCAATTTCTGCGGTAACTTCTTATGGTTGATTACATAGGATAAAATGCTTATGTTTTATTATTGAGTTTTTAAAGAAACTACAAAATACTAATTTTATCTTTCACAGTATATCATGGCGTCAGTGAGTTTCTCTTTCCCGAGGCGGACTTCTTCAAAACAAAATCTTTTGAGCGTTACCGACCCTCATCATTCTAACGAAGGTGAGTCGGTGACAACACATCCTGGTTGGAAGTACTCTATTCCAAGGATCGTTTTGTCAGTTGCGCTCGTAGCTTATGGTATTTTTGATTGCGTTAGCGATTGGAAGCTATATTGTGAAAGAGATAGTCAGGTAGGGTAACTTCTCTATATTATGAATTATTTCAGTTGCTATAACGTTCGATCGAAAAATTCTATTATGGAAGGGGAATAATGAATAATACATTTCCTTGAAAGAGTGAAAAATAATGACATTAGGAATGACGTTCACTAACTTCAGTCGTTCAACCGCATGATGCATTCTGGTAAAATGTACATCGCCATCTGAATCGAATGATAAGGTTATGACTTATGAGTATGGTCATGCATATGATATTATGATTACGAAATACATAATTGTTCTTTGTGTAATCTTTTATATCTTGTTAATTTTTAAGATTGAAGACATCTGTAAAGAAGCAAGCACGGAAATTCATAGCAGCACGAAACATGCACTCAAAGCTATGTTGGCATTTGCCATATTTGGAACAATACTAATCAGTTTAGAAACGATAAATTTCTTCCTAGGTTTGTGCAAGCAAAAGATTATGCATCCAGTGTTTCTGTCTATTATTGTTTGTCTCTTCGAAGAGTTGCCATTAGCTGTTCTTCGCTGGAATCTCAAAACGTCGGCTAACAATAAAATGGCAGATGGTTGGGGTATTGCGTCCAGCATTGGGGGTATGACAGCCCCTTTGCTTGGTCCTATCTATAAATGTTGTAAAATGTCTGATTGCTGCAAGTCCAAGTCCTCTTGCTGTTCTGGTGAGAAAGACGAAACTTGCTGTGACGATCTGTGCTCTGGAACAAGCGGGTGGTTCGGTGTGACTTTTCTCGTCTTGATGGTCTTGGTTGTTGTAACTATCAACATTCTCAACTGGGCAAATTTTGAAGCCCCTGGTGCTGAATTGTGCGTCCAAGAGTAAATGCTTCTTCGTAGCCATTAGAGTATATGTATAGTTTATACATCTTCAAAATCATAAAATGGATTAATCATTCGAATAGAAATCTTTCATAGTCTTGTCAGTGAACTTAAGATAAAAAATTCAGTAGAACAATACGTAATTGCATATAGCTACAAATAGACTATTCTTATCTTTGTCATCTATTTTAATGTTAGTAGAATACAGTTTCGATTCGGAAATACAATACTGAAATAATTTTAACCTATATAAAATTTAATATAGTGAAAGTTGTGATCGATGTAATGAATATTTCAAATCCTAACCTTATAGGATTGCAAAACTATGCACCGTCCATTGACCGAAAATGTACCTTCTGCATGATAAACACGGTACGGAAAACCAAGCCTCAAATTTTTGGTATGAATGGTGAGCAGGAATTATTAATCAAATAATTCCTGCTGTCTACAAAAAAAAATCACTTTTTTGTGGTGGTATAGGTTTATTGGATTTATCTGCCGAATTGCTCGATTTCTAGAAATTTTTCTTGGGAATGTTTGATTGTTTGTGGTAGCAACCTACGTACTTATTTGGATTTGAAAGTTAACCCACTAAGCAGGTGTTTTCTGCAGCGGTGAACACAAATATTCACGGTTTAGGTGTATATTACAGATGTCCCATCGCCACAGCTTTGAGTTTGACAGAGTTCGAAGTCGAGACACTGTTGTCCTTTGAGTTTTGAGGTAAAATACTTAACACTGGACGATGTGTTGTATGTGAAATTGAAGCTATTAAAAACCGTTTTGAGACGATTGAGAAATCTGCTTTCTATCTGCTTGTTTTTTTTTTATAAATGTGTTCCCAACTGTGATATTAACTCATTAACTACATGCACATAACAAGCGGTGGGGAGAAAAATCAACTTGTAGCCATTCTAGCCGAAATAAAAATAAAACTGCAACGTAGCCAATGTCCCAAATAAATCGCCTCTAGGAATTTATAGAAATTCCCTATCCGAAATAAGTAAAGAAACTATATGCTAAACTTTGTATGTATAGTATTAGTTACAGGTTTTGCAGTTGCGGACCCCAGGAATATCGTTCTTTACTGGAAGTAAATATGAGAGTTAAATTAGAAACCTAAAATTGTAAATAATAATTATTAATTGTAATTAATTATTGTAAATAATTATTAATTAATAGTTTACCACTGACAGAACACCGCAGGCTCATAGGGATCGGAAGTGCCCACTGAAGTGACGTGCCGATACTTTTTCTTGGAAACAGAAGTCTTGGAAACAGAAGTATGGGATACTTTACTCAGTATCGGTTAGTATATTGGTATCGGCCCATCTCTACCGCAAATTGTGCTGTTACCGACAATATTGACTCGGATTAATCTTGCCAGTCGATCTTATATATAGCTAGCTAAGTGAAAACCGGCAGATACGACCGTTAAACCACAAGACTCAAGCTACGCTTGAAGTGCGTGTATCTAAGACGAAAGGTAAATAAAAAAGCGAAAGGGATTATATTACTCAATACTCAAGCAATCAGTCCGACTTCGCACTCTCAGTTATCTTACGATGGCCTGTTGGGTTAGTATACGTATGTACTTTCTATTAATTCAATCCGTTTTCTGAGCTGTTTTCCGTAGCTCAGAGCCGCGTGCAAACACTGTTCGTCTGTAGTGTAGTGCTTTATTCAATGCCTCTCAGTTTACATAGAATTAATATTCGAATTCAAGTCGCGATTTTGAAAAAATTTTAAACGTCGAACGTTGCTATTTATGAACATGCAAAGTTTTACGCAGTTTAAAAGTAAATTTCATTTTCAATATTTTGGGTTTTTTTCATTATTTTTTGTTTGATAGGAACGCCTAAGCATGCAATTTGAATTACCTGTAACTATATATATTCCAACTACATGCATGTTGTCATATGAATTCGTTCAATACTAGTATACTACAAGTTGTGTTTCAGTGGGAGAGGAACTCTTGTGAAGTATTGTAATAATATGATTGCCTCATTGTCTCGCCGCACAAGAGCAACCAGCTGAGTTGACGAAAAACGAGAGACTGTAGCTCAGCTAAAAGCTCTCGTGTGCGGAGGGCTTAAGGCCCGTTTACGCTATGCCCGGTTAATCCGCTTGTCACGATACCTTCGTTTGCCTTTAAAGGGCAATGGTTAGTAGCAAATGCTTATTAGTTTGATAGATTTGGTATATTTATTTCGATCGCTGACAGTTGATTTTTAAAATTTGACTCACACCGGAAGCAATCTGGAATAGTGTAAACGGGGCATCATATAGTTTTAAATGTTAGACTAAATATCCCACCCACAGTAAAGTCGAACTCGACAAGACCAACCAAGCAGAAATTATGACCTCGTGTTTATCGATCCGAGGTAGTAATAAATGCATGCAACCATGAGATTACACTATATTTATAAAAGGGAAGAAATCGTAGCGTGCCAGCGAAAACCTTGAACAAAGCATCATTATCACAACAATTATAAAGTTTATCTTCTGATTACACCTCTCTTTATAATTTGTAGGTTTTTTGTTGCGAGGATTGTGCATTTCTTATTTCGCTACTTTCATTGATTGGTTTCTTTGACTGCCTTAGCGATTGGATGGTTTATCACGAGAGAGCGAAAAAGGTATGGAATTCCAATCATTCCAAATGCCATTGATTCCTGTGGGGCCAATCAAACTTCGTGCAACATCATGCAGCTAGGCTTTCCACGTTTGACGTCTTTATAACAAAGCTCTTAGAAAGACTGGTTCTCATAGGTTACTGCAGACCGCTGGCGATGGCTGAAGCGACACATTCAGGCCAAAAATGGTAACAATTTTCGTTTATCATGAAAAAGTATACAAATTTGCAAACTTTGCAAGGCTGTATTTTCCACATTTTACAACGTTTCGCGGCCAAACTTCGCATTTCTACTAATTTCAGTACGCTCGTTTCAGCTGTGGTGATTTGATTGCATTTCCTTGCATAGATCAAAAAGTAGTCTATAATGCAAATGGGCTATTCATCGCCGACTGCTGGTGATGAGAACCGGGCTTTTAAACCTTAACCTAAAGGCCCGCGCACACTAGAGCTATATGTGCTTAAAAGTCATGTGATTTTTGGCACGAATGACCAAAGTTGCCGGAAAAGTCGCCCGCACACGAGAGCAACTGGCTTAATGCACGCCAATGGCCACGATGACTTTTCGCTAAGCACGTAGCTCTAGTGTGCGCCGGCCTTAATACTTTATGAAAATAGAAAAAACATTCGTTAATTAATTAGTGGTCACCTGACAGAGGCAACGTGTAAATGTACTCTATATCACCTTTCAAGATTGAAGATATGTGCGAAGAAAAGACGGAAGTTCATGGTGGTACAAAAATGGCGCTCATAGCCATGTTCGTATTTGCCTTTTTTGGAACAATACTATTTCTTATTGAAACGATAAATTCATTGCTGAGTAAGTGCAAAGTGAAGATTTTCCATCCGGTGATTTTGTCGATTGTCGTTTGTATCGTCGAAGAGATGCCATTAGCTGGTCTTCGCTGGAATCTTAGAATATCCGCTGACAAAAAAATAGCAGATGATGGTTGGGGAATTGCAGCCGGAATATTTTCTATCGTAGCTCCCCTTCTGGGTCCAATCTCGAAGTGTTTAAAGATGTCAACTTGCTGTAATTGCTGTAATTGCTGTAATGAAGATGACAAATACTGCTTTAAACTTGAAGGACGTGCATTGGTAGTCGCAGTTATTTTTCTGTTCTTGACGGCAGGTGGTGTTGCAGCTATCAACGCTGTGAATTGGAAAGATTTTAACGCACCAGGGTCGGGGATTAATGTTAATGGTACATTCTGTGCCTAAAGCGTACACCGTGTAAAAAGAATTTTGCACCTTTTAACATTTACGGGGTATTTTATAAGCGCATTTGTATGACAACGCGACAAAAATAGCTAGAATAAAATCCTTCAAATGGTCAAAAAGAAAACTTTGATATTTCCAATCCAGTGATCCCTTCCCCGGATCTTTTCATGTTACGTAAGCAGTTTCTAGATTGATGCGGTGTTCGCTTCACTTATAATAAAATCTTACCCCTCCCCCAAAAAGACACTTCTTTTTGACTCCAAATGCCCCTCCCCCCCGTTTTCCTTTCAATCTGGCGACGCCACTGAATATAAGTTAGACATCCCAGGATGAAAAAACCTTTACTGAACCGAATTTGCACCTATCAAGGCTCTGTCTATCCTAAGGTTATTTGCTTCATCGACTATGCACCGACAATGGATCGTGGAACATCGCCGATAATTTACGACCTACTAGGAAAACCATTAAACCAGGCGCGAGAATTGGCCGCGTTGTATATAATAATAATAGTATAATGATTATGTACAATTGTCAGTGTAAACCTAATTTACCCAAAAAAATGAGAAACAGGCTTTGAGGTTATAAAATATTTGCTTAACAAGCTGTGACACCTGCAGGGAATTCTGGTCTTAGTAGTCACAGCGGGAAATTTTGAAGCTTGAAGATTTCGCCGTGACTACTAAAACCAGAATTCCCTGCAGGCGTCACGGCTTGATACGTCATTATGCATAAGGTTATATCACCATTTTCTACCCGATCAAAAATGTATTCTCGAAAAAATTATTTTAGTATAAATTTCGAGGTGACTTTTGATTTTCTTGCATTCTCATTGGTCAAAATTTTAATTGAATTGATAGTCTCAAATAGGTCTTTGAATTGATATAGTCACTGGTCAGTGACTATAGCTTTTTGTTGCTTTTCCAAATAAATTTAAAGTAATTATAATTTTTTATGAAATTATGTGGATTCTTATTTAAAGACACCCCGAAATATATACTTGCGGTTGCACCCCCGGATTTCATACATTAGGAATTTATATATAGGACGATACACCTTTCTGCAATCTACACGCTGACGTTGCACACGCAAACTCGCGTGAAACGTCCTCTTATATTATTATTACTTGAACGTTTGTTATTATTACATAAAAGTTAGAAACTACTTGTGCATTCGGTGACTAGATTACTGCATGCGACCATTTTCTAGCTTAGAAATATATCGTTCCGAATAGTTCGGATGAAGTACAGTTTTCATTTTTGTAATGTCCGTCTAATGGTATTTGTATTTTATACGCATCAATAAGGGTTGCGTACATACATGATACTGCCAGGAGAGTGATGACGTAAACTAGCAAGTGATATATCCAGTACCTCTTCCAGACTTGGAAAACTGGCAGATTATACAAACGACACAGAACATAGATTTTAACACAACTAAAAAATAATTCTATGGCTAGTCGGACTGCAATCCTGACAAGCGCGTCGATAATGACATCCTGGGGTGAAACCTCACAGTTTGTTATTCGGCACAACGCAACAAAAGCTTGGCTTAGGATGGTCATTACACAGGCAAGCAGCATATCTTGGATTTCAGTGTTTGCCTTGAAGCGTCGTTGATTGAACTCAATTTGCCGTTCAAACGCTCCAGGGTTGAAGAGGTATGTCAAGGCTGGACCGCCAACCACTCCACCCACACCCCGTAACAGAGAATGTACAATTAAAAGCCACATACTCGTGAAATCGGCTTGTAGGATACCATAGAACACCAAGAATATGCCACGGCTCACATGAATGAAGACAAAACTACACTCTTCAGTGGTGTATCTACATGTACTCTTAAAAGCATGGTATGCGCAAAAAGTTGAAGATACAAATCCAGGCAAAAATGGTGCAATCAGTAACACAAACGATCGCACAATTTCTTTGTTCTCTTTGATTTCAATACCTAGCAGAGACAAAGCTGGACGAGCGAGGTAAAATCTGATAACCTGACACAGGCAATAATTCAATGTGAATCTGACTGTAACCAATTGAATGACTTCCAATCGAGAATTACGGAAATAAAGACCATACCTAGCTCTGATAATTAGTATGAAACACCCAACGCAGTAAGTAATGAACCACAAGTAACCTTTAAACGGCCATTCCCACTTCAACCATTCCTCTATATTTTGAAGGGATAAGCTCCGCTCTATAATAAGTATTTTGAAGGCAACCATCAGAACCATGCCGGCTCCCGTAGATGCTGAACTGTTTAGGTTAAAGTATTCTAGTAGGTATAATCCCAACATCAAAACATTCAAATTTGATCTCACTTTTCTTCTTGATGACATTAGAACGAGGCTCACGTCATAACCAACCTGAAGAAAAACTATCGCAAGTAGTCCCAATAGCAACGCTGCACCTTTTATTGCGAAAGCTGTCTGCAAACTTTTCTTCAAAAGTACTTGGCTGTGAAAGGTAGGCATATTATCAATTATAACATATTCGCCGTCAGCTTGGCCATTGTTCTGATCTCTCCGACATCTCAGGCAACTGACCTTCGTTTGGATGTACCCGAGGACACTTATTGCGACAAGAAGTTCAATCGCTTCCCAAAATACCATTATTTTGAAGGTTCTGCCCTTCGCCTGTTCAATTTACTGGCTTTCGAGGGAATATATCACACTGTAGAAACGATTGTTTATGTACTTCCCAATTAATGTGCACTGATAAAACTGATTCACTCGGACCCAAATATTATTCTTCGACTGGTAGCTAACTGTAGAAAAGGCAATGAATTCCAGCAAGCATATGGAAGTAGGCATTGGCTGTGTAAGATTCGACGAAAGTATTCGACCTTTATCTGCCTCATTTGCTTGCGTAACAACAATTTTAGTCATGTTTGGTGTTTCCCTTGTTTGCCCACGCACACTGCATGGGACATGAACTTTACAAAAAAATGTTTTGCAAAGATTTTGAAGACATAACTCGCAAACGTTGTATCGTTTCTAAATATTCGAAAAAGGTAATCCGTGACAAAGTTATCCGTTAGTGAAAACAAAAAAGGGACGAATAATTTGTTGGTGTGTGGGAGACATTACGCAAAAGGCATCATAGCGAGTAGCTGGGATTACAGAACAAAGGTCAATTTCGTTTTAGACTAATCAGCATTTTTTTACATTTTTCTGGCTAAGCCAATCAGAATGCCTAAATCTTGAATACTTCATGTAAAATGCTACATAATGTACCTTTTTACCGGAAGTTGTTACGTTTTGCAACGCAAATTAACCGAGGTTGAAAATTTAACTCTTGATTAGGAATTTTAACCCTGAGACCTGAGTTAACTTAAGCCGATTCTCCATTATGCCCGTTTCGCCCGCGCGGGCACAAAAACATTAATTTCTCAGATTCTCTCAAGCTCTAAAAATACGCAATATTTTCTTTCAGATTTAATTTTCGTGTGTGGCATACAGTTTCTATATGACATGGAGGTAGGAATGTTTTTCATCATCTTAAAATTGTCCTAAGTGAAGTAATATTTTTTCTGAAAAATCCTGACGATGGCCATCTGTACCGTAGACGATTACCCGTGAGCCTCTCCTTCTTTCCCAGCAACCTTTGGAAAAATTAAAAATTCAAGATGCGTTGTATAGATAGATTGATTCGTTTGACTTAGAAATATATCACAGATTTCGAAGTAAAAAACAGTGTGTAAAAAACATCAAAATAGCGGGGCACATGCTTTTATAGTAAGAATAGAAATTAAATCATGTGATAAAATATAAACCAATCATATGCATCAGCTGCCATTTTTTGCTAGCCAATCAAAAACCAGGGCTAAGCTTATTCTTGACCAATACACCAAAACTCCATCTTAAAGATTAAGAACAAGCTAAAACTTACCTGAGCATTATTCTTTGCATGTGAATTTGGTGGAAAAAACTTCGAGGTTATATGTTTACATAAAAAGTCCTATAGTACTTCATCTTACCCTCTTGAAATCACTCATATTTGTAGCTTCCAAGGTTGTGCCAATGAATGAAAGTGAGTTAATTATTGAGGTCTCCTCACCCCCCTGATTGTCTTGTACAAACAGCTAGTGGACATTAAATGGTATTTCGAACTTTTAATATTAGAATACAGACTAGAAAGGCTTTTTCATTAGTCTTTGAAATCTTGTATACTCACAGTGACAGATTGCACATACTGAAATTTGACAAATTTCAAGGGAATTAGTACATCTTCTAAAACATCACCTGAAGCGAGTCTACAAATATAATTGCACAGAAGACTATAAGCATTAGGAATCTATGCAAATTGGTCATCTTTAAAAATATATATGCAAAAGTTTTTAACCAAAGTAATAGTAAAGCAGCGAGGTTCAAGTGTTTCACTTGCCTCAATTCTTGCACTGCAGCAGTTTTTTCAGCCTCGTCAAATCCAAGTGTTCTGGTGAGGTTACTAAATATTTTGATGGTTTTGGGTGCCGTTCCTGTGCATGGTAATTAAATTTACTTACATGACATTAGAAAATGCAAAAATTACATAATAGGCTGACATATATGAGATTAAAAATCTAATGCTATTAAATTTGCATTGTTTGCTTTTATTTAATCATTTTTAATCATTTTCTTTTATTTAATCACTTAATGAATTGCATGTAAAAATTTCAGGCACATACCATCATCTGGGGCATACAGCCTTAAGGAATGAAGTTTCACAGGTTGATTAAATGATATTGAGATCAACATCTAAAATGTTTCACAAAAATGCATTTTTTGTGTGGCATCAATTTGAATAAATCTCATTGGAGAAAGGTATATCAAGATATAGTACCTGCTCATCACAATCACTTTCTAAATATAAACTTTTTCCTTTCTGAAAGATGTTCTTCAAAGTATGATCGTCACTTTCATTCAGACATTCACATTGGGCTTTGTTGATCAAAGATGACAGGTCCATCTATGAGTTGGATAGTTTGTTATTTAGCAAAACCTGATCCATATCTCAAATACAAAATGACAGAAACAAGAGGCCACCAAAACCTACATATCCTTTTGGGACAGTCCCACTGATTTCTTCATAGTCTCCCATCCATTTCTTTATTTTATCCTCTAATGCTTTTGCATCGCTTCCTTGTATCTGATCCAACTTCACTCCAGACCGGAAAAGAATAAAGGTTGGTGTACCTGAGATGCTGTACTGGTTACTTGTTTCCTACATGAAAAAAAACTATAAATCATACATTTTTACATCACATACACAACGCTTAAGGAAGACAATAAAAGAATCACCTTGCAAGCATCTACATCCACTTCAAGAAAAATTGCTGAAGTATATTTTAAACTGAGCTCTTGAAATTTTGGAGCAATCATTTGACATGGACCACACCTTGAAAATGGTTACAGGATGAGTCTACACAGTTATACGTTTTAATATTCTAAAATGCAAAGTCTGCTTAACAACTTAAAGGTGTAAAAGTTAAACATTAAAGTCTTTTAAAGATGGTGCAAATAAAGATAACACTTGCTTTTTTAGAAATTGAGGAATTAATAGTGGGGATATTTTGTCTGAAGGTTTTGTATTTTAGCGTAATTACTCTAACAGACTTATAAAAAATAAAAACTTTTCAAATATGAAATATCAATTGACAACGCAATTCGCAACCATCCGTCTTCCCTCGACGTAACCTAGTAATATTTTAAAGCTAAAACGAAATATACCAACCATGATGCTTTAAAGTTTGCTATTATCAAAGTTCCTTTAGCTCCTGTTAATTCAATACGAAATCTTGAATCACTTTCAATCATCCTAACTCCACCTGAGGACGCCATCTTGAAAAAAGGAAGTTGTCCAGTCGCGGAATTATAGTCGAGCTCAGTGTCACTGGCACAGAACAGTGAACTGGCACAGAACCACTGACAGAAACATCCAACATCTATACCAGAAATCGCTGAAGAGTTAGCCAGAAGGCATTTACATCGGTTCCTTTGATGTCTCCGCAAAAAAACCCAATGCCATCAGGCTGGTACCACCTGCCGAAAATTCTGATATTGGTTGCGATAGCGTACTAGGTACAAAGTGCCGGTTGTACCAGCCAGACACTGTGGCACTGTGGGTGGCACTGAAGGCGTTAAAAATAGCGGTAATTTTTGCGGATGGCCTTGGGAAACAGAATAGAAATCCAATGTCTATTCTGTGCCCGAGCCATTTTTAGAAAATGCTGATTCCCAGCAAAATTTATGCACTGTAAATTAGTCCTGATTGATCTTTTTTATGGACCATACCACTTTTTTTGAAACTGGTTATATATTACATTATCTTCACTGAAATAGTTTCCAAGTGGACATGGATTGTCTGGCATGATTTTGTCAATTTATGGTCATATGGTTTAAAATTCCTACCCCAAAATATTTGAATAATTCAAAGTGTTAGGACAACATGAACTTGATGTTAAATTACATAAATTGTGACACAATGGATCAAGTTTGTCTGACTAAATAATACTGACTGGCAATAACAAAAATCAGTGTTTTTTCTTAGAGTAACATTTTCACCAACAACTTGTCTGCTCTTCATTCATGTGGTGTTTGGATGTGTTTTCTTTTTCGTGGGTGTAGTCAAACTATTTTTGTGTAGAAAAGTCTTGTTTATTTACATATTAAAACTTGTCCAGGCAAGAGCAGATTTGTAACTTCATAATCACTGTTTGATTCATGTTAATCACTTCCCTTCATGTATTCATCCAGCTGTGAGTTCAAAACAGACTTTGTTTTTGACATATATTTATCAAGTTCAGTGTCCAATTGTTCTTTAGTTGGTTGTTTCTTACTCATGCCACCACGGCCACGGCCACCACGACCTCCCCGAGTGCGACCGGCTCCTCGTTGGCTGCTTGCAGGCCTGCCTCTTCCTCTTGTAGATTGTCCTCCACGACCCCCTCGCCCTAAACCACGACCTCGCATTGAACCACGACCTCTTAAGGAACCACTACCTCCTCGTGTGGTTCTGCCTCCTCCACGAGCAACTGAACCGCCTCTTCCTCCTCTGGTCTGGCCACGTCCTCTTGATCCTACACCTCTAACTCCACCTCTTTGCCCCCGCACTTTAACTCCCCCACGTCCACGTACTTGACCTCCTCGCTTTGTACCCAAGCGATTTGCAATGGGTATAGTGAGACGGCTCTTTACAGTTCCTTTTGCCGATGACTGTTCTTCAATTCCCATTCGTTTCGTCATCTGTGCAGCGAGACGTCTGTTTTTTTGGCTGGCAACATTCTCAGCACGTTGTTTATTCCGAACATTTTCCACCACACTTGACTTGGCAATTTCACCAAAACTATAGGAAATATTGAAACAGAAAGCAATGAATCACAGCAGCTTAGAGTTTAATAGCGAAGTTTGATGGAAATTATATTGATTGTGGCTCTACTCACCGGTCACTAAGTGTTTTTGAGGTTGAACTTTTAAGAACAATTTTTCCAGGAACAGCAACATTCATCTTGAATTCCTAATAAATAAATATTTTACTAAGTTTTACGAATATAGTTCATAAATACACTTATGCAGTAAATGTTTACTTAAATGATAGAGTTTTGTGATTATATATAACCACAGTTTATGAGAATTGAGAACCACATGTCGACCAAATTATTTAAATAAACTATTAAACAATACATGCAACAAAATACGAGTGAGATTTTAAAATCAGATGATCAACAATTTTATATTATATCTGCAAGAATCATCGACAATTTGTCGACATTTCTTGACACAAATCACCCTGTGTTCCACACTTGCAATGTACTTGCAATATTCATGTGTAATTCAAACTTTTAATTGGATTCGTCCTCTATTTGTTGCAGTTTACAGGTATTGCATTCAGCTAACAATAGTGCTATGTAAAATGGTTAATAAATTCATGACAGCTTCTTAAGCTAAAATGTCGAGTCTATACACAGTTCATTTAGAAAATAACCCCAGCGATACAATATTATGCTCACCTACTTGCGTTTCTGCAACGTCTTGAGGAGTTTCTGTACTTCTATCAATGCCGATCGATAGAGATTAAAAAAGAAATACAACTAAAATTACAAACGAGCTTTCTTCCCGACCTTCAAAACAGACGCCAAAGTTTACTAGTTACCAGGACGCAGTTTTTTATGGCGCGTCATTAGGTCATTCATTAAGTATATATAGCTCAGTGATTAACCCACTGCATTAGCCCGCGAACGGGAGCAACCGGATCACTGAACACAGCATAAATTATAGCCGGTCGATATAATAACTACTATTCATGACTGGGTTTTACAGACAGGGACGCGCATTAATAGCGGCTACAAAAATGACACCAAAATCAAGATATGTGCACAAAAAAACTACTTTTGGCATGATGGTTTCCGGTTCTAACACTGTCTAAACAGTCGCCATGACAAGACCAGCTGAAGTCCTGGGTAAGAGCACTAGAGCAGATCATGACGTCGAGAACGTCACTGAATACCCTAGCACCCGAGAACTTTGAGATAGCTGAGACAGCCTCGTTCAGCGACGTCCCCTAGGGAAGCTATGAGAAGCTTTAATACCTTCTCCGCTTTGAAATATCGAAACTGAACCGAACATCGGCCCGTCAGATCGGACTGAGATGAAATTGAAATAATGGCTGATCACTAGGACTTATTACTTATAGACTTAGAGGTAAGGCTTATTAATTTGTTCGTAACAAAAGTCGTCCATACATAATGGCTACATTATAATATATATAGCGGCATGTTTGGGTAGACGACTTGCCTGCCATAGCTATAGCTTACTGAGCTATAGCTTAGTAACGATGTATGAAAGGTGTACGAGGTAATAATTGAGGAAGATTGTCCACGTTCACAAACATATCAACGCTGATCGGCTTTAAGTTAATTGCTTTATAAAATTTATAAATTCCCAACAATATATCTATATCGTGCATTAATGGTGTGCACTTTTGCGTCTGATTTTTGCGGTAACTCAGTGACATTGCATGACATTAAAACCATATCGTCAAAACTACTACTTTATTACCTTTGATCACGGCTTCCCGTATTTGTTTTGGCCACCTGTTAAATTACACGCGGATACAAATCAAAATACCGTATCCGGGTCCTATTATTCAAAATCCGGGAATTCTCAGGGTGTTAATCGTATTGAATCCCGGGGAAAAAAGGCCGGGTTTTATGTTAAACAAGACGCCAATTCTGGCGGTTACTGCGTCGCGCCAATCGTTGCATGCAACTGTGCCCCATTTCCTGTCAATATTTATTCCTTTAGAAAAATGTTTCTTTCTTAGGTTTTCTAGTAAATAGAGCACTTCGTTCAGAATATACGGGTAAAACTGCATTATTGGTGCTAGGCATAATGGCATATGTAGCTAACGATATACGTGAATAAGGCTGAGTTTGGAATCATGTACACTGGGAACCAGTTTGTACTGAAATTCAGTAGGATCGGTCTGGCCGTTTTTACCTTTGAAAGGAAAGTGCAGTTTGATTGAAAAATGGCATAGAATGGCATACAAGGCTTTCATAGCATACAAGGCTTTCATGGCATACAAGGCTTTCATGATTCATGTGATCGTTGTCTGTAAACCCGTTTTAGTGTAGGTTTACCATGATCAGTGTGTGCTGGTGTATGCAGAGTGAGCATATTAAACAAGATAAGTCAAGAATCCTGCATTATAATTACCTGAACGTATTTTCTGAATTTTTCTCGAAAGACAGACGTCTAGATTTCCTGCGCTATCGGCCATGCACAGCGACTCGTGTACGTGTTATTTTATATGACGTGTATCGTGCATGCAGCTTCCTGCTTTTGGTTCGCACGACCCGAGTTCGAATCCCGGCGACAACAAACTTTTTCAATTTTTTGTTTCGGTGAAATATTTCTTTTGTGGGAGTTACTAAGCTTAGATTACTATTTGAAGTGTGTTTAGCACGAAAATATTTCGATACGAAATCAAACGAGTTTAAAATACGAGTATCTTAGTTGGCCTGCGCGGCCAGGTAGACCGGGTCGAAAACGTAAAAAACAAAAAAAAAAAAAAAAAACACCGACGGCAATTTAAGACTGCGTTCGCGCAGTGCGCGACGCAGTAAAAACAAACGGTGTTCATATTGAGCCGAGCTGGTTCTTTTTTTCGCTAACTTGTGATTTAAGATTCGCGTGAAATAAAGACAAAAAGGGTTCGGCTTTTGTTTAGGGGCAAACATGCCATAGAGTTGTTCAAAGATGCATGTTCATGAACACTGTCTGTGATCTGAAACGATAACTTGGTCGCCATCTTTTAAGCCAATTTGATTCTGATTATATTAAACTGAAATGGGCACCAGTACATTCTTCAAAAAACAATAGAAAAGTTTGAGAATTTTATTTTTTGTCCTAGTATATCCCGAGACAAAAAATAAAATTCCGTGAATAGTGTTCAAAATGAGAATAGACCTTGATGACCAAATAGCTCTATCAGACAACCGCGCCAGTGATCGTTCCACTCTTTATATGGAGTTCACTGTGCATATGCTATATATGCAGTGATTTCACAAGTATAGTTACTAAGTCTACGTTGACCGGTTTAAAGCCGAACTATTGTAGTCCCAGGAAGATACTACGTTCTCCAAGACAATCTGCCAGAGAACCGCATGAATATTCAAAACAAGCAATTTTTTCGTAGTACACTTTTCCTTGCCGGTTACCAAATTTTGCCGGCTTATACCATTTTTAACATTCTCGGTTTAGATTATGGCTGAAAAACCATCAAACTCTGCTTCCGAACTTGCGGAACTGGTGACGTGTTCAATATGTCTGGAAAATATTAGGGATGCAAGAGCACTGCCGTGTCTCCATACCTTCTGCAAGGAATGTTTACAAAGTCTGGTTACACCTAGAGGAGATTTAACATGCCCACACTGCAGGAAAAAAGTCAAAGTATGTTTGATCTATGATTTCATTATGCTGTAACTATAGGTATTCTCATTTCAAACTCTGCATGAACAATGTCTGATAATGACTAAATGTCTAAAGATGGCCCGGTTTTAACGAATCTTTTCATACGAATTATATGATAGTCAAATTCACTAATTCACTTGACTCTCTTATTGAATGAAGTCTGTTATTGATCAGTAATGCAGTAATGCATTGGCTTGAGTTGATTTGCTGCCCATATACATTGTAACAGACTATAAAACATCCATCAGAACTCAGAAGTGAATTGAATAAAATAGAATTGGATCGGATAAAAAGACCTTCAGATATTTGACCAGGATTCTGTACCGGATTTTGTACTTTTAGGTCCCGAACGGTGATGCTTCCAAACTGAATCCTAATTTCTACGTGAATAACATCATTGATGTGCTAAACTCCAAAAAGGGTGGCGAGGCTCCTGCACCAGCACCTGCAATTGTAGACAGAACCAGCAGGGCTCAACTCTGCACAAATCACCCGGGAAAGGAATGTGAATTATTCTGCCTTTTATGTTTCAAATTTATTTGCCGTGAATGCAACTTGATCTGGTCCGTTTGCAGCTGTTTGCATTTTCATGTACACGTAACCATCGACAAAGCAGCAGCGTATAAGCGAGAACACGTCGAAGAATTACTGCATGAAAAAGAAGAATTGATGTCAGGCGTGAAGAATCATCTGGATACTCTTAAACAGATGAAAGCGATTGAATCAAGAAAAGTCCTTGATGTTTCTCAACAGATAAACGATTCTTTTGCCAAGCATATGAAAAAGTTGAAAAACCGACAAGAAGCATTGCTGAAGCAAGCATCTGACTTGCAGCGAAAAAACGACGATGGCCTTTCATCTGAAGTCAATCAATTTCAATTAAAGCAAGCTAAAATTCAAAGTTCAATTGAATGTTGCCGTAAAACTCTGGAAATAGATAACCCGGTACTATTCCTACAGAGGTACCCTGAGGTTTGTATACTATAATTACCTTGTTCGCACCAATTATAGATCTATAAGTAATAAAACTAGTTAAAAAAAAACACTGTTTTCCCTTAAAAACCGGCAAAGCGGCCTCAAACAACGCATGGGAAAATTTTTATACTGATTCCAGTTGCCTCTAACGTGGTTGCTAGAAGGCATTGATGTAACCAATACGCGCTTGGCTAAGCATCCGGGACTCAATTTTGCCCCCCAATAGCCGCGCTCCCTTTTTCGACTAATGTTTTCGATACCAATCCCCCCTCTAATGTTATTTACAATCTTTATTGACAGGGATCAGTCAGAGATTGCCCTCAGCTCATGCATCCATTCGATAATTACTTCACGTATTCAATCAGTTTCCCCCCATGCATGCATCATTAATAATATTTAATAAGTTTTTACCATATTATATTTAGTTCCAAGCTGACTCCGATGAATTTGAAACGGAAGTTAATTTTGTGACGGAAGTGGAATTGGATAATCTGCTCTACCAAGCGACCGACTCGTGTTTAACCGAAGCCATCTCGAGTTTTGGAAAGGTCGTAACTCGCGACGAATGCGACGATGTCGAGGAAGAAAGTCCGATGGCACCAAAAAAATCACAAAAAAACCGATCCAGACGTCGTGGTAGGAGACAAGGCGGTGGGAACGAGCATGGACCGTTGGGAGCGGATGTGTACATGGGGCATACGAGTGTTAACAGGACTGGTATCTGGTCAGGGACGTTGTATAACAGAGCCAGAGGCAACGCTAGCCCGGTTGTTACATTCGAGAATTGTGGAACAAGCGTGAAAACAACGAGTGAAAGAAATGCAGCAATTATAGGAAAGCCGGGTTTTCTATGGGGGAAACATTCTTGGAAAATCAAAGCTGTTGGGTTTGCGCATGGCATCAGCCTCGGTGTTTGTGTTGGTGAGAATGGTTGTGGTATCGTTGTGACGTATGATTCACAGTTAACACCTTTAAATACGGCACTTGGCATTCGTGTGGAGTTGGATTGTGACGCCAAGCGAGTATCCGTTTCTCACGATGGCAGGGAACAAACACGGGATGTGGTCGGATTCGACAATCCCCATCGCCGCGAAGTGTACCCTTATTTCTATCTACCTCCACCCGGAAAACACCATTTCAGCAAAATTTCCATCCTAAGTATTGATGGCGCTCCCGTCGTGGGCCAACCGCGGGAGAACGAACCGCAGTGCTCCATGCAATGAAAATTGAAAAAAAGTGAAAACCTAAAACTGAATTATCAAAAAACTACTTCGAAGAACCAACGAATTGATCTTAAGAACAAGATAGCAAGTTTCAGTCGGTGATTTTTTACGAAAGCCGGTCGCATGATGCAATAACAAAGTCGTAAACAATGTGACTGTAAGCTTGTTTCAATTCTCGATCTAAATCTCATCTGTAGGGTTTATAGAAGATGTTGTTCTTCTGAGGATTTTTTCTTGTAGTATAGTGTCTGCTAGTAGGTAAAGGTTTTGTATGGACAGTAACAATGGTATATATATTGTACCAGAGAGTGCTGGTGTTTGAGTCAAACTATATGTTTATTAAAAGGCCGTGATTTAATTGACACGGCTAGGCCAGCTAAATTGATCGAATTGACACGTGTAAAGGCTGATTTCTGCATTTACTGTTCAAAATGAGGAATTTTTTCATGCATAAAGAAGTGTGCATTAAATCTTTGCACAAAGCTTGTGAGAGTAAAACCTAGTTTCAATATTAATACAGACTTTATTCTAAACGTAACAGCTTAGAAATCATCACTTATACAATCCGTTCATAAAGTAGAAATTAAAGGATTAAATAATTAAAGTTATACTAAACTATTCATTATGTAGTGTACTAACAACAGATTACCACAATATTAAAAAAAGTATTTTCGTTTTCCCGAGACTCGTTAAATTATTGCTCTATACGACTATACCATGCATTTCTTCTTGCGCTGTGTGTCCCTTTTGTGCGTGGCAGTATATACCTTTCCATAATTACGTTGAGCCAGGGAGCCTCGCTCCGGCATGAATCGCCAGCCAATCGCCTTGTGTTTTTTGCTGACTTACGCGTTTGCGTTGCTTTGAGGTATGATTTTGAGCTATGTAAAAATGAAATGGAAACGGTGTCGAATGATACGAGTTTCTGTCCGTCTTAAATCGAAGTCCGCAACTGCAATATGTAAGATGGAAGTTGTTTTAATTTCAAATTTTGTCTCGTGCCTTATATAATTCTATTATAACAAGGCAGCCATCTTTGATTGCGAAATCATTTAAAGACATTTTCGCCATTCCTCGTCTTAGCATCTGAACCCGTGTCTGTCCCATGACGTCATCACGCAATCTGATGTTGAAGTGAGTCAAAAGGTTGGTATGCATGTCCTCAGACAGGTACATTATTGGATCGCTGGATTTGAAGCCTTAACGTCAAAGTAAGAACTTCGTAAATTATTGCAATAGTTAGTTTGTACACTAAGGAAAATACGACAGCGAAAACTTCACATCTGGTGTAAGTTATACCAGCTAATTTGATATCGCAATTCTGTGTATACTTCCGCCTGCGATTGATTATTTACTTAATTGCATACCCATACTGTATCTTTAAAGTCGCACGATGTTCTTTACTGAGCGTCAATGTCACCCTACATCCATACTATTTCTTCACTGGTATTACTTGGCCGACGTGCTTCAAGCAGACTTATTCTATAAACTAAAGTTTATGTTCTTTGTTTCCGGTATATGCAAAACAGTGTTTATATATCGATTGCAGCAATGTCAATTGTCACAACACTCAATAATATATTAATGGCGTCCGCACCTTTTACCTATAATCTTGCGGCTTGCGTTGCGACTAACTACTTACTATATGTTGGATTGTTGAGATTTCAGTTCGGGTTCAAAGTATGAGCTCTATAACTTATTGCATGTACACAGAAATAGGATTATCGATAATCGATATCAATCGAACTGGATAATAAACATTATACTTATAATACTTATAATACTGTTGCATTATTATGCGTACTTCTTGGAAATACTGTATAGGTATATACTCGGTAATTTTTTAAGTTCTTGTAAAAAGTGCATGTATGTTAATATACTAGCCATAACCTGTCCACCAACTTGTCAGTTGTACAAGTTGGTTATATATGTCTAATGCCACACAATGTTTGATGGAAGGGGGTTATGATGATTGCCAAACTGAAAAATTTGTATTGAATTTTGGTTAGATGCATGAAGTGCCTCTCGTTAGAAATCTACTCTGCCTAATGCCACACAATGTTAAAAGTTCGTGGTAAGGTTAATACAATTGTTATGTCAGATGTAAACCCCGCAAATATTTATTGAATTCTAGATCTGGTTAGGCTATATATTATGGCCGTCAGACCATCATCAAGCACTGCCATCGAACTCGATCGGTTAGTAAGATGCCCGGTATGTCTGGAGGACATGGAAGAAGCGAGATCGTTGCCTTGTGGTCATACTTACTGCACGGAATGTTTAAAAAGTCTGGTATCACATCGAGGATGGATGCTCAATTGTCCAACATGCAGGTTGGAAGTACGGGTATGACAAAGGCATCTTTTCTGTCATATTTCACTAAATCATCACATAATGCAAATGGTCTTTGCATTAAAATTTAGCTAAGGCCTCAGTAGATTTAAAATCATGGGAATAATATCGCGTATATAAATACATTAAATATAAAATAAAACCGCATGGGATAATTGAATCATAAATTTAGTCGAAGATATATAATCTCTGTATCAAAATGGATGCATGGATTGCATCCATTCGTAATTTTCACCTTTTCCACAATGAAGTCAATGATACCAACATACAGTCAAATGGAAGTACCGTTTTCAAAATTTTCATTTCAAGGTTCCAAACGGCGATGTTTCCAGGCTGACACGCAACTACCTGGTGGCCGACTTAGTCGAAAATTTAAAAGCGGCTAAAGAAGCGGCTGCGAGCGAGCCAGAACCCGAGTTTGATACAATCTGCAAGAATCACCCAGATAAAGCCTGCGAATTGTTTTGCAAAAAATGCCAGAAGCACATCTGCTCTAAGTGCATTACAAACGCTGGCACATGTACCCAGCATGAGTATGAAAGCATTGGTGGTGCTTTGAAAAGATCTCGCAGAAACGTGAAAAGTCTCCTGGAAAAGAACGAAAAGTTGCTGTTTACTGTAGGACGACGCACTGAGCTTCTTGGTGAACTGAAAGCAAAGCAAACAAGAAACGCTTCGGAAGTTGCCCGACAAATATCACAAATTTTTTCGCAACATATTGAGCATTTGGAGAACAGAAAAATGGCTCTGGAACAAGAAGCGTTTGATATCCAGTGGCAAAATGAGAATAATCTATCTTCTGAGGAAGAACGCGTTCAGTTGGAAAAAAAGAAGATTGAAAATACAATCAAGTTTTGTCGCAAGATCCTTGACATAAAAGACCCCGTTCTTTTTCTGCAAACCGCCTCAGGAATTCAGGACAAGGTAACTTGTGAATTCAGATGTTGAATTACTTGAGGAATAGACACGAAATGACATTTAAAATGGTATAAAAAAATACCACAGGAAGGTGAAAAATTCTCCATTCAATTCAATTTCCACTAGTACTTTTAGCAATCCTAAATTGCACTAGCCATGCGTCGCATGATTACCCATATCTTAATAATGGTAACTCATTAAAATGAGTTATTTTGCTATTCATTACGATCGAGTCTCCAAACTAGTACTTACTGTAGTCAAACAAATCCAATTCAAAAATAAAAAAAACTTCTTATTAATTTTATCACCATTTAAACCCACCAGATTTTTCAAGCAGAACCGCAGGAATTGGCCGACCACATTGAGGTGGGGGTTTGCAATTTCTTGAACGACACGGACTCCCTGTTGGCGGACGTGATTTCAAATTTTGGCAGCGTTCTTTCTTTTGGAGAAGGCTTTGCACTGGGAGAGAAAGAAATGAATGGGGCAGAGAGACCAGAGAGGCAGAGAGAGTCCAACTCTAGAAAACCAGTCTGTCCGGGTCTTTCACATGTACCAGGTCCTTCTCATGAACCAAGCCCTTATGATGAACCATCATCCAGCGTTCTGCGTCCGGCTGTCGGTGAGTGGTCCCTCGATTCACGACTTACACGCAACAAAGATGGTAGAGGCCGTAAAACACAAAGAAACATCGTCAGACCCGCCGTCTGGAAGTTTTACTGCAAAGCTACGCCCGGCCATGACGTTACATTCGAGGATGGTGGATTTAGCGTGAGAACAAGAAGCCTGAAAAATGTAGCAGTTATCGGAAAGCCTGGTTACAGGAGTGGCAAGCGTTCCTGGAAGGTCAGAGTCACTAACTTTCCAGACGGTATAAGTGTTGGTATTTGTCTCGGTCGTTACAGGCGCGGAAATTTGGCTTACACGTACGACTTGGGATTCACAAAACCACGTATGGAGAGAGATGTATTTGTTGAATTGGACTGTGATTCGGGAGAATTGTCAATTTTACCTGATGCTTTGCCCTATCAACTGGAATCAGGCGAACCAGTCCAACGACAACCAGATGTACTCAGATTCGACAATCCTGAAAACTACGAGATTTATCCGTACTTCAATCTACCCTCGCCTGGCAGATATGCCGTCAGTAAAATCACCATTTTAAATATTGATGGAGTTGAAGTTCATCAAGTATAATAATCTACATGAAAAATTACAACTGAATGTATAATAGCTATAACGTTTTGTATATAGGTAGTCTTCCATCTTGGGTGGAAAAACTTTCTTTCTTAACTGATTGCTACAAACCCTAAAAACTTCACGATCCTAATATGTAATATCCGACAAAATATTTCAAAAAAATATATAATGTATGAAAGAAATAACAAAAATAATGTACGAATGTGACAAAAATATACAATTTATTGAAAAGTATATATATAATTCATCTTCTGTACAGAAGTTATTACACGGAGTCATTATCAGTCTTATAAAGTTTATATATAAAGTTTTGTTTGATTTAGGCCTGGTGCACACTAAATCTTAAGAATCTGGATCCATTATATTATTTTTAGAATTTTTAGATAGAAAAAACATGTACAGACTCCTCCTCGTTCCCATAAACCCCCCCACGGCCACCCCCATCCATGTATAAGGGGGGGAACAATCGGTTTTTTACGCTTTCAACCATTTCAACACAAACAAGACGCCTGCTCAAGGCGTTACTCCGCCTGCAGGTGAAGAAACTACAGGTGACAAAAGGTCACAAAATGAGGTGATTTTGCTTTTTGTACTGTTGTCTGTCATACTTTTGGGATTTTTTGTTATACATTTTGTATTCATTAATATGAAATTATTCATTGATTGATGCATCTTTATTCATTGATGTAACTTTATTTTATTATAATGATGTAACTTCATTCAGTTGCTTAACTTTGTTTACAGATGTAACTTCATTAATTAATATAACTTTATTCATTGTAACTTCATTGTTGGCATTCAAAGTTAAGTTGGCATTCAAAGGTGACTTAAATTGGTATTCAAATGTGACTTGGTATACAAATGTGACTTGGTATTCGAATGTGACTTGGTATTCAAATGTGCATTCATGGAATTCACACTCAGGGACATAAATTTTTTTTTGCAACTTCCTGCAAATGAGCACCAAAACCTGGAAATTAGAACAAAAATAGGGTTTTATAAGTTTGGCAAATCAATCCTGTGATAGAAACCCCTTTTAACCCTGTTATCACTCGCTACTCTGGTTTATATAAATGATCACAAAGCCTGGTCAAATTGTAATCAGGACTTAACGTTTCGACAGTCCAGTCTACTGTCTTTATCAGGGGTGATCTGACATCATACCCAAGGGATGATGTCACCTGCCAATAAGATGCATATATTCCTCTGGCAAATGGGCACTGTCGTCCCTATTCAGAGCATGATTACTCATATTCATATGCCACGCTTTTACGCAAAGTCTTCGACCATGTATCAATTGTTAGTGGTAATTACTTTAGAGTTTTCCCATGCAATCTTGTGTTTCATGTCACACAGGTGCTCTGCCAAGGAAAAACTCTAAAGTAATTACCACTAACAATCGATATGGTCAAAGACTTTGCGTAGAAGCGTGGAATATAAAGATGAGTAATCATGCTCTGAATAAGGATGACGGTGGCGATTTGCCAAAGGAATATATGCATCTCATTGGCAGGTGACATCATCCCTTGGTTATTTAAGAAGCTTCAATTCCAGCTTTAGATCACCCCTGATGAAGACAGTAGACTGGACTGTCAAAATTTTGGGTCCTGATTACAATTCGACCAGGCTTTGTAATAATTTATACATTTATATTTGTGATAAAAGAATATCTTGGTGTAATCTGAAGTACGACACAACTTGGCCATTTTTGATTCTGTGAAACCAATTGCAAAGAAACATGTTTCATATAAAAATTCATTGCCGAATTGAGGCATTTTATAAAACAGGCTTTAAAATAGACTCTAGTAAATAGAAATATCGAATTCTTAAACATGCAGGGTCGCTAAACTTGTAGTATGTTAATTTCTGAGAGCAAACAGTACTTTGTATATACCTAGTTTGTATTAAAACACTACGTCAACGTGAATCACTAAATCAACTATAAAACAGAAAATCTTGGGTATACTAATATGCAATTACCGCCACAGCATATGAATACAATCTAAATCTTAATAACTTACCCTTGTAGTTGTTGAACATGGTTCTGAAAGCTCTTTCAATTCGACATTCATATTTTTCAATTTTTCACAACGAAGGAACCTCGATTCAAACACGAGGCACAAGGCCACGAAGAAAAATAAACATTGCACAAAATCAACCCAAAACCTCCCTAAATGCCAACTGATGTACATATTGATGTACATAATTCATCCGTGTAACCCAGGGCTTCTCGGTCAAAATGTTTTGGGTTACCTGTAGAAATGCCAACTTCTGTCGCCCAAAACTACGACTACTACGACTACTAAAAGGAAAAAATAGGTCCGCAATGCGTACATGCGCCCGCTGTTCCGCGAGGAATTCGTTTTCTCGTAAGTAAATGGTTAACATTGTGTGAAGAGTTGATTAGATTTTGGTTGAATTTTGTTGTGAATTGGGCGAGAAATTAATAAGGAAATAAAACGTTTCTCAGTAGTGGGAAGTTATAGGAATGCATAGTGATATTTTAATTATTAAATCACGCGTGCAAAGTCTGTTTTGAATCAGGCATTCACAATGAAAGATTATCTACGGATTTTTCTGTAATTGCGGTGCCCTAGCACCGCATTATAATTGCTCGGTTTTTGTTCGTTCGTTCGTTCGTCCGTCCGTCCGACCAACTTCGATAGGTATTTACCGCTTGCACATGCAAAATTGTATAAGTTACAACGCATCAGACGTCTACCGTGGGCTCGGATTTTGATCAGACCAGTTACCGTGGGCTCGGATTTTGGGGGGAATCTGGAGGATCGTAGATGTACAATAAGAGATAGAGGAAGCACTCGGGGATATGGAATCGTTGCTTTCGTGCTGAAATACATGCTTCTGAACCAGTGCACGTAAACAAACCACTATTTTGGAAAGTTCATTTTTGCGGCCAAAAAAGCTCTGATTTCGCTTATGTGTAATGCAATTAGTTTGTCTTTGGGCAATCAAGTTTTGTACGCCTACAGATTACAGCGATCGGCTGCAGAAGTGTCCATCGGCATCGTGCATTGAACGTCGACAAGCATGATGATGAAAGTGATATTGCTGAAGATTATACAAATAGACAAGTAAATGAAGAATTTCATGCGACAAATTTTTGTTTGTACTAGACTTATAATGTCATTTTAACAATTTCATCCAATATTCTGGTAATGTTTTCTGTTAAACTGTAATAATTTTTTGTTAGAAATAGGAATACATATCATACTGATTCTAATTTAAAATGAATTATTATATACTACTGTATTATCATTATGGTGACACTATACATTCCCAAGAAGTATAAATCCTGATTTAAATACAGTACACAGGTCCTTATTGTAGGAGTTATGAGGCAAAGCACAAACCCCTGCACTTAAACCTCCTAGTATAGCCACAATAGTCACTATAATCATTGTTTTCTCATATAGTAGACTTTAATTTGGGGAATCATATCATCAATTCCTACATGTATTAACCACCTGTGATGCATATCATGTATGCTGTTACTAATAGTCTACTATTGTTTGTACATAGTTCACATTTCACTGACAGTTTTCCTGGCAGTGAGTAAAATCATCTGATGAGGGTAATATTTAATAATAGGTTGATTCTGCCCGTTATTTTCAGCAGTTCATATTACAGGTATTATTTTTTATCAACTATTTTTTTCATTGTAAATAATTACTGCATTCGCACTAATTAAGGACGTGGCTTATAGTAAAGTTGAAATGTGTTTTACTGTATGAAATTAAAATTTTTGCTTCTCATACTCTTGTACTGATCATGTCATCAATACACCAAATTTTATATGCAGTAATATTTAATTATTAAATTCCCAATAGAAAAAGTGACCTTTCCCTTTATTAAATATAAATGATTATTAAACTACAGCAACAGGCATACAGGCAGATGCTCGCAATGCATTCTGGTTAAATGTCGCTATAATTCTGTGCCATAAATATCGCCATCTTTTTCATTTCTTTTTCACAAGTAGAGTATGTATGAACCGTCTATTGGCGATACAGGAAAAACTGACAATTATTAATAGGAAAATTTGATTTTCATGGTGAGCCCATGGTATATGAACGTTCACAACCACATTGTGGGCAACATAGCTGCATATTAAAACTGTAGTGAAGCCATCAGGCAACAGGCCTCAGCAAGGGGCACCGCATTGTACTACTTTGTCTGGTTTATTGTTAAAAGTCAGTTGTACCCTACTCATTTCGGGCTGGATACGTCCCTGCGTAACTAGATCGAATATTTAATGAGAAAGTTCCTCTAGTTTACAATATTTGATGAGGCGTGCAATGTTAGGCTTGTCGAGCTAAAGGTTCTTGGCCTTCTGGTGCTGAGTCCGTTGAGTGTCTATAGATTATAATTTTTTTTCGGATATTCTATTATAATTGTATATTGAGCGAAAAGTGGGACCGTGTAAGGCCGGCCTAATGGATAAGGAGCAGAAGTAGAGTTAATATCAAAGGGATACAATTTCAGACGTTGGGCGCACAACGGAGAGACCTATATAAAGGCAGATTTCCACTAGGCGAAATTTTTCGATCGAAACGAAAATTTCCTTTGTCTCAGAAGCATTCAAGTGGAACTAATTTATGATCTATTGAATTTTGACAATAGAAACCAACTTCGGTCGAAAATTTTCGCCTAGTGGAAATCCTAGTGGAAATATTTGGTTCCACATGAGACGTTTTCGTCACATGCGCGATGATATATTATGGCCCTGAAACATGACCTATTTCCGGCCGCGCGGCCGTGTTAGGACACTGGGACGATTTTTCGCGATTCGGCCTTCGGCTGTTTTTTTTTGCAAATTGCACGTGCTTTATCAACATGGCAGCTAAAAAAGTGGATGTAGAAGGCTTCGTCCATCGGGTTTCCGATCTGGCAATGCCAGCTAAAACTGCTGGAAGGTACTTCCATTTTGTCGTGCAAGAGAGGGACGAAAGCCGACGCGTGGTGTGCTTTTCTCCCGAGAAAAGAAACAACCTCAAACGCAAGGAAGATGACAAGTCGCCAGTGCGGTTAGTACAAGTCAGTCCACAAAAACGAAAGTTTGCAGAGGGAACGGAGTACAAGTTGGAAAAGTATTCGAAAGTCGAAGATGCCAAGAATGTTTCCTTCCCGTGGAAGGACCATAATTCGAAGTTTCTTGACGTTGCGAGTATTTTGGAGGAAGGAAAAGAAGGAGAAGTGGTTTCACTGAAAGCTGTTGTTCTGCACAAGTCAGAAGTGACAACTATTTTCTCGAATGCG